ACACACTACACCCGCCAACACTTACGGTCACTCTTACAAATTTCAATTCCCCGCTACGCCCAGCTATTGATCGTGCGGTCAAACCACCTGCGGGACAAGTTCTAGACGGTCTCAGATTCCAGTGACCGTCCAGAGGTTTATAAGCTGAGCAGTATTCCTGTCATCTCAGTTCACATCTAGATATTATCATCTCACCATGTTCAACTCTGAATACAAGTCCTCCTGGATGGATGAGAAGGATGAGAGCGGTTATAATAGTTCAACAGGATCAAGTCCAACTCCAGAATATCAGATATCTCTAGATTTAGATTTTATCAGATCCAACCCTCCGCCACAAATTAGAGGTCTCAGAAAACTTCAAGAGTCTCATGTTGAAACCCGACCTGGAAACCTCCGCTATCAAGGTTCCAACCTTCCTCTCAGTACGAGAAGCTCTACAGCTGAACACTCTTCCAGTCTGGAGAAACAGGCTCAAGGAGCATGGAACTCAATCTCCACCCAGGATAAATTAGGTTCTAAAACATGGAACACCCAACCCTGCTCTCAGATCTCTCAGATCGAAGATCCCAAAACCTGGTTCCAGCAAGACCCTGAGAACATGAAAAACTCCACGGAAACCTGGAATTTCAGTAATTATGAGAATCTGATGAAAAGTTTAAACCAGTATTCCTGTTCAACCGAGTTCCTTACTCCGGAGCTACAGGATATCCTGCTCCTGGCTCAAGCTTGTGATATTCTCCGTGAATCCTGGATCTAACTGATTATAAATCAACGAATCCCACGCCTTCTTGTAACTTGTCATATCCAAGATATCATAGTCTCTAGTTTTCTGTTTTTGTTAAATGTTTACTATAAAATAAACTTGGTCATACCAGAATTATTTTTTTTACTTCAGTAGGTAAAATTAGAAAGTTGGCTCTGATAGATAGATAGATGGATAGAAAGAGTTTAGTAGGAGATAAAATTATAAAGAAAAATAAAAAAAATATTTTAAGGGTTATATCAGTGAAATAGATGAAAATACTTTGAAATTTAAGAATTGCGACAGTAATTAGAATTGCATCTTTTTATTTCAAAGATTGCGCTCGATAATTGAAAATAATATTTTCTACTGAATTCAAGTAAAGCTTAGATATTATAAATAAAAAAATTCTTTATTAATTCAATTTCACTGCAGAAATAGTTCCCAATTCCACTTAAACTAAAAATATTAAAGCTTGTAGTACTAATACGAAAAATCTGTTCATTCTAGAAAGCAGAACTGCTTTAATGGATTTTAAAGGGAGTGTTCGCGAAAAATGCAATGGGGATAGGCTTACGTCGAAAAATATTCGATGGTGATTTCTACTAATCTAACTTCTATCAGTTGCGTCTTTAAGGAGAAAATTTTAAAAACGACTCCTACCGAAGAACTTAATGTCCATACAAATATTAATGACTTAAAAAACATGGAGAGTCTCTTAATGAATATATTTGTTTTCAAGTTTTACCTGTGCTGATGGCCAGGGGCACTCATATTGATATCTTCTTGGTATTTTTAGATCCTTATGTCCCGGGGTAACAATATCCTTTAATCTCGCAATATGATCCTGAAGAACCTTGTCACGTGATATGTCTGCATCATGGTTAGGATACAACGCTGCCATGTAGATCTAAATAAATACTTTCAGATAGATGTTAAACGCAGTATTCGTCTTGTATAATGAAAAAAGGGATAGGATGATCTGGCCCAAGATCGCTTTAACAGTTTTTTTCTGATAAATTGATATAAAAAACAGATAGAACTAAAAATTATAAATAGCGTAGTTGGTTTAGAGAAATAATTTTGTTCGGTCAAACTGAGCCAATGACCAAATTACTATCATATTTAATTTAAAAATTAGCAACATGGTCAATTCCAGGGAAAGGTTTATTTAACATAATATCGCCAATACAATATAAATTATATCGGATTGTAAAAGGAACTGACCTGAGAAAAGACAGCTCGTTCAACTGCAATCCTAGCTTCTCCTCTCTGCTCAGGGTTAGCAGCAGCAAGCATTGGATCCCTCTCCAGCTCATCCCACAACCTGTCCAGAAACTTAACCACCAACTCCGTCTTTTCATCCATGACGGTGGAGGAGGAGAACTGGTTTAGCAGTTCCCTCAGCTCTACTTCTTGACGCTCAAAAAACAATCTAAAATAGTTTTTAATGTTTATAATAAATTAAACAAACTTTATCTTTAGAAGTATTATACTTAACCTTACTCATGTGATATTATAATTGTCGCCTTAGTTCATTCTTTAAATATTCGAATTGAAAAGATTCAGCAATGAAACAAATTTAACAGGCATCTCTGTAAATGTTCACAGCACATTTATAGAGAAAAATTTAATACATTTAAAAAAAATCTCCTGCGATATGTTATCTTAAAAGAAAGAACGAACTATCATTTCACGGTCTCTTGTTTATCGTGGCACATCAATCATAACTCCTACCTGACACAGACACTGATAAGAAACCTTGAACACATCCTCTGTTCTGTTTCCATCCTTGAGGTTAACCTCTGCAGGGTCTGGAGACTGGACAGGAGTCCTTGTCTTGATCTGACAAGATATGCAATATAAGGAGATCTTCGTCTATATTCTTCTTTCAAGGTTCGTGTCAGTTTCTCCGTAGATTCCTGGATAAAAAGGAGTAATTCATTGAAAACAATGAGAAATGTAAGTATCCAAATTGTAAACATTTAATAACTGGCATTTTATCAGATGTTTAATGTTTATATCACAGTTCTAAGCAGTAAATGATATTCCAAAGCGTAGAAAAACAACCCGTTATAACACAAAAATCAGACAGTCTCCTTATGACATCGGACAATACCTTTCACCGTAATAAGAAATTTCTATGGTTCATTGTTTGGCCGGTAATTGCTCCCCAAAATTTTTAATTTCCTAACCTCGTCTAGGTTTGATAAACTACGAATTGTTTCGTAGAGTTGAGCAACGAGGTTTCTATCTTGTTGGTTCAAGGCCTGTGCTAGCATAACCCGGAGTAAAGATGCTATCTCGCTGTTCTCCTTCTCATTCTCTTTTTCCATTCCATCCAACCCTACTCCGCTCAGTAACAGCGGTGCTTCAACCTAGAAACACAGGAATGCTTAATTATAATTTTATGGGAATTAAAAACTCTAAGCTTAGAGAGCATTTGTTGTAATAGTTCAGTTTAGATCTAAAAAATGAAACAATCTCCTAATCTTGAAAAACACTTTACCTCTGAAAGCATGAGACGAAGTTTTCTTTTAGCATCTTGGAAAACTACAGTAGACTCCAGGTTCGCTAAATCCAGATCTACTCCATCCGTCTCATCCTCAGGTTTAATGATGTTAACTAGAGTCCCCTCCTTACTAGATCCCGGAGCAGTTCTATACTTGGCAAGAATGTCGTCCGAACTCTCGGATTCAGTTGCTCCGCCCTCGTAGAACCTAGGATCCTCCGACCCAATCCGACGCAGCACAGGACCCTCGGAATGCTCTGGGATATGAAAAGCATCGTTGGTTAATCTATCGGAGGACCGATAATCCTCGCTCTTCGATCCCCGTCCACCCCCCCTGTGTCTCCCGATCTTTGGTAATTTCCAATTTTTGAAAAAATTTCTATCTCGTTTGTTGAGACTATGCTTGTGCTCTCCACCCTCGTCCTTGTCTGCAGACTTATCAAAGCTTATACTCTTCGGTATTGCTCCGGTACTTGCTTGGTTAGATTTGAGTTCCTCCGGTACCAAACCACCTCCGGTAGAGTTTGCTGCACTAGTGGAAGAATTACTTCTAGATTTTCTCTGAGAATGAATTGCTTCAACGGATGCTGCACTACCCTGACTACTGGTACTAGAGGCTATACTAGTGGTAGAGAGCCTAACATTGGTTGAGATGGTTGACAAGTTTCCAGTTCCTGGAGACACATTTTCTACTGAACCACACCCATCTGTAGTTGTGGATTCGACCAGACTAACCAGAGATGGTTCGGAGAGATTGACGTGAAGTGCATTAGGTTTCTTGAGAATGCTGGAGTTAACAGACACATCACTATCCCTCCTACTCCCCCGATCATCAGAGTTTGATCTACTAAACTGCGCCCACTGTTCTACTGCTGAATTCTGGGCAGGATGAAAGATCCTGCCGGGTTCAGCTCCCGCCGCTCTATCATAGTCATTCAGCTCTAGCCTCTGAATTAATTGTTCAGGTTCACTTCTTGTTGTATCATCTGTGAACCTAGTGCTAGCTATAGAAAGACTATCGTCCGGATCAAAATCTCGCATTCTAAAACTTTCCGTGTCCGAGGGTAAAACATCCATAGACCAAGCTTCACTGTTGGTTTCTAAAACATCCAGTTGTCCTGATGTACTGATGGCGGAGCTCGAGTTGTTGTGACTTAACGAACCTTCATTCGGGACATGGAGATGATCCAGGTTTCTGTTCCTGTTTTGAAACTCTGGTCTGTTCCTGAACTCCGCTCTGTTACTAAACTCTCCTCTATTTACAAACTCAGGTCTGTTCCGAAACTCTGCACGGTTACTGAACTCTCCTCTAATGTTAAACTCATCTCCAGGTCTACCTCTCAGTAAATCTTCCAAAGTTGGTGGATCACCTAGAGTTTCAGTATCCGAACCCAGAACGTCAGTTGACCATGTATCGCTAACCATTGAAACTGCTTCATCCCTATCTCCTGCTGTCCCAGTGCTACCAAAATGTCCAACTCTTCGTCTCACTTCAGGTTTAATCTCAAACCTACCAAACCTCTCCTCCATATCCGGTTCTCCGTTCTTCCTTCTGCTCAGGAGATTGTTATCCTGCTGATCCTCTCCTATTAGATTGACTACCTGAGGAACTTGAGGTTCTGCAACCTCAGCCTGTCCAGCCTCGTCCTCCTCAGTAACCTGACTAGACGGAGTATCTCGTCCTGATACGTTAGGAGTTCCACGTCCGCTAACATTAGCGGAAACCATGTCGGACAAATTGTCAATGATCGGATCCTCAACAGGATCAACTTCGTCCTCTAAACTAGAGGCAACAGAATGGTTCGACGCAGCTTCTGAAATAGCTTCTAGATTGTCCGAGGCGTTTCCGATAGATCCTTCATCATGAGAGATTGAGAACCTTGTTCTCTTCTCCAGTACCTCTCCACCAGCGGAGTTTAAACTTCCGTCCCTGAAGGACATGCTGTCATCGAACCCAACATAATTCATCTTTTCCTTCCCTCCTCCAGAAATAAAATTCTTTCGGAGGACGCTCTCTTCGGAGGCCAAGCCCGGCATCTCCGAGGGGCTGTCATGAATAGGAATTACAAGAACCTTCTCCGGGCTACCGGGTGCTAGGGTGTTCTTGTTCTCAGTCGAGGGTTTAGAAACGGGTCTTGTTTTATTTCCAACATTTGATAGTTTGGCTGCCAACACACTTTTATGCCGGGCAAAGCTAGCTGGAGATATTGCATCAGAATCCACCTCCTCTACACCTAGACCATTCTCATGCTTAACAGGTGCCGCTGGTTTCTTCCGACCCGGTACACAAGCAGGGACCGGAGCAAGCAACTTCTCCAGCTCATCCTTAATATCCTAAAATAGAGAAAAAGATTAAGAATAGTTCTAAACTTATAATATAATAATTTATTTATTTATTACAATGTAATTTGTGAAGAAATGTTAAAAAATAAATAGAAAGATTTTATGTAAGTACCTTCGGTAGGAAGTTTTCCTCCGATACCTTCCGGAGCCAGGTCACCACATCCTGAAGCTGATCTGCAGTTAGAAGAATTGCAAGACGGAAACTCTGCTGAGAAATATCCAACCCATCCATCCTTGGTTCCTCGAATGATTCTAGCACAGCCTCGACAAGCTTTGAGACAGATTGAACCTCAAACTCTGAGTAGAGATCCATGAGCTGCGGGTTGATTTCCTCCCACTTCCAGAGCGCTAAAACTTGGATAATCTGAGCAACCTGCATCAGGTTGAACCTGGCTATGTATGATATAGGCATATCTATGATCCCAAGGGGTTCAGGATCCACAATAGCGGGACATATGAACAGGGTGAATAAAAGATCTACACAAACGGCATAAATATCCTTGGTTTCCATCCGGGAAGCTTCTGTCATTTTACCGAACAGATATCTCATAATGCTGGCGAGATGAGACGGAAACCTGGCAAAGTTTCTCTGTATCCCGGAGATGAAACGTTTAGCGTGAGCGACCAATTTCTTGATGATGAACGTCCTGTGAGATTTCAGGTTAGCAGCGTAATCGTCTGTGCCTGGTGTTCCAAACCTTTTTAATCTCTCCTCAGCCGGAAACCTGATCACAGCCTTGGACGGATCTATGTCCAGAAATATCTCATCGTCTGTGAGGAGTTGCAGAATCGGTTCATATAAAGCAGACGTGAGAAACAGTTTGGATGAAAAGAGCTGCTCGCTAAAAGCTTTGTATAACCGAGACAAGGAGCAGTTTCCGTGCCGGAGCAGCTTCCTAGGGTTAGCTGCTGAGATGAGTTGAATATCAACCAATTTCTTGAGAACCTCCATCATAAGTTTCTCATCCTCAGCTAGGAGACACGATCCAAGAATACCGGAGAATAGAGAGTTCACAATATTCAACATATTCAGCTCATCAGTCTTGTCTCCAGCAGCGAGGCATACTGCTACAAGGTTCGGACGTTGACGTAGAGCAACCAGAAACTCGCTGTATGAAACCATGTGATGGGAGAGCTGCTTGTACGCATCTATAAACTGAGATTGAAGAAGAAGATTGGATCTCTGACAGCAAACGTTAGGCGAGTAGTCCTCCCGGGACAGAATCAGTCCTTCTAGGTTCTCCTTCTGCATGTGGGCAATCCAGGCGGCCTGGGCCAACCTTCGGCCCGCCTCAGCCACGCCTTCATTCAAGCTTTGCAACTGCTTCCTTTCATAGCTAACGTAAATCTTCTCTTGGCGTAGACATCTAGACAAGGAAAAATTGATATATTCGTTTTTATTCATTTTATTTGAATGGTTTGAGCTTAACTCCTTCTCTTCTGGCTAGGAGATTAACCAATTCATTTGTCAAACCATTCCACAATTGACAAAAAAATAGGATAATCTCCATTCGAGGAGAGGATAAGTTTTACTCATTTCAATCATTGAATATTTTCAGTATAGAACAGGCCAGGAATCAAAAACAAAATCCAATTACATGATTCTTTTATTTGTTCTTAGGGAAACATTTCGAGCTCGGACAAAATGTAAATTATAAATTCATTTTAAATCTGAAGATTTACAGAATAAGATTAAAATGGCACCTTGCCAGCTCTTGTAGATCTCCATCCTTCCCTCTAGATAGATCACAATTTAACAAGGTCATGTTATATCCGTACCTTAGTTCATTTTAAACTTTCTGAAATTAAATTAATCATTAAATAAAACTCGAAATATCATTCTTTATTTACGTCGAGGTCTTTTTTCTCTGTATTAAACAGGTGTCAGGTGTATGTTTAGGTTAGTTTAAGACAGGTTAGGATGGTTTCAGCAAAAACTCTTCAGCTCCTTCAGCCGCTGCGTAGCAGAGGAGTTTCTAAACATGAAGAACAATGGGGCGAAACTTGCTCAAACATATTCAGTATTACAAATTCATCTTTTACTAGAAATTGAAGAGATTGAAGAAATCTTAAATAAGAAATTTTTGTAGAGGGTTGGCAGGGTTCTTTCAAGGGCGTATGTATAAATAAATAAATCTAGGGGGTGGCGAACTTTATATAATAAAGTATAATAAAATGTCTATTTTTTTAGAAACAATGCATGTTTTTCTGCTAGTTTTGTTTGAAGGAGATAAAGTATAGTACATGCAAGGTAATCTTTATCAGGCGCGCAACTAGACATTTGGTTAGAGGGGGGCTAGGGGGAAATATTTCGCGCGAAGCGCGAAAAAAATTTTGGCCCCCCCTAAACATTTTTAGGGGGGGGCAAGAAAAATGTGTTTTATACTTAAACAATAAAAAACTAACCTTACCAACCGGATATTCAGTTATAAGTCAACACATCAGATATAAAATGAAACAAGAAATCTATTCTGGTCAGGGGCGGATACAGGGTGGGGCGGGGGGACATTCGCCCCCCCCCTGACAGATTCAGGGAGGGGCGTAGCCCCCACCCTGAATTTGGAATTTTTTGTTCTTATTTCAGAATAGCTTCTCAATAGCATGCTTAATTGGGAAAGAATCCCTAGTGCAAAACAGGAAAAATATCTGTCTTAATAAACTATAATGTGTGAAAAGTTAAAAATCTAGTTTTTTAGTCTTTAGTCATTAATTTTCACTCTTTTTGAGTCTTTTAAGTCAAAAAAAATTTTCGCCTGCGCCGCGATTTTTGGTTCCTAATTCTGAATTTTTTTGTTCCTAAAAAATCTTGCCCCCCCCCCCCTTCACTTAAATCCTTTATCCGCCCCTGATTCTGGCATAAACCACAAAAATAATTAATTTTCAATACAAATTACATATATATATATAAATTTTCATTAGTTATCCATAAATCAAATATGTACATTGTACTCAAAAACTGACAAGAAATGCCTTTTATTAAAAATTCATGATTTTACATGAAAAATATTTTTTTAATATGACACATCACACAATATTTGCGGTGAACATGTAGGATTAATTGAATAGTTGTACTACAGTATTAAAGCAATATCATAATATGTGGCAGAACTGATAGTGAAAATATCTAAAAAATACTTGATAAACCCCCTTTCCCTTTCCCAGGAAAAAACAGCATAATGAAAAAAACAAAGATTAAGGCACATTGGAACCTTGTCAAACTGTTCTTATCTACGGCAGTAGTTAGGCTCGGAGACGAAGGGGGTCTGTATGTGTGTATATGGTGTATTAAGTGCTGTATGGATTGAACTATAAGCTCAATAAACTAACGTTCAATTATCTTTTTTTATTTTACGATAAGAGCTCTTAAATTTCCTCAGGGTCAGGATTCATGAATCGCTAAATTGCAAAACAGGGTGGACTTCGTCATTTCTTGCCCCCCCCTACAGGGGGGGCAAGACTTCTTAAGGGAGGGGCATGCCCCCCCCCTTAGTCAGGCTAGGGGGGGGGTAGTTGCGCGCCTGATCTTTATGTGACCAGTATTTTATACTTATGCCTGATATCCAAGAAGCCAAATGTTTTGAATTTACAGTTAAATTTTTTTGGGCGCTTCGCGCAAATTTTTCCCCCCTAGAATTATTTCTGTATAAAGAGGGTGATCGTCAAGGAGGAGTGGTTGATCTGAAGGCCCAGTAATACAAATAAAAAACCAGGATTTATTTAACACAAATAATGTTTTACGGTGTAAAAGAGTATTGTCTCGATGATGTAATTCAAGAAAATCTACGGAATAGGGCCTGAATTTTACAGAAGTAGTGGACTGATTATTATCAGTTATTTTCATAGTTCAATTTGTTAGACAATCTATTCATGAACACGTGACACGTGTTTTAAACAAAACTTTTCATTCTGATTATATTAAATATTTGTAAAGAAAAAAGATGAAAATTTGAAATTAATAACTATGCCTTATATATTTTATTTTAAAAGTAAAAAAAAAAAAAAACAGGGTGTCCCACGAAACATGACATTTTAGAAGTAAATTTCTATAGATAATAATCACAAAATTCCCCTAGTCCTGCCGTTTCCAAAATGTGATCTGCATTTTTTGTGCTTTCAATATTGCCCGAGATATGAACAATTTCGTTCAGATTTCGACAATTTTGCTTTTATTTAACAAAATTGAAATCTGAACCAAACTCTTTATATCTCCGGTTATATTGAAAGCACAAAAAACTCAGACCACTTTTTGGGCTAGGAGAATTATGTGATAATTGTTTCAAGAATCATACATGTTAAAGTAGATAGAAGACTAAATGTCACAAATAAATTCAAATATCAAAGACGACTTTCAAGTCGCCTTGCTATTGTCATGTTTCGTGGGACACCCTGTATAACAAATTTTAAAAATATTTATGAAAAATTTATTTAAATAAAAAGGTTGAAAGTGTGTCAAATTTAATAATGGATTGCCTAGAATTTAGCCGACACATACTTTTCATTAAATCTTTACATTTTAGACGGTTTTGTAATCAAGTAATTAGAAGAGTACGTGTAATCTAGCTGGGATTATTCCAACTAAGTTAAACAAAGATACAGCTGAAAGTTTGTTCAGAGTTGCGGCGGATGCGGAGAGATAAAGGAGTGCAACATCCCTGGATGTTCCTCTTTAAGTAATTTAGTCAATTTACACAATTATAATTTATTTGCATAAGCTTATTGAAACCCTATAAGAACTGTGTCAATGAACAATAATTACATGATACATAGTTAAGAAAGAAAACAGCTAGATCAAAACGTAATTTTACGAAATGACAAAGATATCAATCAATATATCATATATAGTTGTAAATGTTATGAGCTAATAAATGTTGTTAAAAAGTCAGAAAGTATGCATCTCTTTATTCGAATTTAAAATAGTACGGCAGTGGGTTAAAAAATAAATATGTACAGTGCTTACTGGAAGCGATTTATCATAAATCTAGAACTTTTTCTGCTGCTGGCTCAGCTCTCGCTTCCGTTTAGCTTCATGCTTCTTCCGTTCTATTTCCTCTAGGGTACACCGTCTCCTTGCAGCTGCTGTCTCCTTAGGGATTACAGGGGAACTATGAACCCGGCGTAGAGAGGAGGAGGTCTTAGGACTTATTCCATCATCACTGCTCTTGAATCTTTTAATTGACCTTGAGAAGGACGGAGAAGTCATGGCGTTGGAGTTTAACGGTTCAAGAGGACGTTTAGAGTCTGTTTCTTGCTCTCTTGAGGTCGGAGAATTCCGTGCAACCAATTCTTTTTCATCAATCTGAGACATCATGATATCCATTGAATCGTCACTCTCAAAGTCAAGTTCACATTTTTTCAATAAATTTTCCTTGAGATTGTTTTTAAGTCTGCTGGTACGCGGGGTTACAGGGAGTGGAATTATACCCTCCGCCTCCTGTGTACAGCGGATAAGTAAAGAGTCATCATCACTAAACTCAAAACTTTCATGGTTTAACTCCGACTTGGAGCTAGTTTCCGTCTCGACAGGGTTTAATCGAACTGGTCGTATCACAGGGGTTGAAGTTTTATTTTTTTCTTCTTTCTTCTTTACTTCTCTTTTATTCTTCATTCCCTCTTTACTTCTCATTTATTCTTCATTTCTTCTTTACTTCTCTTTTCCTGAGCTTGCTTGCAAGTTCAACTAGATCGTTAAATGCCGCAACAGCCTCAGCTGTTTCTCTCGGGGCCTCACGAGGTCGGGACATACAGTGGAGCTTAACCTCGGGAGTAGAAACCTTCTCCAGTTTCAAGGGTTGGATTGGAGAACCGTCCTCGTCTCCAAACTTAACTCCGATTCCCATCTTGGATCGGTATTTTCGTATCTAAAATCAATTAACTAACTTAATTTAAAACCATTCCTCTCCGAAAATATGAAAAATTATTTTCTATTCTTTTCTTACCTGGGGAGTATCATAATCCCAGTAAACTTCCTTCTCTGGTATTACAGCCTTAATACGATAATCTTTATTAAGAAAAAAGTGAGAGAAAAATCAATCATCAAATCATATCATGGGGTGTAGGGATTGCTTGGAGTTCCAACAAATAAATTAAAAAAATATTTAACCAAGCAAACATATGATAAAGCCTGAATACCTGTGAGCTAAGGTAAGTATAAGGAGACTCCTCGCAAATAGAATCATCAGCTGATGATTCTTGCCTGGAGCGGACTGGGGTTGAAATCAGAGATTCACAACTCTTCATGGAACGAGTTTTAGAACTAAATAAATCTCCATAAAATTTATTTATCTTTACACGTTTTAATATCTAGTTTTAATATCTAACCATGTTTAACATCTCTTTTCTAACTGCATTGGTTCAGTAGTCAAGTTTCTTTTAGAAAGTGGAGGTTTACACATTTTTGGGCCTTTTACTGTTTATCTTACAGTAAAAGAAGTGCAATTTTATGTGTCCCTTATTTTCTTTTTTACACTTTATTATTTAATCTTCCATTTCTCTGATGCCACCTATTGTACTTGATAATCTATTTGAATGTGCATCATGGTTTGAGACTTTTTCTCTCTTTCCCTTGTTAAGTAAGAAATAAGAAAAACAAAACCATCTTTTTAATTCAAATGTTCATTTTCCTTGTACACGTCAACTGTGTAAAGCTTAAAAGTTCTAGAAAAAAGTCTTATCTTGAGAAAATAGTGTAGCGTTCATTCTTTACAAAGGTTTAGAAAATACTAAGAACATGTGTTTTAAAAAATCCATGATTTACAAACATAAACAAAAAATTCTTATAATATTAAGAAAATACCTTGCTCCAACTTTTCTTGATTTTTTCCGACCAAGCTTCGACGTTCCTTTCTCCATTCTTCCTGCAATTCGAGTAATTAAAGCTAAGTGATAGGCAGCGGCCCATTTGGGTTACTTGCGAATGCCGCAATGCATTGAAAGAAAGAGAGCCAGTTCTAGCCGCAGCGCGCGGCCCCCAAAAGTGTCTAAACCTAACCTAACCCTAAAATATATACTAATCTCTCTCTTCTTATAATTAATTGTGGCAATCGCGAGTAACAGAGTTTGGCCGCTACCTAAGTAATAAACATTTAAAGCTTGCTAGACTAGATTTCATATGTCCGATTTGTCTGATAAAGAATAAACGAGAAAATTATACTTCTCACAACTTTGATTATATAAAGAATTAGACATTCATCTTTTAATTGAAATTACATCTACAGCCCCTTTGAAAGGGACTGTACAGGAAAAATGAAAGGGGGAATAGGCTGAAAGCTGATGACTTTAGCTCTTGATCTCGACCCATGAAAGTTATTTCTGATGTTCCTGTCTCCAGAAATTGATATAAAACTATGTCAAACTTGTACGAAAATTCATATATATGCTGCAGAACTTCCACTTATGGAGTGCAGTATACGGGTCACGTGTCTGTCTGTATCACGTGACCAGTATACTGCACTACCATTGGTGGGAGTTCTGATGACGTCATACGTACTTATAAACATTATTATCAATTTTAAATTAAAAATTATATATAATAATTGGAGAAAACCTAAGTTACAATTAGGTTTCTCTGTGATATCTTCGTTTTCAGAATGGTTGCGTATTTGCTGAATATGATCTGTTAACACCTTCCATTGCTATACTTAATTGTATACATATGAATACAATAATATAATTTTCATGGGTTGCGATCAACAGCTAAAGTGAAAAGCTTTTAGCCTATACCCCATATACCCCATTTCAAGTGACATTTCACTTTAAAGAGATGAATGTCTAATTCACAACGGAACCCTTTTAATCTTTATCTAATCAACATTGTGATAAATATAATTTTCACATTTATTAATCTTTATCAGACAAATCGGACATATGAAATCTAGTCTACAACCCGTTTACAATATACAAAACATAATTAAGAATTGCAGATGCAGATACAAAACTCAAACATGGGAATTTAGTCGCGACTTTTATTTCTTCTTCAATATGTAATATCTAAAGCAATGTCTACTGTTTTATACTAGAAAAATCAACCCAATTCTGCATATCTCCCATTCTAAAAGGTTTAAGTAGACAACATGGTCATATTAGGTCCTTAATGAATTCAAAGTTGATTAAAAACTTTTTCATTTCAGCAGTCGTAACTTAACTTCTATGTTTATAAGGACACCCTCAGTTAAATTACAAGTGAAAACAAGACAAAACAGAATTATGGATAGTTATTAGTTATTTCTAACTAATTTTTGCTTACGAATCACAATAACGTTATAACAAAACATTACAATTTCGATATAAAATGATAGTCAAGCGGTTACATACTACATGAACATAACAATATATAAAAAAAACTAAACTAAACAAAAGTGGTGGAATGTTTATTTTTTATGACAATAAATTATATAAAAAAAATCTGATTACTAAGAATTATTTATGATTTTTCTTTGCATTTAGTGCGTGCGTGAACAAAAGCCGCAAAACTAATAAATATATACAAATTATCGAGTTTTGTGTGTGTTTAAGCTAGGGTTTACACATTAAGATATAAGCATACTTAAATCTAAGTCCATAACATAAGGTTACATCAAAATTTTTAGTTAAATAGTTGTTAACAATTTTAGATATGACAGTGCAGAGTGTCTTTGGATTACGCACAGTTTAAAAATCGTCAGCCGGTTACCAACGATATACAGAATGTAATGATGTCGTGAATAAAGTTCAGAGAATTTCTTTCGTCAGTTCAAGGTGCAGGATATTTCGTCTTGATTTTTGTTCGTGTCATCTTATACATTAATCTTTTAAAACCCATTGATCAGGCTTCACTCTGCAATGAAAAAAGTAAAATTATCATTAAAATTTCAAGAAAGAAATTTTAAAAAAGCTTCTTATTTAAAGAGAACCCAATATAAATCATATTCATAAAATATTTTAAAAATATTTTTATTCCAAGGACCTTCTTTATTCTGATATTTCTTTTCTTTTACCATAAAAAAAACACTTAATTTCCTCNGGCCCTCACACTGCGTCCCAACACATTTAACCCTGAAGTGGAACTTACTTCTCCAAAGTATCAGTGAGACATTGAACTCCAACTGTGTGAATTAGAAAAGCTTTCTCCAGTGGATCATTGACAGTCCAGGCCATCACCCTGACCCCCTTCCGTCTCCAGTCCGACACGTACTGGTGAGTAACCACGGCCTTGTGGACGAGGACGGCGGACAGGCCGACAAAGAACCAGATAAAGTTCTCCAGGAACCAGGGGAACAGGATATCCACAAGGTTAGCAGTGTGGAGCATAAAACCAGAAAATCTGGGGAAAAAACGCAATGAAAAAATGCGGGAAATGATATTACTTAATGATTTATTATGAATATATTGTACCTAGGTTTCATGCTGACATTGGTTCCTTCATAAGTACTGAACGCGAAGAAGTGAGGTCTGTAGGAGAGAGAACAGACAATCTCCGGATCCTTCCTTCTTAGCTGGTAGAGAAGGTGAGGAAAGAAGGAGGTTACCATGGTGCAACTCTTCATCCCAGGAAACTTCTTGTACAGGTTGAGTATTACGGAGATGGTCTCTTCCGGGACTTCATAGGTTTTCAGGTCGATAATCATCTTCATGTTCAATTTCATACACTCAGCTACAAACTCTTCTAGATCAGGGATACCGGAGAACTCGAAGCTTGATCCTAGAGGATGTTTTGTTGCAAGATTTAACTTCTTGAGATTAGAATGTGTGTGAGATGATATGTGTCCTGTAGCCTGAGTAACCCTGTCAACTGTATCATCGTGGAATACAACAGGAGACATACATGAGGTGAAACTCACGTCGAACTCGATAATCTTGGCTCCGTTCTTAGCTGCCAGCCGTAGAGCTTCAATACTGTTCTCAGGAGCATCAAGACAAGCTGCTCTGTGGGCAATTAACCAATCTAAACAAAATAAATTTAGACCAAAATATTTTCCAAAAATCATCATCCTTCCTTAAAAATCTATCACCAATTCGATTTAGTTAATAGAATGTTTCCCTATTTATAAAACCCTCGATTTTATTACATAAAACCAATGATCATAAATGTAAAACCGAACAAAATTCTAATCTGAAAAGTGAAATTCACTTAAGAAAGAATAAGTTCAGAATTTTTTAAGTAAATTAAAATTATCGTAGCAATCTAGAAAAAAAAAAATCTTCTTTCTATCACATATAGATTTATTTGTTATCTAAATTTCTCCAATGCTTAAGTTGGAATTTCGCATTGAAATAAAAAGTGTTTATAAAAATGAGTTATACAAATTTGAGTAGAATTTTAAAATTAAAAAATACCTCAAAATCTTTGAGAACTAATGATTATTCAAGGATTAAAATCTAATACAATTGCGTGAATTGAACCTCAATTTTCAAAAGATAGTTCAGACATTAACTAAGCACATATTATAGAATTAATTTAATAAATCCCGGTAAAATAATATACTAGCTCCTCTCGCAGGGTGAGGTTAGATATTCGATAATTTTTAATGAAATTAATCCATAAGATGAAAGCTAGAAGAAAGTGTTTTCTTTATTTCTTGATAAAATGAAGTCGGGGATGTATATTTTCTTGAAAAAATCAATACCCCCCTTTGAAAATATTTGTTTCTCAAAAAAGTTAGGTAAGGGGGAAATAAATGAATTTTTGGGAAAAATAGTATTAATAAGGATGAGAAACTAGCCTTTTTTGTAAGAATTGTTTATATGTTACCCCCCAGTTCTTTAGATTATACACCCTTAATGAAACTGATGTTCGTGTTAAATTTGATCATTGATAGATCAGCACTTGAAACACTTATATCCAAGGTTTCAGTGCTAAGAATATATGTATATATATATATATATATATATATATATTGTTCTTCACGAGACCAAGCCGAGCAGACGGAGAATCAAGATTTCTCACCGCATTTCTTGAAGATATTAATTTTCGTTTCAAAATTATTGGGCAATAATATTAGCACCAACCATATTTCAATCACATTAATCTCACTAGATGTACTTAACCGTCTATAGTCTGTAGTGAACATAATTATATACACATATATTCTGCAAGTTAATCTAGCTGCAAAGTTTTGTAGGATACTTGAACAAAGAAGAGATTTTAGTGCAATCAAACTTTACTCAAATATTCTCTTAACCTTAGATCTTACCTACAGCTGAGTCTGGTAGACCCGGAGCAGGATCTGTACCGAGAACCTGACGAACTATGGTAGGGTTGGGAGGAGGAAGCCGGAAGTATGAAACTAGACAGATCATTAAACCGACGATCATTAAATGCAGGGTGATGTGCGTCATGAGACCTAAAACTAAGCTTAAAGCCAGGTAAACTAGGATCCAGCTCAAACCACAGACCCGGGTATACAACATCAACCAACCCAACCCACCCTCCATTCTATCTGAAAGTTTATGATAACTGTAAAATTGATCAAAATTAAACTTTATTTATTAAATAATGGGACTGGCTCTACTGTCGTCTGGTTTACTGGAAGTATTTCCTTGTGAGTCTTCTTTTCTCTTCTCCTCTGTTCCCAGATAATTGAATTTTATGCAACTTCAGTTCCTAGTTTCTCCTTCTCCTTGTTCCAATCCTTTAACCCTTCAGGCAGTTCTGAAAAATAGGTCGTTTATTTTCAGTATTGTAATATATAATTGAACAGTCTAATTATTTGTATTATTTTAATATTAAGATGAAGAGAAGTCTCTATTTATTTGTACTATTGTCATTTCCAAATGAGAAGGTTTTACGTTATTTGCATCTGTAGTAAAAAGTTTACATTTTGGGTTAGTCTCGATTTAATTGTCCTTTCAGTAGCCTAATGCTTAAGGGTCTCCATCTTTCATGAATTTAACGGTTATAATGCTAAATTCGTAAGTAAAATTAGGAAACGTCCTTCCGTCTTAGGAATGATAAGATGAACTGGGTAAAATAAATGAAATGTAAATTAAAGGGGGAAAAAACTTTTTCAGAAACGAGGAAAAAATTGTTAGAAAAAGTTACATGGAGGGTATAGGATTGATTAAAAGTAATAAGCATGTAAATTGTAAGCAATTTTATTGAAGCTACGCCGGTGGGTATAAAATCTACGGTCAAGCTTTATCAACTAAAATGAAAAGAGCAGTATTAAGTTTTTTTCCCCTGTCTATTTTTTAAATTCAAATACAATTGAAACAAGTCCTTACTTTGATAACGTCATTCTTGTGCTCGTTGAGCAGCTCAATAGTTCTTGTCATGGCAGAGTCGATGAGCTTTTTGGCCTCCTCGTCCACGAGTTGAGCCGTGGCCTCGGAGAAAGGTTTATCGAACACCATCTCCCCCTGCTGTGGCTGCTCGAAACTAATGTTTCCGACTGCTTCGTTCATTCCATACTGAGTAATTTGTCCGTATGCAGATTTGGTAACTTTCTGTAGATCATCTTGTGCTCCTGTAGTGATCCTGTTGAAGAATATCCTCTCCGCTGCTCTTCCACCCAGTGTCATACACATCCTACACATCAGGAGTAATATTATTTCCAGTTTTTTTATCGAACATTAATATTAATATTTTGGAACTTAATATCTTCAGTTTTTTAAACGTAACTAGTATCAATACTTTTGGACTTTATCCCAAGGAAATAAGTGTTTGGCTTGAGAAGCAAAATTTGAGTTTTGTAAAAGAAAAGTGATGATGGGAAATCTTTTTAACGCACATTTGATGTTCACTCCCGAACTGCACAGTCTAATTGGGAAACGGAAAATATATCCATAGAAATTATTTATAATATGATTTCATGATAATAAATAGAAAGATATTTTAACAAAACTAAAGGAACGATCCCTAACCTGTCGAAGAGCTGTTCTGTGGTGTAAAGATATTGCTCCTTGGGTAGATACATGGCATAACCTAAACCCTTCCCACGGGGTATAATGGAAACTTTAAGAAGTGGGTCAGCGTGCTCTAGGAACCAGCCAGCTACAGCGTGACCTGCCTCGTGATACGCAACAGTTTTCTTCTCCTCCGGTTGCAGAACATTAGTCTTCTTCTCCATACCAGCGACCACACGCTCTATCGCAGCTTCAAAGTGCTTCATAACGATGCTTTTAGCCAACTCCCTAAAATTAAAAGCAAAATAAGAATGTTTTGACATTATTTAGAAAAATATTTATATTTTTTTTCTCATCAATCTATAAATTACGAACCTAGCGGCTATGAGGGCTGCTTCATTGCACACATTAGCGATATCTGCTCCAGTAAATCCAGGAGTCAGTGCAGCCATCTTCTTCGATAATTCAATCTTGTCCACGTCAGTCTTCAGGTTTCCAAGATGAACCTTAGAAAATAAGTTTTAGAAAAGAAATTATGAAAAAGTATGTTTCACAAATTTTGAACTCAATTGTTACCTTGAAAATGCTTGATCGACCCTTAATATCTGGAGCAGGAACATAGATCTGACGATCAAACCTTCCAGGACGGAGCAGAGCCTGATCCAATATATCCATCCTGTTGGTTGCTGCAAGGACAATAACGTTGGTAGTTCCAGTGTTGAACCCATCCATCTCTACCAGGAGCTGGTTCAGGGTGTTCTCCGCCTCACTTTGTCCACCCACATTCCTTCCTCCTCTCTTCCGTCCGACCGCGTCTATTTCATCGATAAAGAGAATGCAGGGAGCATTCTTACGCGCCATTGCAAACATATCCCGAACCCTTGCAGGTCCGACTCCGACAAACATCTCTAAAAATTCGGATCCAGAGACAGAAATAAACGGAACATTTGCTTCCCCAGCGGTTGCCTTCGCGATTAAAGTTTTACCCGTACCGGGGGGTCCGGTTAGAATTGCTCCTTTAGGAATCTTAGCTCCAAGGTCTGTATACTGCTGGGGGTTCTTCAGAAAATTAACAAATTCCATAATTTCAATCTTTGCCTCCTCGCAACCAGCAACATCCTTAAAAGCTACATTTATCTCTGCAGGATCAATTATCTTAGCTGTTGACTGCATCATACCTCCGAACATACCTCCGCCCTTCCCACCCCTACCCGGAGCTCCCATCCCTCCCATTCCTCCCATCATAGATCCTGCTCTGCGCATTGACCAGACCAAAAACCCTATTAGGAGTAGGGTTGGAAGAACGGAGAACACGTTGGACATCTCCATCTGGGATTTATATAAAACAGGAACAGCACGAGATGGTTCAATCCCGAGTTCATGTTCAACAGCTTCAAGATTTCTCTCAAAGGTTTCCAAACTTCCGATAGTAAACCAGAGTACTTCTCCGGAAACAGCGGAATTAGTGTAAACCTAAAACAAGTTTTTTAATAAAATAAATATAGCAAAACTTAATAAGTAAAATTAATTGATCTTGCCAATAAGTTAAAAAGTCCTTGTTCAAAAGAAAAAACTTATAAAATAAAGCAAATTCAAATAACTTTGATAAGTGATGGACATATTTTTCACAGGGGTACCCACAACGGATGAGACTTAAGAGACGACTGTACGGAATTCACGCGTTCTGTCTGTGTCCTTTAATTCATGATCCCATTGAACTGAACATTTTTACAGTGTCATCATTTATGGTTAACCCTGTAATGAAATTATCATATCTACTCAGATCTAAACAACTTTGTTTATAGTTTCATCCAAATCATATACCTTGACCCACTTGTGATTAATAACTTCTAATTTCTCTACAGTTCCTCTTGAAAGATGTTGGGTCACAAATTCCTTCCAAGAAATTTCCCTGTAAAAAATCGGGTCAGAAATGAAATTTAATTAGCTTAGTTTACTTGAACATGATTTCAAATGCTTTCTGGCTATTGGAGACATGATTAAACTAAATATATTTAACTAGCCTTCTTCTAAATTAATTGTGAACATGTTCTCTTTGTGTACATCGTAAAACAAAACAAAAATAATTCGCGGATTTTCACAAAAAATTTCGTGGATTTTCAAAATTTTCAAAAATCTAATGAAGATCGAATTTTGATGGAGACAAATATTTGAAATTTTGATCATTCATAAACCTTCCCTAAATAAAATTTGGGCCCGATCGGTTCAGCCGTTTCGACGTTTATCGGATACAAACAAACAGACAAGCCAAATTTATATATTTAATGATATTGTTCAGAAATAAAGTCCCAACTCCAGTAGTATAACTTTACAACAATTATTTCTTAAGGACTTCTAATAAATTTTTTTTTACCTGTAGTTCATTTGATTCATGTAAATCATTGCTAGTACACCAACTAGTCCCAACCCAACCATTGACGCTAGTTTCTGCTTCTCTGCATCAGGCATATTTCCTAGGCCGCCCATCCCTCCTCCTCCCCCGCTCCCTCCCTTACTCCCTCCTCTCTGACCAAGTTTAAAGAAATCTGGCATTTCGGATTTTTCCGCAGGTTTAGGTTGGGATTTTCTCGTCTCTTTAGGTACATCTTTAGTAGAGGATTTGGTTGGTTTGGAACCTGGTTTTTCTTTGAAAAATTTCTCAAACCCCTTCGGAGGTTTTGAACACCATTGTTGAAATGATTCAAGAACATCTGATAATGCTGGGGATCTTTGATACCGACCAAGCTCTTTCATATCACGTTTTTTCAGGCCAATGAAGGTTGAATTGTTCCTGAGAGCACGGCCTGCCAAGCGCTCAAAACGGCGGGTAGAGGATAAAAATCTCCAAGACATGGTTACAATAGCTTTGGTAGAACTTCAGAATAATTTAGATTTATCTGAAAAAGTAGGAAGTTGAGACAACTATGAAGGTTGTTACATTACTGGCGATATATATCGTCGTAAATCTTTTAACTTTTACAATTACATCAGGCAAATATTATACAAAACTAAAAATGAAGTTGCACAACTAAGGGAAGAATGAAGATCGCGGCATTTGAGATTGAGTAACGCGCGAAATTCAAATTTACATCAAACATTACACTTCCGAAAATTTAACAGATAAAATGCGTTTAATCAAGCAAAAAGTTCTGTTTTCAACGATGGTATAGAGTTTCTCTATCTTTAAGGCATTTTCTTCTCCTGCTCTAAAAGCCCTAAAAAAACAAAAAATTATTTAACTTCTGGTAAAAAAGCTCATATTTTACTCGATCATGGGTTAATTTAAAAAAAGATTATATAAAATTTTAATAATTCGTTACATTATCGGACCCAAGTAATGTATAATTCTGTACTTTAAAAAAAAAATACATAATTTTTTCTTGAAACATTTAGGAACTCTTTCTTCAAACATAAAACTTTGAGGTAAACCAGTGCATTGAGTCGTAATTAATGTTTAAATCGTTTTGTTAGATTCGTTTAATTTAAATTTACATTCAACATACGCATAAGATCACACAAAACAAACCAAAACAACAACATTTAAAAAATGGAAATATCTTTTTGATTTCTCTTATCTCTATAATGTGAATGAAAATATTGGTAAGATTTAACTTAACCTGAGGGTTGGTTTTGAGTTCTGGAGTCCGGTAACCAGGCATCAATAACTCCTTCATCCTGGAGTAAACCTTGAACTCTAGCAAGCTCTGTCACAATCCCCTTGGCGAAGAAGACCTGGAAGTGTCCGAGGAGAAGCTCGAGAATGATCCAGTCTCCGAACCCGATCCTGAGATTAGAGTACAGTTATCACATATATACAAGAGTCTTATCATGGAGCTGTCTGCTCCAGCGTCAGGGGCAGATACAGGATTTGAGTGAGGGGGGGGCAAGATTTGTTAGGAACCAAAAAATTAATAATTAGGAACAAAAAATCGTGCCGCAAGCGAAATTTTTTTTTGACTTAAAAGACTCAAAAAGAGTCAAAATTAATGACTAAAGACTAAAAAACTAGATTTTTAACTTTTGTAGAAATCGTAAATATTTGATAAATGACACATTTTTCATGTTTTAATTTTAAAGAAAAGTAAATTCAGTAAAGCAAAGTAAGCTGACAACATTTAATGAGAGCTCGTAGGGACCAGGAAATACATTTTCACTTTTCAGATCAAATAAAGGCCGATTTGCAACAAGTAGCAAAAGGCAGAATCTAAGAAGGTGATCCGAAAAAATATAAAAAAAAAACAAGAAACAAGAAGCGAATAACGTACAAGAATGAAAGAATAAGGCGATACACAATTAAGTCACCAATGGAATCTCGTTTTGAAATGTTAACGAGAGGTGTTTTAAACATGAGCATTAACAATAGACCACTATAGAACGAAAAAATGCTTAAAATAAAAGACCTTTTTGTATACTTTCTGAAGCTAAAGCATTAGGCTTTAATATAAAGGTCGATTTACAATATGTAGGAAAGATCAGAAACAGAAACTGTGACGGGGATCAGAAGGAATTGCCAAAAAATACAAAAAAAAAATAAAAAATAGAAAGAAGATGAGGCGATTCACCAGTAAGTAACCAGTATTATCTCGTTTTGAATTGTTGACGAAATGTGTTTAAAAATAGATAGATTAATTATGTGAGGACTAGTTGTATGAGATCCATGTATTGACCTAAGCTGAGTTTAGTCTTTTGATCTAACATAATTCACAATTTGAAATATCTTATGTTTACAACATTGAGTTACAAAGATATAGGGATTAGAAAATCCCACTCAATTTCTTTATTTTATTGCTATCAACGAAAACAAGATATATATTCAATGCAGACAAGGAAGAAAATTGCTGAAATTTGCTTAGGTTGAGACAAAAATCCTAATTCTCCGATATCTTTATCATGAATAGATATAGAAAGTAGGGTTCAGAATCCTGTAGATTAATAACAAACTTTAATTAAAGAATGACTAAAAACTAAAAACTACGAAGATCTTTCCTGTAAACTAGAGGTCAGAACTTTTGATCGTTAAACTCGTAATCAAGCATTAATCTCCATCTTATTTAATTTTCAATATCCAGTGGTGGTCATACCAAGCAGGGACAAATTTAATTGAGGGATAAAGCATTGCCCATATTAGATATCGAAATCAGGTGTTACGAGATTAACGATGTTTCACAGTCCTCACTAAAGTACTGACAACGGAACTGATAAATACATTTTTATTCCAAGTCTTCATATAAAGAGGTTTTTTATTAAATACAATTTCTTAAATTAGACAAAAGCTTAGCATATATAATATATGATTTGCCTTTTCTTTTATCCCCCGTTGTCAAAACAACTACAAAAAGATCCAAATAATTTTATTAATTCATGATAACAGTAGTCTTCTCTGTCTTTGAAATTATTTGTCTATGAAATGTCCTATGAAATTCTTTTTCTATTAAACCAAGCTATTAGGGCGCTTCGCGCACATCTTCAATTTCAATTGTAAACATATTCTCTTCATATACATTGGAAAACAAACAAAAATTTCGCGGATTATTAAAGAAATATTTCGTGGAATTTCAAAATTCTCAAAAATCGAGTTTTATTAGAGGCAAATTTTTTAAAATTCGATCATCCATAAACGAACCCTAATGTCATACGAGGTCCCACAAAAAATTTGGGCCCGATCGGTTTATTATTATTTCACGTTTATTGGATACAAACAAACAAAGTATAAATATGTAGATGTACTATTCATTAAATTTCCTGTCTAAATAACTATAAATGTCCCAACACAAAAAGTTGTCTATTGCATAAATAAACCCTTTCAATGATTTTCTAATTGTTTTTTTTAATTGGTTTACTTAAATATATTGGAAATGAGCGTCATCCTCAGAGGCGCAACTAGGGCTTTTGCTAGGGGGGGGCAATATATTATTTTGTTAGGGTTTGGGGGGAGTTAAGGGTCCCCCCCTAGTTGCGCCTCTGGTCATCCTAACACTAATACCATCTATCCAATCCCTTATGTTAAAATATTATAAAATCTAAATATATTACTTTTCAATGAGTCCGCTGACGTGTGAATAACTTCCGGTCAGGATTCGAATACGGCGGACTCTGTCGGAGACCGAGTAGACGGTGATACACCGTGAAACGATTGCCACACTGATGAGGATGGTTAAGAATGCGAGGAAGAACCAGACGACAAGGAATACCTCTTGATTAATCAGATTCACAATTAGAACGCAAGTCTCTGTCAAAATCAAAGCAAGGTAATGCAAATATTATATTATGAGAATAAAAGGAAGAATTGAATTCTGAAAATATTAATTTACCCCTGTATTTATTTTTGATCCTAATTGTAGGGAAAAAATCTGTTTCCCAAAATTTATTTATCAATCTTAATTTGATAATTTATTTTTATGCTTTGAGTCCTTCGAAGTTTTCTCTGGAGCCTAAAATAAGAAATAAATTAAAAGGAAATAATAAAAACTATATCAACTAATGATCACTGAGTTATGTACTTTATAAAAATAACCTTTGGTAATAATCAAAAGTATTATATATATTAAAAGAGAAAATCAAACTTTTTAAAGAAAAATTAGCCCCTGAATTATACATCAAAACTTTATTGTAGTAAATTTAAAAATATAACTCAGTTGAACTGTGAATTTGTAAAGTATAGACATATTTTGTAACTTTTAAAATGACCTTTATTATATTTTTATATTAATATCTTTATACACAGACAGAAATATAAACAGACGGATATTATACAGATATTATACTGCAAGATATATATTTATATATTTATACACAGACCAGTGGCGTAGATAAGGGGGATTATTGGGGTTTTTTACCCCCCCCCCCCCTAGAATCCTGGGGGTAAATACCCCCCCCTAGAATTGTGGGGGTAATTACCCCCCCCCCCCTAGAATCTTGGAGGTAATTACCCCTGAACAAATATTAAGGCCCTGTTACAGTTGCCTTGACCCCTTCACTTCAAAAAAAAACATTCCCTATTGATTAGTCTGCACTTGTGTAAAGACGTCTATTTTCATGATAGTAAAAGTTTTTGCGGCATTTTGCAGATGCCTAAACAGTTACAAGCTTTGAAAACTGTTTAAAATTTAAACAAAAAATAGAAACCGAACTTATGTATATTGATAATTAGGTTGCTAACATGGCTGCGGAACACCATGAAAACGGAAAGGCTATCTAGCCTTGCACACATGCACTCCCATCCTAGTAGATTAAAATCAATTAAACATGAAGACATTCTTAACAAGTTTTTAAGCGCCAAGCCGCGCAGACTTTTTAATGGAGGAAAGAGTTGTTACTTTGTTTTTGTTTTTAAAAAAAGGTTGATTTTAAAATTGAATATCTTTTAAATTTGCACGAAAACAATTAAAATGTGCACTGTGCAGATACGTCGGAATCAGATATTTAAAATTTTAAGTCAACATATTCTAAATGATTCTAAATTCTAAAGTAATAGTCAATGTCATTAAAATTAGATGTTTTTTTAATAGAAAAAAAGGGTATGGACAATAAAAAAAACATTTTTACTTCTAAATAATGTCATTTCCACATTAGATTTCGTTAAGATCTTAACATACTACATAAATTGACGACATGAAAATTTGACATTCAGTAATGACAATATCTTTTCAAAGTTTTGCAGAGTAGCTTTTCTAAAGATTTTAAAAAGTAACATCTTTTTCCTCTTAGAGTAAAACTATTATTTTTATAATACTTTAAAATAAAATAAATTCAGTTTTTTACAGATCTTTGTAGTTAATGTAAAATGAATGACTATAATGAAGGTTATAAAACAAGGTGAAAGCTGAAAGGTGAAGCCTTGATTAGATTGAGTTTGTAAATCCCAGAAATGAGTGGAAAATGCAAATCAAACCCAATTAAAACCAATAATTTGATATACATCATGATATTTTTCTAGAAAATTTGTTTATTTACTTTTATTCATCTGTAAATATATATCTGTATAATGTCCGTCTGTTTATATTTCTGTCTCTGTCAGGGGCGTAGATAAGGATTCTGTAGGGTTGGTAAAAATTTTTAATTTGGCGCCGAAATTTTTTTTACGGGGGTAAAAAAAATTTCGGCGCCAAATTAAAAATTTTTACCAACCCTACAGAATCCTTATCTACGCCCCTGACAGAGACAGAAATATAANTGGGTATAGTAGATAGCGGAGTAAGGTTGGGTTGGGTATAGTAGATAGCGGAGTAAGGTTGGGTTGGGTATAGTAGATAGCGGAGTAAGGTTGGGTTGGGTATAGTAGATAGCGGAGTGGTTGGGCATAGTAGATAGCGGAGTAAGGTTGGATTATTATACGAGATAACGGAGTAAGGTTGTGTGGGAATAGTAGATAGTGGAGTAAGGTTGGGTTGGGTATAGTAGATAGCGGAGTAAGGTTGGGTTGGGTATAGTAGATAGCGGAGTAAGGTTGCGTATAGTGATAGTGGAGTAAGGTTGTTTTGGGTAAAGTATATGGCGGAATAAGGTTGGGTTGGGTACATTAAGTTGCTAGATATGTTTGATTGCAAAGATGTAAGGATTATAATATTAGTTTAATGCGAGTGTTCCGTTGTTACCTGAGGGTCCACTCCTGTATATTCTACACCTAGCAAGCAGAGGGAACAAAGTAATTTCCTTCCCAGTTCCACCTCCGAGATGATGTTGAATAAAGTTCACTCCGAACTGGAAAAACCGTCCGTCAAAGAAGCAGTGCAGGATAAATATGTTTGCAAGTACGGAGACTAGGTTGAGAGTTTCCGTGACCACGAACCAGAACCCATAGTTCTTATGCCGCCTGCTCTTCATATTCTCCACCAAATACATTACAAGTTTATGAGTGTACGCTTCTCCTTCTAAATCCATGAGTTGAATCCTATCAACTCCTTCCGGGATAAGAGTTCGGAGTAGGTTTCCCTCCAGGTACTTCCAGAGTAGGTGAGGTATCCTGGACACTGCGGCTAGAACCAGGAGTATCAATGAAGTCCACTGATAGTACGTATGTAATACCTAAGATTAAAAAACTCATGTGTTTAACTTGGTCGGAAAAGAAGTGAAGCTCGGTAATTTAGAGGTTTAACAAGAACTTCTAAATCAATTATCATTGATGAGCAGTTTTACAATTTTAAAAGTTTGAAAATGTCGATCTTAGTACATCTGTATCAACATTTGAAGTGAAAATCAGACATTTAACAGATACCAAATTTTATAAAATTTTACATAAAAAATGTATGACCTCAGTTGGACTGTGAATTTGTATGTCTAAATATATTTTGTAACTTATATTAAATTTAAAATGACCATCTGATGTAATTTATGATCGAGTGAGTCCTAAAAATCATAATTTATAGAACATCCCTAGAAACCAGTGACGTCGCGCGACCAGTCCCATTAGGTCGAGATAGGTCAAGTTAGGTCAGGTTACGTCAGATTACCAAATTGGTAGCAATATGACAAGTCCCCTTATAGGTCGTGTTAGGTCCCGGTTAGGTCGGGTTACGTCAGTTTACCAAAGTGGTCGGAACATGACCAGTCCCCCTAGGTTGTGTTTGGTCAGGTTAGGTCGGGTTAGGTCAAATAACCTAACTGGTCTGATACTGGTCTTAACCTGACCAATCCACTTAGGTCGGATTTGGTCGAGATTGGTTGAGTTATGTCAGGAGACCTAACTGNTCAAAAGTTTGGTCATTTGGACGTCCAAAGTGACGTCATTTCGACTTCGAAAATTAGGTTGTGAGGACGTAAGAATCCTTGCGTTAAACGTCCTCAACACGTCCTCAACACCTAAAATACGACGTCGCTGGACGTCCCACTGGTAATTATTGACGTCCTCATGACGTCCTTAGGACGACTTCTGGTTTCTAGGGATTATATGGTTTATTAAATTATTAATCCTTTAACATTACTTCTTTCTCTGACTGGAGATATGGAAACGGTATTCCTTTCATGTTCAGGTCATCAGAGTAGTTCCTTTCTTCTCCGGGTATACTGCTCTCAGTGGAGGTAGTCCAGCAGTAGGAATCCACGAAACTTGTCTTGAAATGATTGTCGGAGGTGCAGGATATTGGATTCCCGAAGACCTGGTAGGCACCCAGCAGGAGAGCTCCGATTAGGAACAGAAAAGGAGTAAACCTATAAAATTAAAGTTTATGATATCAAATTAAATGTTTCCCACTTTGTTTATATCCATTTTACATAAATATCACGGACATAATCTGAAATCTATCGCGACAGCTGAAAAACATGTAACAACTTTTCTTAGAATGGGGTCAATTTAGGGAGACAAGAACTAAACTATAGGGTTCCTTCAGGATTAATCTATGTGAAAATTGTAATGTACACCACTAACCCCAAAAAATGTCATATTACAACAATTACACATAAAATCTGCCACAAATAATATATTAGTCTGCGAAATCTGCAACATAAAGTATTTTAAACCAACAAATCTGCCACAAATAACATTTTAGCCTGCAAAATCTGCATTATAAAGTATAAACCAACAAATCTGCCACAAGATTTCTGTATGAGCCCATGAAATAAATTTAGAAGAAAAAAAATTTTAATTTCTCTTTTTTTCTTAGTTTTTGTTTTTTAATCAAATTATGCCTGCATTATCCATATATGCATTATTGTCTCACTATATTTGACCGTTTTGATGGATTTTACCTGGTATATCATGGGGGGGGGAGGGGGGATGATGGCCTAAGCAAAGAAAAGGCAGTTACAAATTTCAAGTAAAAATTTGACCGTTTCTGATCTGATGCTGCTAGGTTAACCAGTTCATTTTATACTGTTCAGACGGACATATTTGATATGTTACTTACTTCAAGTATCCAGAATAACATACAGAACAAAATCAACATTTGATTTCTAAGAACCATTTTTATGATGAATGTTTTAATTGATGTCAATATTTGAAGCTTGTATGTGCTAATATCAATATTAGATTAAAAAAATCTTAAGAACAGAATATTACCAATCTATTATGTTTAATCCACACCTATTGGTCCATTACCTAACAGAGTAACCCACGAAGGATAAGACTTCAGAGACGACTGTACAGAATTTTTACTGTCAATTTCCTTATATTTAGGATTCTCTCCAACTTAAAACTGGTTTCTTTCGTTGCCATGTCAACAAATAGACCATAAATAGGCAATAAAAAGACGAAATTCAAGACAAAAGACTTAATTTTACCTCGAAATCGTCATATTTTACGAGTTTCAGATCGTCCTTGCAGTCTAATCCATGTGGGTTACTCTGTATGTGTAAAGACAAAAACATTCCCTCCCCTCCCCTTCCTTCCCCTCCTAAAATAAAGAACCCATGGTTACTATGTTCCCCTCCCAGAATAAGTTAGGTACCAATGGTTAATGTGTTCCCCTCCCCTCCTCCTAAAATAAAGAACCCATGCATGTTACTGTGTTCCCCTCCCCTTCCCTCCCCTCCTAGAATAAGGTACCAATGGTTACTGTGTTCCCCTCCCCTCCTAGAAACAGGGCAACGTCCATCTATCCGGGAAAACAGTAGGTCACAAACAAATCTTTGCTCAGTCGAATTCGCTATTTAGACGATTTAAGGGAGTAAACAAAAAAAACATAAGAATTAGCTAGATTATCGTGAAAAATTTGATCATACCTGGAGTTGAAAGTAGTTATAGTACTATCAATGCAAACATTTCTCCGCTTTAATAGAGAAAACGTATCCAACAATCCGAAGTGGGTCAACATGGTCTCTAATTATTCTAATTTAATAATATTTGTGAATTTTTTGTTTGGATAAATATTATTATACTATTGTATATCACTGTTAAAATGACACAAATCAATATTTAAAAAATAAATCAAAAATATTCAAAATGAAACAATTTAAAGCAATATTTCATAGATCTGGAGGAAAAATTAGTAATGCTTTTTTGCACGTTTAAAGATCACAGGATGGGAATGATATGATGACATATGCATATTTTAAGTTCACAATCTAAAAGTATTTTCATTATGTTTGTACAAAAATATTAATAAAATAGATTTGCTATATTTCCAAGTTATCCTTTCCGTGGTTTATCACATATTTTAGTGGGGCGGGCATCAGGTTCAAATTAAGCTTTGGCGGTTTAATAACTTGCATTATTTTTATTGAATGATCACCAGCTAGTTGGGTTCTTAGATCTTACAATGGGAAGATTATCCATACCAGAGAATTTCCAGACACCACATATCACACTAAAAAAAATCATGAAACACAAAAGACAATAATAATAATAATAATAATAATAATAATAGTCATGGTCATGGTCATGGTCATAGTCATAGTCATAGTCATAGTCATAGTCATAGTCATAGTCATAGTCATAGTCATAGTAATAGAAATAGTATTAGTATTAGTATTAGTATTAGTAATAGTAATAGTAATAGTAATAGTAATAGTAATAGTAATAGTAATAGTAATAGTAATAGTAATAGTAATAGTAATAATATAACTACAACTCATTTATTTCCTGCTTTCAGACATTCCCTAAAACGATTTTCCACAATCTTCACCTTTAAAAATAAGTGACGGCTAAGACTTGTTTCTGAAAATCCGATTAGCTCCTTGGGCATCACGCATCATTATTAATTCAGGGGAATTAATAACGAATTTAAGTCTGAAAAAATGACGATAAATAAAAAAATGTATGTTACTTGATGCTAATTTTAAACTTATTTACAATAATAAAAAAATAAAAAATTGAACAATAAAGCTATAAATACTTCACTCATGTCTTTATTTACTTTACTCAATATATACTCAGTTTATAAAAAACTAAGCACAAAATTTGAAAAATAAAAAATAATGATCAAATACGTTTTGAAAGGACATTTAATTGTGTAGTTGAAGTAAAAAAACCTTTTTAGGAAAAATATGTATTTACAGTAATTGTTGCAGATCTACCAGATTCTGGTCATTAATGCTGTTGAAAAAGAAATGTTTCTGAATTCGATAAGTCACTTTCTGTTGCGGAAATTAAGGTTACGCGACACCAAGCTCTGATGAGTACAAAACAAGTTCTGATGTAGATGGAGTTGGTTCTGATGAATACAAATTCAAATCTGATGTAGATTGATTTAGTAGGTGCAAAGCAAGTTCGGTTGTTGACAGATTTAGTTCTGATCCAAGTTCCCTTGGATCTCCTTTTGGTTTAGCTTTTCCAGGCCCTGGCGTAGGTTTACAGGGCTGGGTTTGCTAGATTTTTGTCCTGATTTACGGGATTTTGGGCCAGGCCTGTTCGATTTTAGTTTACCAGATGCAGGATCAGGTTTAGCAGAACGTTTTCCGGAATTAAGGGATCCGGCTCCAAGTTTCATAGATTCTGGCCCTTGTGTAGGAAAAAAGATGCTGGCGTTAGCCATACCAGACACTTGCTTAAGCTTATCGGACACAGGCCCTTGTTTACCAGACAATGTCCCCTGTTTACAGGATACGGGTCCACGTATTCTGGATTCCTGACTGGGTCTAGAGGATCCTGTACTTGTTTTACTGGATACTGTTCCAGGTTTCCGAGAGTCCTTCTTGGAAGCTGGCTTGGATTGAACAGAAACCAGTTTAGCTTTACCAGAAATTTTCATCTTTTGAGTCTTGTTGGGGTGTTCCTTCTTATTCTTCTGCATTGAATGATTGAAGAACCGTAACAGCATCAACTAAACATCAATTATAAAATGCATTTTTGCGAGTTCGTTATAATATTACAATTACATATTTTTGCAATCCCATAGTTTAAACCAAGTTATAAAACAATTTTAATTCATATATCATACAGCATTCTTACACCTAATTTTGGTAAGTCATAACTGCTGTCTAGAAATCATATTTCAAGTTCCAAATTATTTCTCACCCATTTTAGTTAAGTTAAACAGTTTATTTTAAAAACTTTTAAAAGGATGTAAAAATTTCTTTTTTCATTGTTCCTACCTATAAATAAATTTTTTGAGGGGGGGGGGGGGGGGGAATAAAATTAAGGTTAATTCCTATTTCAAGACCTAATACATTTCTAGGCCTGTAAACCCTGAGGAAAAATCACCTGAACTTCTAAGGTACTTTTTCTCGCAAATTTCTTATTAGCATAAGGAAACTCTGCTAAAATAAATTGTAGTAACTGCATCTTCTTGTTTTTGCTTCTTAACTTGGATAATTCACGTTCCATTACTACTGCCAGTTTTATATTCAGTGTCTTCTCATATTCATCTTTTTCTTCTTCAAACCTACAAAATAACAAGATACAATAATTGGTTGTAACAAAAAAGTACGGGGCCTAGATGGAAAAATTTTACATCATGAAATAACTGAAATGTAAAGCTTTCGAATGCCACCTTGATCGTAACAATTGAACGAAAATAGTTTCCTCAGTTACTAATACCCCTACGGCACAGTTTTTTGAGACACCCTCTACATATGTATATATATATATATAAAATTAAATACTTGGGACATAAAATGTCGTCATCCAACTATGAGTTTGGCCCACTTTAGCATTTAATCACTTTGCCTTCATGCAGAAAACCTTAATATATATTATTTTTATGTCTACCTTTTAATATCATTTCTTTCCTTGGTTTTGAAGAAATCTGCTCTATCCTAAATTAACAAGTAAAATCGTTTACTTATATGTATATATATATATATATTTCAGTTTTTAACTTCACATTTTTTATTAAAAAAGAAGATATATATCTATATATCTATATATCTATTATCCATCTCTATGTATATAAAATAATCTTTTTTGTCACAACCACTGGACCGATTTACGTCAAATTTTATAGAACTACGGAAATGTCCTTAGCTTAGTTTTTACATTTTAAGGCTGACTTTCATACAAATAACTTAGTTTCCGGACAAAGCTGGGCTCCCATACTAGTATTTTTATAAAGTAGTATTCTCTGTTTGTTCTTATGTTTATATTTATGTCCGATAATAAATAAATGTTAAATTTTGACTAAACGGTTCCACTGTTTTAGGTCATCAACAATTTTAATCTTACCATCTTTGAAGGGTATTATTAAAAAAGTAAAAGAAGAAAACCTGCAGAAATAAATTTAATTGTGATTATCAAACGTTTATTTTTAAATTTTCAAAGTTCTCACATCGAATATCCAGATCAAATTCAAGATTAATGATACTCCCAACAAAAAAAGTTTTTAAACCACACCTTAGGTAACTTTTTCCAGGCTTCTGAAGCTTCCAGAAGGTGGTTCCTGTGTCCTTGTCCTTCAGGTCTTTTTCTGTTTGTACTTAAAAATTCCTGACAGAAAAAGGCGAATGCTGTTCTAATGCCTTTGGGTGCACCACATGGGTAAAAGTATTCCTTGTATTCAAACCTCCTGAACAAAATTAAATCTGTTTATTTTTTGAGTGAGCGAGGGAAGGCACACCACACCATTTTTTCGTCCGCAACTACACCTCTTTTCGTCCAGCATTGTTTACATTTTTAATTTTTATTTAAATTATTATATTTGAATTTTGAACGACGTGATGTTGTTTATAATGGTTTTAATATTTAATCTTGTTTTATTTTAAAGAAAAAGAAGAAGATGCTAAAATCCCGGCTCACTATCACCTAAAAGTTGCAGTTTTGAAGTAAAATAAAAAACAACAGAAAAGTGTGTGGTCTGGATGAAGAATAGGTGATGCACACATATTTTCCGTTCTTTGAATAACATGGCCTTGCCTAAATTTATAATTAGAAATATCAGGTCTACGACTTCAGGTTGCAAAGATATATGGATTAATAATTTGAGTTTGAAGACTAAAACTCAATTCCTTTATCAAAGAGATATTTGCCAGTTTAAGATTCAGTTTACCCTCATAATCTCTGTAAAGGATATTTAAACCCCATGATATTTCCCCAAAAGTGGGACATTAGATAATTTTTTAGGTTCACCTCCCAAGTGCATGAGTACCGACATCAGTAGGTATGGAAGAGAGCTCCAAGAAGTCTGATGAACTTGATAAACTAGATTTGGATGTAGACTCTGATGAACTACCTACAGAAGATGAACTGGAAGGTTCGGACCTTGAGAAATATTCATCAGGAACTTTCATCTCCCTTGAACAATAAAAATTATTTACATTTCAGGACTGAAAACGCGCAATAAGGGATTATTTACCTTTTTAAAATGCGCTTAATCACCCACTGAACAGAATTAATACAAACCCAATGGTCAGAATCTTCTGCCAAAACAACCATTAAAAAAAACTGACTTCTTCTGTAGGGTTAGTAAATATAAATCTTATCATCTAATAATAACTTAAAATGATTGAATATTGAATAAAGCAAGGAAATATAGTTTAACCTGAAAATTTTCAAGATTCTTGGAAACCCGGTGATGTGCTGAATTTAAAATTAAAGAGACAATTGTTGTATTTTCAGCTTAACCCCCCCCCCTACCAAAAAAAGATCAGTTTCTAGTCATAAATTTATATTGTGTGTGATACTGGTCCTCTAAACAATACACCCCATATATTTGTACGGAGTACGAACAATACTTGCCGCATCTCTTTTTATTCAATGTACTGTATGGACGTAGCAAGTACAGAGCCCGTTCTCTCCATAGATAGTGGTCTTGTAGTTCACGCACTTTGGGGGACGATATGTTGGCCGCTAGATGTCTCATGCTAAATTCTTATCTGATAGATAGATAATTTCATCGTACACTTGACGACCAATATAGGAGACGTCAATTTGTCGACCAATGCAGTTTATGGAAGGAACGGCCTCAGAGCTAAATTCTTATTTTTAATTTCAGCCTAAACACTCCGGTATGTTGAAGACGACATGAGCTACCTGGTCTAATTTATCTAGGGCGCAATAGTAACAAAGTTTTGCAAAAATGTTTAAAATTAAGTTTTGGTAGTTTCTTTTTAGCACCAAAACCTTCGATATTTGGAAAAATTTAGTGAAAACATTTCATCAAATAACATTTTGCTTACTTATCTGTTTCCTCGTCAGTAGCTGACAACATTAAATCTTTGGAGAAGAGCCGGCGACGATTCTCGTTCTCCCTCATCATCATCAGAGCTTTCTGACTCACCTAATTCCTTGGTTTCAGGTTTCCTGGTATTCTGAGTGTCCAGATTGGTTTTACTAGCTCCAACCATGTCATTAGAACCTCCACATTGATCAGATCTATCCGCGGAATCAGTTTTACATCGGAGGTGTCGAGGAACCCATATCTTTTGAACTTTACGTCCTCCAATATACATGTTCTGGCCTCTATGTACAGTCTAATTCAAATATATCATTTGTCTCAAAATTAAGACATTTAAAATCTAAAAACTGAAAAAGATTTGATATTTAATTTTTTGAATTTTTAAATAAAAATATTCACTGATAATTTTTCCTTTTGTGCTCCTGTTCTTTCTTCAGCTGGACGTCCGTGCACGGAAGAAACATTTCCCATTTTTTAAGATTACTATTTCTAAAATAATCATATGATTTTCACAAACCTTTGCTAAAGAAATGAAATTCATTAATCTAGTTTGTTTGGATGTCCGAGCTCATATATCATGAACCACTGGACAAATTCTGATTGGGAAACTCAATAGAATCACAGGAATGTTCTCTGTCTGGTTTATAATTTTTAGGTTGAGTGGCATGAATTTTTAAAAACTCCAAACAAAGCTTGGTTCCCATGCTTACTCTAAAAAAGGCAGTTGAGTGGATTCCCAGGGACAACATGAGATATTCTCTGTTTGATTGTGTTCCTGTAATCAAAGGTACCTCATTCAGGGACATTTTAATACTCTCTCCTAGCAATAATGCAATCTCCTTTTGCGTTATAAACCTTGCTACAATTTAAAACATATCATACATTGGGGTAAATGTTGAATTACAAATTTTTTCTGTCATGGGAAAAAGATTTTAAGATTATTTCAAAGCTGAATTTTCATCTGGTTTACTAATTCCATGAACAATTGATGAGAGCTCTAAGAAGTCTGATGAACTTGATAAATCAGATTTGGATGTAGACTCTGATGAACTACCTACAGAAGATGAACTGGAAGGTTCGGGCCTTGAGAAATACTCATCAGGAACTTTCATCTCCCTTGAACAATAAAAATTATTTACATTTCAGGACTGAAAACACAAAATAAGGGATTATTTACCTTTTTTAAATACACTTAAAATAAAGAACCCATGCATGTTACTGTGTTCCCCTCCCCTTCCCTCCCCTCCTAGAATAAGGTACCAATGGTTACTGTGTTCCCCTCCCCTCCTAGAAACAGGGCAACGTCCATCTATCCGGGAAAACAGTAGGTCACAAAAAAATCTTTGCTCAGTCGAATTCGCTATTTAGACGATTTAAGGGAGTAAACAAAAAAAACATAAGAATTAGCTAGATTAACGTGAAAAATTTGATCATACCTGGAGTTGAAAGTAGTTATATTACTATCAATGCAAACATTTCTCCGCTTTAATAGAGAAAACGTATCCAACAATCCGAAGTGGGTCAACATGGTCTCTAATTATTCTAATTTAATTATATTTGTAAATTTTTTGTTTGGATAAATATTATTATACTATTGTATACCACTGTTAAAATGACAAAAATCAATATTTAAAAAATAAATCAAAAATATTCAAAATGAAACAATTTAAAGCAATATTTCATAGATCTGGAGGAAAAATTAGTAATGCTTTTTTGCACGTTTAAAGATCACAGGATGGGAATGATATGATGACATATGCATATTATAAGTTCACAATCTAGAAGTATTTTCATTATGTTTGTACAAATTTAATATTAATAAATATTAATTAATAGCAATAATACGTTATAAACCTTGCTACTATTAAAACAAATGATACATCTGGGTAAATGTAGAATTAAAAAATTTTTCTGTCATGGGAAAGAGATTTTTAAGATTATTTCAAAGCTGGATTTTCATCTGGTTTACTAATTCCATAAACAACTGATGAGAGCTCTAAGAAGTCAGCTGAACTTGATAAATCAGATTTGGATGTAGACTCTGATGAACTACCTACAGGAGATGAACTGGAAGGTTCGGACCTTGAGAAATATTCATCAGGAACTTTCATCTCCCTTGAAAAATAAAAATTATTTACATTTCAGGACTGAAAACACGCAATAAGGGATTATTTACCTTTTAAAAATACACTTGATCGCCCACTGAACAGAATTAATACAAACCCAATGGTCAGAATCTTCTGCCAAAACAACCATTAAAAAAAACTTGCTTCTTCCCTATGGTTGGTAAATATAAATCTTATCATCCAATAATAACTTAAAATGATTGAATATTGAATAAAGCAAGGAAATATAGTTTAACCTGAAAATTTTCAAGATTCTTGGAAGCCCGGTGATGTGCTGAATTTAAAATTAAAGAGACAATTGTTGTATTTTCAGCTTAACCCCCCCCCCTACCAAAAAAAGATCAGTTTCTAGTCATAAATTTATATTGTGTGTGATACTGGTCCTCTAAACAATACACCCCATATATTTGTACGGAGTACGAACAATACTTGCCGCATCTCTTTTTATTCAATGTACTGTATGGACGTAGCAAGTACAGAGCCCGTTCTCTCCATAGATAGTGGTCTTGTAGTTCACGCACTTTGGGGGACGATATGTTGGCCGCTAGATGTCTCATGCTAAATTCTTATCTGATAGATAGATAATTTCATCGTACACTTGACGACCAATATAGGAGACGTCAATTTGTCGACCAATGCAGTTTATGGAAGGAACGGCCTCAGAGCTAAATTCTTATTTTTAATTTCAGCCTAAACACTCCGGTATGTTGAAGACGACATGAGCTACCTGGTCTAATTTATCTAGGGCGCAATAGTAACAAAGTTTTGCAAAAATGTTTAAAATTAAGTTTTGGTAGTTTCTTTTTAGCACCAAAACCTTCGATATTTGGAAAAATTTAGTGAAAACATTTCATCAAATAACATTTTGCTTACTTATCTGTTTCCTCGTCAGTAGCTGACAACATTAAATCTTTGGAGAAGAGCCGGCGACGATTCTCGTTCTCCCTCATCATCATCAGAGCTTTCTGACTCACCTAATTCCTTGGTTTCAGGTTTCCTGGTATTCTGAGTGTCCAGATTGGTTTTACTAGCTCCAACCATGTCATTAGAACCTCCACATTGATCAGATCTATCCGCGGAATTAGTTTTACATCGGAGGCGTCGAGGAACCCATACCTTTTGAACTTCACGTCGTCCAATATACATGTTCTGGCCTCTATGTACAGTCTAATTCAAATATATCAATTGTCTCAAAATTAAGACATTTAAAATCTAAAAACTGAAAAAGATTTGATATTTAATTTTTTGAATTTTTAAATAAAAATATTCTATGACAATATTTCCTTTTGTGCTCTTGTTCTTTCTTCTGTTGGACGTCCGTGCACGGAAGAAACATTTCCCATTTAAAAATGAAAAATAAGAGTTTACAATACTCGCAAGACTTAGTTGAATACTACGCAAATACTTTTAAGAGAACTTGTTAGTTCTCCATATTCTTCTGTTTAGATTGTGTTCCAACAATAACCTCATCCAGGACCATTCTAATTCTCTATCTAGCGCAAGACCACAATCTGCTTTTGCTTTGCCAACCTTGCTACAATTTAGAACATATGATCCATCTAGGTAAATAAAGAATTTAGAATGTTTCTGTCATGAGAAAAGGATTTTTAAATAATTTCAAAGTTGAATTTTTATCTAGTTAACTCAATCCATTTAAGTTAAGTTGAGACGCCATGGTGATGACTGTAAGAAATTAAACTGTTGACTTGGTTTCGTTTTTTGGTCAATCATTAAATAAAACAAAAAACGACTACACTCAAGGTAGGAGACTTGACTTAAGCCTTGGAGCGTCATATTTTAAAGAGATTCTTTACAGTCTCATTAAAGAATCTCTCTGTATGAATTTTTTCAGTTTCTTTCAGCCTGAAAGGGAGTTCAAAGTGTACAAATCATTTAAATGTTCACAAATTATATGCAGTAGAGTACATTAATGCAGTATGTTCCCTAGACTATTCATTTCAATTTCAATTTAAACTGTTAAATAAACTTTATAATGAATTAGGTGAATAAAAACATCATTTGATTTATAGTTATAGCGGAAAATCATCGTTTGTAAAGTTGAAGGCATAGAGTCTATGTGAAATGATCATTGGTCAATTATGAAACCAGCCTATTTCATTATTTGGTTTTCTTTTAACAATAATTTTAGATTTTCTATAAAATGATATTCCAGGGCCCAAAAGGTTATATAGCATAAATATGTGAAGTACACCTGCAGTATGGAAACAGAACAACAAAATGGCCGTTTTACACTTTTTCTAGTAAATTCCCCTCTAATATATATTCTAATCTCTATGTGGGTAACCTTGTAAGTAGCATGGAAAGAAAGTTCTGAGTAACCCTGGGAAAAAACTTAACAAGGAGAAAAAATCTGAATTTCCTCAAATCCAAAATAAAATTTTACTAAAAAATTGTTTTGATGAGACTTTCACTTTTTACACACTTTTTAAATAAAGAACTTGTTTCAACAGTAATTTGTAATAATCAAAATTTTATTTCCCAGAACTTTTCTTCAGAGAACTTTTATCCTGTTTACTGGTTTGTGTTAACCTCTAAAATATATTCTTTACCATGTAACAGTTTCAGGAGCTTTCTACCTTGACTTTTATAGCTCTCCGTTTACACTCAATGTTTACTTACTGCTCTCTTCCTAGACATTTATAGCTCTCCGTGTACACTCACTGTTTACTTACTGCTCTCTTCCTAGACATTTATAGCTCTTCGTGTACACTCACTGTTAACTCACTGCTCTCTTCCTAGACATTTATAGCTCTCCGTGTACACTCACTGTTTACTCAATGCTCTCTTCCTAGACATTTATAGCTCTTCGAGTACACTCACTGTTTACTTACTGCTCGAGTTAGCATCTGATGATTGTCTTAACATACAGGACTACTTCATCTTTTTAAATCTGAAAATATTGTAAAAATTATCACAAGAATAAATTTTCTTAACAGTTTTTAACTAAATTCAAAGTTAAGAGCACATGCCTAATATTCATAACAGAAATAATGTTGTATGTACGCAAACAATCAAAAACCAAGAAAAAAAAATTAAAAAATAACATTGATTGTACAATGTACATAAAGCTTCTGAATCAGACTTAATTCTGGAATCTCTTCTTCTTGCTGCTGTCAGTGGTGTTCAACTCGTTGAATTTGGTGAACTAAAAATCAAAATTATTAAATAAATAAGACAAAGCTGTTTCTGATTTCCCATGTTTATTGGGACTCCCTGTAGCTACATTTACTAAAGATACTTACCACCCACTTCTTATCCAAAACCAGAGCTAATGCCTCGAGAACATAAGATAGGATCTGCATCCTGTTGTAGGTTCCGTCACTGTTGACCCAGACTCCCAGTTTACTAGGCTTGTGCAAATCTCTGACACTTACCACCACACCGTTCATCTAAACCAACAAAGAGTTATCTTCGAGAAATATTGGAAAATATTTACCCAGTGTAAACTGTGGAATACTTGGTTAAAAAATCATATTTAATAAATTGATATGTTCAAGAACTCTCTTTGTTCTTTCAAAATTATTACTCCCATTAAATGTGGATTTTCACAATTTCTACAAGATTTCGTATGTTAAGCAATTAATTTAAATGGATAACACTTTGATTGATCGTAACAATAATTTGACTGAGTTTATTCCAATAAGCCATGCAGACATCCTTAGGTATGTACAGTAGTTTATGTACAGTAGTTTACCTGGTTATGTACAGGTGCTGGACCATTTTCACCAATCAGACCAAGAACCAAAAATTTCCACAGCATTTCCAGAGTTTCACTCCCGTTTCTGAAGAATATAATAAAAATTTTAAAAAATGTATAGACAAGATTTAAATTGATTTTACATCGTTGCCCCCTGCCCCCAAAAAATTAAGAACGCTTTTTTACAAATATTGCCAAAATTAAGAAGATTTCCTATAATTAAGATTTTTTAACATGTTTATAATATTGTGAATTATTTAAGATTTTTAAGAAATTTTTTTAAATCCCCAAAAAATTGGAAAAAATGAAACATTTTAAAATGAAAAAATTCCCTTTTTGGTCAAATATATTTCCTTCTTCATTGATAAAAAATTGAATATTTTCTTTGAAAGTTCAACAATAGTACTTTTGTAGAGAATGTATGATTAAAAAATATCATTTCAGTAAAAACCTTAAGAACAAAATGCTGTTTTTAAGGCAAATCTTTAATTTAAGAACAGCGGGCAACTATGTTTAATATTTATAGAAATGTTTATCCCTGTCATCGTGTCTGTATGAGTAGACCCAGCGACCCCCATTCTTGTTCATCTTGTCATCCCAGCAGGGGAAGATGCCTAAACATCTTTGACCATTAGTATCATTAGTATTAGTCTCTGGTACAAACTCTGATTTTCTAATCTCAATATCTTTGTTACCAAACGTCATAGATCTTAGATATTTCAAACTATGAATTTTGTAAGATCAAATAACTTTGTTTCAGTTAATGGGGTATTTCTTAGCTTTAACTTTCTTGTTCCATGGATAAAAGATTGACTGGGTATAGATTTTGATATTTAATGATTTTACCTTCTCTGAAGATACTGTAATCAGCATTATAAATTTCAGCAACAGATTCTAGAATTGCATAATTTCACTTTAGAATTAAGCCTGGCTCATAAATCATTAAGCATAGTTAATACTTACGTGTATAGTTGTAGAGAGCCCAGAAATCCTCCACAGTGTTGAAATCCATAATCTTCATTTGACAATCGTTCCAATCCTTACCAGCCTTTGTAGTTTTTTAGATTATTTAATTTAGAAAAAGATTACTGTGAATTGTGGCAACTTCTTCCGAATTTAATATTACTTTCAAGAGAGAGAATGTAAAAAGGAAACGAAAAAAAGATTTCATATAATAGTCGATATATAAATGAATACAATGTCGGAAATTGAAATTGTAATAAATAAAAATTTCAGTACCTGATAACTCATTGGTATATTATTCACCAACCATTATTTAATTTTAGCCTTTTCAATTTTCAGTACTTGATACTATTTAGAAATATACATCAGCCTCTGTATTTTATCACCATTTGAGTATACGATTTTGTATACATAGATATAAATGCTAACCACGGTATTAAGATTTTAGAATTTATCATTCTAGTAAAAAACTCTAAGAGGGAACAGGGTTCAAAGGAATGGGGGTATTCTGAAAAAGACTAATTTTTCAAATTTAGAGATTGTTAAATTTTCTTAATTGAACTGATTTCTCAAACTAAAGCTCCAATACTAGGTGTCCCAAATAAACATGACAAAACGTGCATGACAATACTGCAACTTAACTAGAAAAATTGTCATCAAATATGTTAGTAATGTTTGCTTTTTCAAAATGCCCTTGCTAGTTCAATACTTGAACATATTGTTCTCCTAAAATACAATGAATGTAAATCTGAAACATCTTTTTTAAATAATGAACTAACCTGCTGCTTACAGTACCAAAGAGTCCAGTTCCGGTGCAGAGGATGTTTAATGGTTGTGATCTCCTTTACAATTGTAAAATGTAAATTACAAACATAAACATAAACAAACATGGTAAATGTGCATTGTGCACTTGGGAATAAAGAAAGTAACTCTCGATATTAAAAATATGTCGCACTTTGAACAATGTTTCCTTATTATATAAATTTGGCTTGTCTGTCTGTCTGTTTGTCTGTTTGTTTGTTTGTATCCAATAAACGTCAAAACGGCTGAACCGATCGGGCCCAAATTTTTTGTGGGACATCTAGGGACCCCATGGGGAAGGTTTATGAAAAATCAAAATTTCAAATATTTGTCTCCATCAAAATTCGATCGTCATTAAATTTTTAAAAATTTTGAAAATCCGCGAAATTTTTGTGAAAATCCGCGAATTATTTTTGTTTTGTTTTACGATGTACACAAAGAGAACATGTTCACAATTAATTTAGGAGATGGGCGCGAAGCGCCCTCTAAGGCTAGAAAGAAGAGCGCGAAGCGCCTTGAATTTCTAGTATTATATAAATTTTAAAAGATAATTGCTGAATTCATAAAAAGAGCCACAATTAAAACAGAACATTTACTAAAAAATTCAGAAATTCATCAACGATTTAATAATGAATATCCATGAAAAAAAACCTTTGGAATTTCTTGGTGAACAGTAATCCTGTTTGGTTCCAAATCTAAATCTTTTCCGCTCTTGCCATCGGGTACATCGTTCTCCATCTTGTCTTTAGGCACATCTGTTTTCTTTTCCACAGACTCTTTTTTACCAAATTCCTTTTGAACTTTCTTGATCTTCTTACGGGAATTTACTCCAGTGTTGCTTGATTGTACTTCAGTGTTGCTAGATTGTACTTCAGTGTTCCTTGTTTGTACTACTGGGTTGGTAGATGGTACTCCCATGATATTCGTTCCTTCTCTTTTAGTTTCTGTCGGCATTTCAAGGTCTTTACCCTCATACTCTTCTGTATCATGGTCTCCTCTTTGCTGTACATTACAGGCGAGGTCTACAGAGACGAATTCTACCTTATCCTGAATACATACATAATGAAAAACTTTCCACAAATAGAATATCTATCTTTGTTTTCCGAATTCGCCGAATACTCGTAAACAAAAAGAGCTTTTCAACAAAAGAATATAAAACCTACCTCCATGAATGTGTTAGAACACTGAACTTCTGTAACAAAGACTGGTGACCCCAAAAATGTTGGAAGAGCTGTGTTGTTGAACAGATCTGGTGGGTTGAATACATCAATATTACTGGCGTCAAACATATAATCTAAAGAATACGATTGTAAATAAAAAACACGTTTTTTACTTGGCATTTCTTCAAAAAGTATATTTTTTAATCAAAACTTTCAAGATAGATCCTTTCTGTATTTAAAAATACATTTTTTAAGTAATGTTTTAAAAATGCGCGCGCGTTGCATTTATTTTACCTGAAACAGTTTTTATCTTCTTAAATATGATGCATGTTTATTGTTTAATAAAGGATAACAAAACCTTTTCGTTTTCTGTTTGTCTCCTTTTGCATTCTCCAAACAAGGGCTTTATAATGTAAAACAAGTTAGAGTTTAAAAGGTTAACCTTGAGAAATACTTAAAACAAATGCAAGTTAACATGTTCAAAACATTTCAGCTAAAACAATGAACCTGCTTGATCTTGAGGAAGGAGAAAGTGTGGAACCGGAACTGGAAATCTTGGCACAAACTCTGGTACATTGACGTTCATTCTCAGCATATCTTGACCTTTTATCATTTCCTGAAACTGGATTCCGTTAGGGGATCGATCTCTGTCAGACCAGCTATGATCTTGACTCGGATCAATCTGATAATCATTGGAGTAAATGAGCTGAGTGTGCGAACCTTGAGCACCAGCTCCAACTATGGTATACGGATCAGGGTTCGGATAGTAAGGAGTAGGATGAGCAGGAACAGATGGATCACTGAACACTTGAAAACCTGGATTGAAAAACCTTGGAGTACTTTCATGAAAGAATTCCCTAGGTCGAAAATCATTGGGAGTCGACTGTATTCCTGAGCGTCCCGGATAGCCTCCGCTCTGTTTGTTGGGACCTTGCCAATGATCTCCTCTACTAATGTGAGCTCCTCTCTTCCCGCCACGACGGTGTGAGGGAGGAAAATTGTCATAGCGTCGTCTTTCAGTTTCTCCGACTGGATTAAACTTCCTTAGAGCTGGGGCATTATACCTCCTGTAATTGATATCGTACTGGTTTTCAAGCATTCCATCTTGTAAGCTTCGATAACGGTTTGGATTGTGATATCGACCATGAATAACCTTAGGTCCAGAACCATGATCCCAATACTGTCTGGTTGATACAGGAACTACCCCAACTTCTGATCCCTTCTGCACAACCTGAAGCAGTTTTGACTCCTATTGATGATACTTAACGTAATTTCAAGTGACCCTCCATTTGAAAAATATATGTGCGACTCACAATAGTACCAGATCAAACCCGTTAAACCTTAGTCTCAGCAAAAATTGTGAATTCATTCTTATATTTCTTAAATTGAAAATTTTTAATTGCGGTTCAGTTTTTTCTAAACATCGTTTCAAGAAAAACGATGTTGTATTCCTCCTTGTTAATACAATGGGGCTAAAATTTGAATTACCTCTTGGTTCAAGTTTTCCTTATGGATAGTATACTCAGCTTTCCCATCCATCTTAAGCTTGTTCTCATTACATCTGATCTTATTCTCATTTGTACTCAGGTTCCAAACCTTTTCTTTATTCCTCTCACTCTCAGCGTCTTCTTCTTTTGCCAGGATTACTAGAATACACAAAAATGTGTTAACAAAGTTATATTGTCAAGTTTAGAGCCATCGTATTAATTTTACCTTTTCCGGTAGAGACAGGATTCATCTCAGCCTTAGTTTGATCGTCAACTTCTTTCTTATGTTCAGTATCCAAGTCATTATCTTGATTTTTGATTCCAGGCAGCTTGTCGTTCTTGTTATCCTCCGGTCGCTTCTTGCCCCTTGTTCGGTGATCAGCAATGGACACAGAACGGTTTTGTATTATTGCTTCATTCTGTACTTCATTGTTGTTCTCTTTAGTTGAAGAAAACACATTAACCATGGTTGGATTTGCACCTCCTACAGTCATCGGACACATCTCCATCCTGATATTAGACTCAGTTCCTACAGAAGTTGAACTTGAGTTCCTCACAGGTTGAGTCTCAGCTCTAGTAATCTTGTCAGATGCAGCACACATGTTCCTCACAGGTTGAATCTCAGCTCTAATAATCTTGTCAGATGCAGGACACATGTTCCTCACAGGTTGAATCTCAGCTCTAATAATCTTGTCAGATGCAGGACACATGTTCCTCACAGGTTGAATCTCAGCTCTGGTAATCTTGTCAGATGCAGGACACATGTTCCTCACAGGTTGAGTCTCGGCTCTAGTAATCTTGTCAGATGCAGCACACATGTTCCTCACAGGTTGAATCTCAGTAATCTTGTCAGATGCAGGACACATGTTCCTCACAGGTTGAGTCTCGGCTCTAGTAATCTTGTCAGATGCAGCACACATGTTCCTCACAGGTCGAATCTCAGCTCTAGTAATCTTGTCAGATGCAGGACACATGTTCCTCACAGGTTGAATCTCAGCTCCAGTAATCTTGTCAGATGCATGGCATATGTTCCTCACAGGTTGAATCTCAGCTCTAGTAATCTTGTCAGATGCAGGACACATGTTCCTCACAGGTTGAATCTCAGCTCCAGTAATCTTGTCAGATGCAGGGCATATGTTCCTCACAGGTTGAATCTCAGCCCTAGTAATCTTGTCAGATGCAGGACACATGTTCCTCACAGGTTGAATCTCAGCTCCAGTAATCTTGTCAGATGCAGGGCATATGTTCCTCGCAGGTTGAATCTCAGCTCTAGTAATCTTGTCAGATGCAGGACACATGTTCCTCACAGGTTGAATCTTATCTCCAGTAATCTTGTCAGATGCAGGACACATGTTCCTCACAGGTTGAATCTCCGCTCTGGAAATCTTGTCAGATGCAGGACACATGTTCCTCACAGGTTGAATCTCAGCTCGTGTAATGTCAGATGTGCTATCTTTAATTGCTCCTAAAAAAATTAAAAAAAGCATAAGTATTGCGCATGACATATGTTCTTAGAGAATGCTCCATATATTCTGATTTGCAATTACTAAGAAATTCCTTCAGATGTGCTGGTTTCAATCGACTCACATAAAGAAAGATATTGTTTCGCAATTACTATGCAATAACTTCAGATGTGCTGGCAATAATTGCTCCATTTAAGGTTTAAAAAAAGCAATAAATAAGCAGTCAAATCATATTGGCTGGGTTGGTTACATTTCCCCTATCTATAATGGCCAATAAGTCAGCAATCACGTTAGTTGTGTTAGTATGCTCCAATAAATATAATAGCAATTAATATGCAATCAAATTTGATTGACCGGGCTTTCTTTAATTCTTCAAACCTAGGTATTTACAATAAGTAAACAATTACACAAGTTGTGTTGGTAAGCAATTAATATATTATAAAATTTGTTTGGCTATAATACTTGCTACAAGGTATGTGCAACAAAGAAGCAATCTCCAGGCAAGCTGGCTAGTAATGCTCGTTTATATATCCATGGTATTGCATCTTTAAAGGGAGTGACCAGCAATTTATGGTAGTTGAACTGAGAATGCAATATTGAGGAGAATTTTTTTAGGAATAATTTGAGACCTATGAGTCGTTTTTATGGTGCATATTTATTCAACAAGAGCGCATATTTAATCTTTAAAATCCTCATAAATTGTTCATTTTTGAGGGATGATTTTGAGAATCGGTTTTTAAAAAATTATTCAAGAGACAACGAAAAATGAAGAAATAATTCTACAGTAAACTTAAGTAGTTGTTTAGAAACAGGTAGAGAAAATAAAAATTAACTATTTATCAGAGAAAGTAATCTTCTTCAGTTATTGGTTTCTGTAATGTCCCATTGTTCAAAACATTTTCTGTGATTTCCTGTAATTTTTATTGAAAAGACGACATTTAAAGAATTTGAAGAAATCTGCGAGCGAACAAATTCACAAAGAAAAAAAATTCAATTTTATGACGAAAAAGAAATAATTGATTCTAACATTGATTTATTGAGAAAATTTCAATTGAGAAATATGTTCCTACACATCTAATTAGTTTACTGTAGATTTTTAAAAACATTTTTTGTCGTCGTTATTTAATAATTAAAAAATTTGATTCTCAAAACGTAACCATCCAAATGAATGGTTTTGAACGTCGACTTTGCGCCCAGGAGTATGAAATAGAAGGGAGGTACAACTGACGTGGCCCGCCCTACCATATGATATGTCTGATGTACAATTACCGCTTGTACAATAACCTATTCTGAATATTTCTTATACAAATGGAGTACCGTCTGCAAAGCATGTATAATCATATGGTAGGGCGGGCCGCTTCAGTTGTATCTCCCTTCTATTTCATACTCCTTGCTTTGCGCTCAAACTCAGTAATTATACATCATTAAATGAATCCTAATTTTTTTTCTCAACAATTCTACATTCTCAGATCAACTACAATACATTGCCGGTCACTCCCTTGAAGTCAATATAGAAACGTAGTAGTGTTCAATAAAAGTTCACTCTCCAATATTTGTTTGACTCTCCAGAACGAAATAAAATTCCCCAAAGACATTGTCCACCTTCAAAAATATTAATTGAATTTAGAATGATCTTTCTCCATCTATGACTGTCCGAATGAATTCATGCATGTGATAAAATTAACTTGAACTCTCTTTAAAAAAACCTCCAACAAACCTGTAGGGTTTCGGACACGTTTCGCTGCAGTATTTTCCGTTGTAGACATAGTTTCTATATTGACTACTGCTCCGTCCTTAGTCTCTTTCTTGTTTACAGTGTCTCCTACACCAGCTAAAGATACAGTGGCTGAAACTACGGTTGGTTCATCAACTTCTGATTTCAACTTTGATTCAGCAGTTCCCTTATTCACATTTTTCTTCGTCTTCTTTCCCATTTTTATATACCTAATATTCTGCACACAAACAAATTCGATTGATTTTAAGCCGTAAAATAGTTGCGAAGCATAATTAAGATAATAGGTATTTAAAATTACAGTTTAAAGTGAATTAACACCGATGTTTGTAGATTCTCTTTCAAGGTTGTGGAGGAGTGAATATTAAGAAACTAGATCACAGAGAGTGTCCTGGAATCCATGGTTGAGGATGTTGGACGCCGTGTTGTTGTTGATGTCAGTTTATTTGTCTACAGCTGTGTTGATCTTGGTAGCAATTACACACTCCTCACCAACAGCAGAGAGTACAGTACACTGAAATATAATTAGTTTTTAGATTTCAGACCTCGTTACAACTAAAATTAGCACTTGAGTATATTAATTTTTATTATTTTAGAACCATCTCCCTTCCAGTGTATTTTTACATTTGAATTCTCATACCATAATATCTCTTTCAGCGGCGATGGCATCTTTGATTTCGTCCCCAACGGAATCCTCGGGGCACTTGAGGTCGTCCCTGGTATCGCCAGTATCGTCCATAAGGGAGAGGAAGTCGTCCTCGACACCAATAAGCTGGTAGTCCTTTCTCTTAACGTTGGGGACTTCCATGTTATGAGTAGAAGGGCAAATATCCTCAAGCTTCTTACCTAAACGTTACAGAGATTTTTAATTCCATATTTTTTGTTTTAAGAATTTTAAAGCAAAAGTTTAGAAGTTCAAGATCTAGCGAAAATTACTTTTAAAAAAAAATTGAAGGGCCATTTATCTCTGAGTTTTAACCCTATAACGGCTGGGGGGTCTGAATCTATGTAGTTTATAATCTTAAATATATATAAATAGAATAGTTTTGAAACAAAGGAAGTGGGGAGGAAATGAACCCAGGAATGTGAAGAAAGGGGAAAATTACAAAGGCATTTAGGATATAGTGACACAATACACATATATAAATATAAACATTTCAGATTTCAAACTAACCCTATACAATCTTTTTCGTTCAAGAAAACAAATATTGTATTATTATTTTCAGTTTATATAATGAATGTATTGTATATTCTCAAAGTTTCATAGTAAAAACCTATTTAATCCCAAAGTTAACAACCTAGTCAGGCTTAAAGAAATTCTGGTAGTTGTCTATAATCATTTAAACTTTTTCAAGAAGTATTAATAAAGTTGCAACTGTTTTTAATCCATGTAAATTTTTCAAATTCGTACATGCCTTGAAAAAACAGTTGTAAATTTTCTAATCCCTATATCTTTGTAATCCGAGGGTGTAAATCTTTAAAATTTCAAATGAAAGTTATTTCTAGGGTCGACTACGAAAGTAGTTTCTCGCATTTGTTAAAATTTCATTTTCGCATTTGTGACAAAAACTTTTTTCATTTTTAGCAAATATTCTAAGCACATAAACTGTCATACATAAGTGTCTTGGCACACAGAGGCGAAAATCAAGATAAAAATAATAAATTCAGAATTAGTGCAAGTGAGATATTCAACACTTCCTTCCTCACCTGTGAAGATATCAAGGGCGACCATGTGAACCTTGGCGTGTCCGTGCTTTCCGGTCTTTGAGGTGGACATCTCAACAATCTTGCAGGGGCGGTTCTAGATCAAATATTTTTATGAAGTACTATCTCTGATTAAAATTTAAGAAAAATGAGTTAAAGACCTAATAATTTGCGAAATCTACAATAGGAAATCAAGCTCTCCTAAATATATTATTTTCAAAATGCGGCCTGACGTTTTAAATAATTATTTAATGAAATAATAATTTTGAAAAACCGATTCTGAAAACGTATCCACCCAAAGGTAAGATTTTAAACGTCGAATTTGCGCTCAAACTCAGGATTTACAGATCTTTAAGGAGTTTTATATGTCTTAAATGAATCCTCAAGAATTTGTCCACAACACTGCATACTCAGTTCAACTACCTTACATAGCCGGTCTGTCCTTTTAAATAATAAATTAAGCTTAGTGTCAGATAAAGCATTAACAAAATCTGGTAAATCGTCTTTTGGAATGCTCAAGGAGGAGCGGTATTTTTCCCGCGGTTGTTTATATTATACAACCTTGATCTTGCTCGTCTTCAATTTATATCATTAATCGAGGACAACGGTCGTCCGCCGTTAATGATCGCACATCCCGGTTCCCGAGTGTGACAATCTTATAAAGACATAAACTCGGACTTTTAGTTTTACTTGATCAGTTCAAATTACCTTAATCATGACGAACCCTCCCTTCCTGAGAGCCGAGCACTGCATGGGGAAGGTTGCGGATGCTCCAGCGTCTCCACCGTCAAAATCAAATCCTTCCTCTGTCATTGTAATGTTTTGATGGACTGAAAGTAGAAATATTTTCAAGAACTATATCACCGTGCCACAAATATATATAAAAATATCATCATAAAGTTTATTTGGTTCTAGAGTTTACATGTATACATGGTTACCACAAAAGAATGTAACTTTAATGACTACCTAAGCCTCTAAAATAAATCGTTCAAAAAGTTTACTGTCTCTCAAGACTTTCAATAATATATTCAGTCATTTTGGCACAGAAAAAATAAGTTAAATTTATGTAGATTTCGTACAGTCGTCTCTGAAGTTTCATGTGGGTAACCCTGTAGAACAGTAATAGCGGTAGGTTTTTGAATTCTTGTCAGCAGATGCTAAAATTATGATTCACCAAGCTGGTCACGCAAGCAAGGGCGGATATAGGATTTAAGTAAGGGGGTGCTTGATTTATTTCGGAACAAAAAAATCAAGATTTAGGAACAAAAAGACGTGCCGCAGGCGAAAATTCTTGTTAAGATATTTTTCCTGTTTTGCACTAGGTTTTCTTTCCCTTAAGTGCTATTGAGAAGTTATTCTGAAATCTCGTGGGGGTGCGATATCCTGTCGCCCCTGCTACCAAGTCTCACAGCGATCCAAAAGTGGCAAGCCCTCACGCAAAATTGTTAGAAAAATTTAAACTTCTTTTTAAATGGTAAATTGCTAAAAACAAAATCTTTATAGTTTTAAAATGTACATGTCTAGGGATACTACTCGACCTAGTTGGGTAAAATTCAAGGCCAAGGTGTTGCAAAGCTTTGAAAGACCCTATCTTGAAAATTCATGGAACTTTTTGAAGCAGCTGGATCTATGTGGTCTAGACTTCTCCTTAGAATGTTCTTTATACTAGGCGTGATACAGGACATGTATAAATACTTAAAAATTTGATCTTGCATTTTTTGGACTTATTTGTGCTGTCTTCTTGGTTCTCTCATGCTCATTCTTAACGTAGATTGTCAGGATGTCTCAAAATGATTACACACATTAATCCCTATACCTGGATCGATATAATGCGCCGATAATAGCGACTGACTGTCACAAATAAACTCGGAGTTTCTTAAATCGTCTTGCTACTGTCATGTTAGGTGGGACACCCTGTAGATAAATTGATTTTACGGGCAATTAAACACTAGACTAAGTAAATTGCATGCCAGATTGAAATTTTTATGTTTTCAATCATAAGTCCTCTCATTGAAGAAATATTGAGAAGAGAAATTGTCTTGAATTTACTGATATGTAACCAGATGAATTTAGCTACCTCCTACATGTGCGTAAAATCAAAACTAGAGAAGCTAAGAGGTCAGAAAGCCGTACCAATAAAACCTACAAACCTCTATTGAAAAGTAAAATCAATGTCTACTAAAGTCAGTGGATCCGGGTCTGATTTATTTGGATTAAAAACAATTGATCTGGATCCCGGTTACCTCATTATTATAAACAATTAACAATGGATCCTGACAAATCAGAACATTTTAGTTGGGCTACTTTATTCACACCAAAACAGATTTCCAAAACCTGCAAGTTTTTGCATGTCCGGATCCAGGGTTCTACAATGTTAAGGATCCAATGGATCCGGATCCTAAGTACGGATAAAAATCAAGTTCACGTGGCGTAGAAATTGCCCGAAGTTGATTAAGACGACGGGTTTTGGGAGTTCTCAAGTTGCGCGGCATTCCCTGACTATAGATGCGCTTTGACTTGTTAAGGTCGTCAGCATTAACTTCAACGTTATCAGGAACTTCTTTAGGTTTGTTCGTGTCTGGGGGTATCGATGTTCTCCTGGCTTCTGCAGTAAGAGATACAGGTTGATCCAAAGGTTGAATCTCTGCAGGATCAGATTGGACTGTTACAGGGACGATCAATGATTCTGATTCAGCCGCTTTAGGAGATTCGGGTCTTGCAAAGTTAGAACTTAATTCCCTTTCTGGAGTTGGAGATTGTTGTGGTTCAATGTTTTCAGCAGGGTCTGTAAGCAATTGATATATTATAAAATTTGTTTGGCTATAATACTTGCTACAAGGTATGTGCAACAAAGAAGCAATCTCCAGGCAAGCTGGCTAGTAATGCTCGTTAATATATCCATGGTATTGCATCTTTAAAGGGAGTGACCAGCAATTTATGGTAGTTGAACTGAGAATGCAATATGAGGAGAATTTTTTTAGGAATAATTTGAGACCTATGAGTCGTTTTTATGGTGCATATTTATTCAACAAGAGCGCATATTTAATCTTTAAAATCCTCATAAATTGTTCATTTTTGAGGGATGATTTTGAGAATCGGTTTTTTAAAAATTATTCAAGAGACAACGAAAAATGAAGAAATAATTCTACAGTAAACTTAAGTAGTTGTTTAGAAACAGNCCATTTGTATAAGAAATATTCAGAATAGGTTATTGTATACGCGGAAATTGTACATCAGACAACTATTTCTTATACCATGGAGTACCGTCTGCAAAGCATGTATAATCATATGGTAGGGCGGGCCGCTTCAGTTGTATCTATTACATACTCCTTGCTTTGCGCTCAAACTCGGTAATTATACATCATTAAATGAATCCTAATTTTTTTTTCAACAATTCAACATTCTCAGATCAACTACAATACATTGCCGGTCACTCCCTTGAATTGACGTTTATTGGATACAAACAAACAGACAGACAAACAGAAAGACAAGCCAGATTTATATATAGATAGAAGATGGAATCCATGTTTAGGGGAGAGAAGTGAAGGATCTAGTCTTCAATATTTGTTTGACTCTCCAGAACGAAACAAAATTCCCCAAAGACATTGTCCACCTTCAAAAAAATTCATTGAATTTAGAATGCTCTTTCTCCATCTACAACTGTCCGAATGAATTCATGCATGTGGTAAAATTAACTTTAAATCTCTTTAAAAAAACCTACAACAAACCTGTAGGGTTTCGATCATGTTTCGCTGCAGTATTTTTAGTTGTAGACAGAGTTTCTATATTGACTACTGCTCCGTCCTTAGTCTCTTTCTTGTTTACAGTTTCTCCTACACCAGCTAAAGATACAGTGGCTGAAATTAAGGTGGATTCATCAACTTCTGATTTCAACTTTGTTCAACATTTCCCTTCTTCACATTTTTCTTCGTCTTCTTTCCCATTTTTATATATCAAATATTCTGCACACAAACAAATTCGATTGATTTTAAGCCGTAAAATAGTTGCGAAGCATAATTAAGATAAAAGGTATTTAAAATTACAGTTTAAAGTGAATTAACACCGATGTTTGTAGATTCTCTTTCAAGGTGGCGGAGGAGTGAATATTAAGAAACTAGATCACAGAGTGTCCTGGAATCCATGATTGAGGATGTTGGACGCCGTGTTGTTGTTGATGTCAGTTTATTTGTCTACAGCTGTGTTAATCTTGGTAGCAATTACACACTCCTCGCCAACAGCAGAGAGTACAGTACACTGAAAAATAATAAGGTTTTTAGATTTTAGACCTCGTAGAAACTAAAATTAACTGTTAAGTGTATTAATTTTTGTTATTTTAGAACCGTCTCCCCTTCCTTATTGTGTATTTAGACTAAATTTGAATTCTCTTACCATAATATCTCTTTCAGCGGCGATGGCATCTTTGATTTCGTCCCCAACGGAGTCCTCGGGACACTTGAGATCGTCCCTGGTATCGCCAGTATCGTCCATAAGGGAGAGGAAGTCGTCCTCGACACCAATAAGCTGGTAGTCCTTTCGCTTAACGTTGGGGACTTCCATGTTATGAGTAGAAGGGCAAATATCCTCAAGCTTCTTACCTAAACGTTACAGAGATTTTCAATTACATTAAAATTACTTTTCACGAAATATTTTTTGATTTCAGAATTTAAAAACAAAAAAGTTTAGACGTTTACGAAAAAATACGTTAAAAAGGGTCTTTTATCTCTTGAGTTTTAACCATATAAAGGCTGGGGAGTCTGAATCTATGTAGAAAGAGGTCTTAAAATGAAGGTATAAAGTTGCATTATATGTACAGGGTGTCCCAAAAAAATATGGGAATTCAGTGACGAATTCAATATCGCCTTTGTTATGAATTAGCATTGTAATACCTAATTTCAAAAGCCATAATATTATCATGTCTGCTAGAGTTTATTTAATGAAAAGGGTAAAAGNTGCTGAAAAATAAATGGTCATGTCTAGAAAATAGCCAATTAAAACAAAATTTTATTTCAGTGTACCTGTGAAGATATCAAGGGCGACCATGTGAACCTTAGCGTGTCCGTGCTTTCCGGTCTTTGAGGTGGACATCTCAACAATCTTGCAGGGGCGGTTCTAGATCAAATATTTACATGAAGTACTATCTCCGATTAAAATTTAAGAAAAATGAGTTAAAGACCTAATAATTTGCGAAATCTACAATAGGAAATCAAGCTCTCCTAAATATATAATTTTCAAAATGCGGTCTGACGTTTTAAATAATTATTTGAAATTAATTAATGAAATAATAATTTTAAGAAGACGATTCTGAAAACGTATCCACCCAAAAGTACGATTTTGAACGTCGACTTTGCGCTCAAACTCAGGATTTACAGATCTTTAAAAAGTTTTATGTCTCAAATGATCTTGCATTGTAGTTATTTTTTGGACTTATTTGTGCTGAATTCTTAGTTCTCTCATGCCCATTCTCAACATACATTGTCAGGATAGGATATCTCAAAATGATTACACACATCAATCGGTAATGTTACATCCCAGTAAACATAGTTGGGAACTTTTTTCCATGGAACCATCTGAGGACCTATTCCCCAGAATTTCCCTGATATTTCTCCGATGTTGAGTCCCAAACAATTCCATGTAGCAGCTGTAATACCACGTGCTAGTAGGTCGGATGTGTAGTATAGCGGATTTGGCGTGGGTCAGAAGTGGAGTATGGCGGATATGTGTAGGTCGAAAAATACACCACCACATCAATCACCTAAACCGGGATCGATATAATGCGCCGATAAATATTATTAGAAACAAGCTGATATTAATTCTAAAATGTAAATGGTTGAGATCACAAAATGTATAATAGCGTGTCAGTCAGGTGATGGCAAAAGCCAAGGTGTTGCTACACTTCTATTTCCAGCTGTTCTGTTAAATCAAATAATCTAAGGTTTACATGTCTAACATGTCATGCATCGAGTAGAATCCCCCTAAAATAGTAGCCAATTCAACACAATGTTTTAAAGCAATGTTACATTTTTTATGTTTATTGATTGGAATAACACATTAAAAATAAACTCTCCCTAGAGTAAATATTGATTGTCTAATAACTTGAAAGGTGGACGACATTTCAGAAACTAACCTTTCCAGAGTGGTGTATTTTACGGATCTTACGACGCTATACTCAACTTTAACACAAAGATAGTTGGCATAGGTCCGATATTGCAGTAGGTCAGAAATTGCGTAGACGATGTAACACACATTTTTTTTTAACTTTACATTCTTCATAACATTTAAGAACTTAAGTAATTCAACTGTTAAATTTTTTAATATTGCTTTTCATGTCCAACATAATGTTAAAAAGTCAAATCTTTAGGGGAAGTCAGCTCAATGTAAAGCACTAATTAGAAAAAACAAGGTAGCCATAGGTTACAGTGCATCTTATTCTTAAAAACCACATCAAAACTTAGAGGTAGTCAGCTCAATGTAAAACACTAATTAGTAGAAACAAGGTAGCCAAGAGGTTGCATTGCAACTTATTCTTAAAAACCACATCAAAACTTTAGGGTAGAGTCCGCTCCATGTAAAACACCGCTTAGTAAACCAAGAGATTGCAGTGCATAACTCATTCTTAAGCCACATCATGTTTCTTAACGTTTGATCAGTTTCTCTTCGTGTTGAAAATTTCTCGATCCACACAATTTAAAGTAAAGTCCCTCATTTTTGTTCCACATGCTCTTATCACGTTCTGTGTCCCATTTTATTAATTCTAACGATCACAAATACACAAATTTATTGGTTAATTCTACACAATCGTTGAAATCATTTGTGCTTTATTAGTTATGCATATTATCAACACCATAGCGAGTTAATGTCAACACCGCAGTAAATAAAAAAATAGTTTATTATGAAAAGACGAAATATACACATTATAAAACAAGATCCCCTCCCTTACACTAAAAAATAATGTATTTTTTAAAGATTTATTTCCATATTCACGGCGGTTCGGTGTAAAAAGGGGGGTTCAACCCAAACTATTTAAGTTTTCAAGCGATGTCAACTATATATAGGATGCTTAAAAATTACAGTTTATAGAAGAGTTCTGTATCAGTTACAACACATCTTAGACACGACTGATCTAATGTAAAGTCAAACTTCAGACAAGAGTTAAAGATTCCAACCCTGGTTCATAGAACCCGGAACCCGGGATTCAGAACTTGATCTTGAACCTCGTCTAGAACTTCTCTTTTAAGGTGGTGGAGGAGTGAATATTAAGAAACTAGATCACAGAGAGTGTCCTGGAATCCATGGTTGAGGATGTTGGACGCCGTGTTGTTGTTGATGTCAGTTTATTTGTCTACAGCTGTGTTAATCTTGGTAGCAATAACACACTCCTCACCAATGGCCGAGAGTACAGTACACTGAAAATAAAATGTACTAGAGATTTTTTTTATGGACTCGAGAAAATCATCCAGTTAGCCGTTTTAAATATTTTCAAAATGAATCCTGAGCTGAAAACTTTGGAATGGATAAACTTTAATTCTGACTTCTTGATCCGAATATCCACTGTGGAAACTTTTCATTTTAGTCCTTAATCCACTCTTTTTCTCTCTCTGGATATTCGTTAATTGTTTTCTCCAATGAGAATATTTCTGTTCTCTCATTGGTTGCCCGCTTTTCTCTGATTGGCTGCTACAGTTTCTCAGATGATTAAATATTAATTTGAATCTTATCGTTTTTCATACACTTTTAAAATAATCTTGCAAGATTATGTTAATCTGGAGATTAAGAAAAAGAGTGGATTAAGCCTTAATCCCGATATCCACCATTCAAACGTTCCCAGCTCTGAACACCCAAGGAGCTTTGTTGCATTTACAGAGCAATATTTAAAACTAACAAAAATATTTGTGAAAATATTAATAGAAATGAGAAATGAAACTGAGCTAAACTTCTTATATTTAAACGCAAGAAAATATATGTTTAAAACAGTGCTCAGGATCAGGATCCGCAAGATTTTGGTTCCCTGGATCCGGATTCGCAAAAATATGCGGATCCACGGATCCGGATCCAAGGGGTAAAATGACAGCCAAAAGCTGCAAAAAAAAACTTTTTTACTCTTAAAAGCCAAATCTGAACTTCACAGAGATTATAAAAATTTACTCATTTCTGAATGGTTTATCAACAAAAAATTTGAAAATTAATTTGTTAAAAAGCTTAGTAAATCTTAAAAGAAATGACCTGGATCCGGATCCATTTTTTCCAGTGCGTATCCAGGATCCGGATCCGCATCAAAATTAAATGGATCCTAAGCACTGTTTAAATTGGCGAAACACTATGACTTGACTTGAGGGTTTAACGATTCTACCATTAATCGGCTTTCTTTGAGGAATACTTAATCCCACAATAAAAATATATTTCACAATCCCATATTACAGATAAATCCCATCACTCCTCTCCCCATATTTATATTAAAAGCAGGACTAATATCTGTAATTCATCCTTAAGATCCCACATTTAATCATCGTAGACCAATTATCTAAATTCATATCATAAATCCCATATTTAAAATTCAACTAATGGATCCCATCTTAAATTAAACTCATTGATCCCATAATTAAAATTCACGTAATAGATATTACCATATTTAACAATTAATCTCATTGATCCCATATCTAAAATACATCAAATAGATCCAATAAATAAAATTCGTTTAGTAGATCCCATATTTAAAATTCATCTAATAGATCCCGTATTTGAAATTCATCTAATAGATTTCGTATTTAAATGCATCCAAAATTTGATAATCAACAATTGATTCTATAACTAAGTAATCCCTTATTTGAATTTCATCTCATAAGATCCAATATTTAAATTTCAACCACTATATCCTTTATTTAGAATTCATCTCATAGATCCATTATCTAAAATAAATCTAATAGATCCCATATTTGAAATTCATTACACAGACCCAATACTTGAAATTCATCTCATAGATCCATTATAACTGATCTAATAACCCCATATTTAAAAATTAATATTGAATGAATAATATTGAATATTAAAGTTTCATCTAATTGATCACCATCCTCAAAGTTCATCTCATAAATCCCATATTTAAAATTCATGAACGAAATTATTGAGGAGGATCAGGTTTACTTCACATTATAACTATTTAATAGAAGAGGAACACGCACGCAAATATCAAAACTGAAGCCTTCATAATAGCGTTAACCCATTATTTTTTTCACAGTAATATTTAAAGGCAATTTAAAACCTACCAGAATATCTCTCTCAGCGGCGATGGCCTCTCTAATTTCGTCCCCAACGGAGTCCTCGGGGCACTTGAGATCGTCCCTGGTATCGCCAGTATCGTCCATAAGGGAGAGGAAGTCGTCCTCGACACCAATAAGCTGGTAGTCCTTTCGCTTAACGTTGGGGACTTCCATGTTATGAGTAGAAGGGCAAATATCCTCAAGCTTCTTACCTAAAACACGTAACAGGAGCCTTTAATTCGTTGAGGTAAGAAGACCTTATTTAAAGCTAAATTAACCATCACATTTGATCCCCCAACACCCTGCATAAAAAATTTTGATATCAATTTTAAGGAATTGGGACAGAAACAAAATATTTGGGGATAATTGTCGAAATAGTAATTTCAGTTAAAAAATTTAAAATTTCTCCACTTTTGTTAGTTCTTTCACGACATATCTAGCGGGCGAGTAATTAACCTCAAAATATTAAATTTAGTACTTATCACGCTAAATGCAGGCTCTAGAAAATAGCCAATTAAAACAAAATTTTATTTCAGTGTACCTGTGAAGATATCAAGGGCGACCATGTGAACCTTAGCGTGTCCGTGCTTTCCGGTCTTAGAGGTGGACATCTCAACAATCTTGCAGGGGCGGTTCTAAAATGAATACAAATATTAAGATCTAACTTTGGGGAGGATACCATACTTTTAGTATTAAAAGAGAAGTATTTGTTGTAAACGCGCGACGGTTTGCAGGAACTAAAACCGGGTCCGTAAGTATACAATTTTTGGACCCCCCCCCCCCTCCTATCAATTATGTAAATGACAGTAAATTTTCAGTTATTTTGAATAATTTTAAGGTAAAATTAAAATTTCTGGGCAGAGCGCTGCGGCTCGAATAGGTTATGGGACCGAGCGCTGCTGCCAGGAGAGGCTTTCAATAAAAAAATCAACAAAATTAGTACATATTTGGAGTTCAGTTCAGACACATTGAACAGAGCGCTGCGGCTAGGACAGACTAAGGGGCCAACCACGGCTAGGAGGCCGGAGGCTGCGGCCACATGGTCAATTGTATCCATGTCTAACATAAAAGATCCATGTACAAAATTGTTAAAGGGGGTAGGGGTCCAGAAATCGTACACTAGGAAATAATCCTGACATAAATTGTATGTCCAATTCCAAACAGTACCCTTTTCACCTACCTGGGTAACTATAAAATAACGAGAAATGTATTCTGTTATATTCCTCCTATAACTTGGGTTAAATAAATCCGGTGGTATATATAAACTGAAAACAGACATCCCATTCACAATATTCAGTAAGGGTAAAAAGATAACTGAATTGAATCTCGTCAGACGACATCCAGCAATAGAACCCCAGCAGGGATATCTTAAGTAATGGCTCAAGCAATAATCCCTGCAACAGTGACTAAGTCACTATCAAGCAAAATAGCTCCGACCTTTTACGGCTATTTCGGTTCCTACGAATCCTCAAAAGAAGGATATCCACAGTTCAATACTTTCTCTGGATCCTTTTCAAATTCAAGGTTTCAACAAAACTAACGTATGTAAGTTCTCTCCCAACTGAACTTAAAACAATTACCAACATGTCGTTCAAGAATTACAATCGGAACTTTACTTCCTAACTAGTAGCAAAAAACACACCCCCTTTTAACTAGGTGAAGTCAGTCCTAGAGAACAATTTTGGACCCCCCTCCTATCAATTATGTACATGACCGAGCGCTGCGGCCACGGGTTAGCTTAAATTAAGGCCCTTTCTGGACCGAGCGCTGCGGCTAGGAAAGGATAGGGGGCCGAGTGCTGCGGCCACATGTCTTACATTTAAGATCCATATACAAACTTGATAGGACGGGGGGGGGATCCAAAAATCGTTCTCAAGGAATTTACCATTAGGTAAATGTACAGCAGGCTATTTCGCTACTTAAAAAACCGTTTCAGATTGGGTCAAATATAATTTTCCAGGATAAGACAAGGAGGCCGGGCGTCATATCAACCAATCGTCGGGCATAAACAAGAATTTACAGGAGGGCTTTGGGATGAAAGGGGGCTCAAAACCTGTCGGGGCCCAAAATAACTAAAAACCAGCGATTTTCCAAATTTGAAGTAGAAGGGGGGCTAAGCCTATATGCCCCCCCTGATAACGCCTCTGCAGATCGTATTCTTTACCGAGGGCAGGAGTGACAAAAAGCTTCAATCGTACATACTACGTGTGCTTTAAAAAAAACAGCTAAGAGGTTATTATTGGGAAACCATTACGACAAATAACTAGATTTTACCTTGATCATGACGAACCCTCCCTTCCTCAAGGCAGAGCACTGCATTGGGAAGGTTGCGGATGCCCCGGCATCTCCTCCTCCGAAATCGAAACCTTCCTCTGCCATTGTATATACGGAATACAATCTGAAAATAATAGCAAGATAATCCTTGGATGCACCAGCTGAATAGGAACTATGTCAAAGATAAATTAATTTAAGGGCCGAGTCATATAATGCGGAATATTCCTAGTATACGATTTTTGGACCGACTAAAAATGCATTATAAATATATCATTTGGATTCTATAAAACTGTATTTGTACAAAACATTTGAAACTGATTTTATTTATTATGTTTAGCGCCCAATGGTGTTATTTTGNCTTAACCTAACCTAACCCTAAATAACAAAAAAATAAATAATAATAAATTTGCTGAAAAATAAATGGTCATGTACAAAATTGGTAGGAGGGAGGGGCACGGGGGGGGGGGTCCAAAAATCGTATACTAGGACAGACCCTATAATGCGATATGAAAATGATAAATCACTGTACTTCACGCCTTAAACAACTGAATAAGATTTACACATCTCGTTGCTAGGATAACGTTAGCTCCAAAATCGGACAACGGCGTCGTGGAGTGGAAGTAATCGGCGAAAATTGAAGCACACATAAACACTAATAAAATTATGAATAGTGCGGCCTGCAGGGTTGGCCGGTACGTCTGAATTTAGTCTCTTTCTCTCCACGTTTCTGTTCAATCTGGTTCATTGCCGGTAATTTCGTGACATCATATCCGGATATTTGCCGCAACACCTCAACTCTCAGTGGCGGGAGTTTTGAATAATAAAAGTAAAATTTTCGATGTTATTAAACTGGACGATGGTGTATCGAGTGTATCCTTCAACCTACACAATCCACTATACTCCACTTCTGACTTCGCTGATTCTGCTATACTACACATCCGACCTACTAATACGTGGCCCCCTAGTCTGTCCTAACCGCGGCGCTCGGCCCCCTTAGCTTTCTTTAGGATGGTGTATTTCTGGACCTTCGCTCATCCGACCTTCTAGCACGTTGTTTTACAGCTGCTAGATGGACTTCAAGCCGAGCAGCTCCCGGCATCTAGCTTGTCCTAGCCGCGGCGCTCGTCCCCCTATCCGGCTCGGCCCAGAAATTGTCTTAACCTAACCAAACCCTAGCTCAAATAATACAAAAATAAACAGATGTCGTAGGTCGGATGTGCAGTATATGGCGGATGGGCAGTAGAGCGGATCAACATACCCTTTCCTAGCCGCAGCGCTCGGCCCAAAAATTGTCTTAACCTAACATAACTCTCAAATGATACAAAAATAAACAAATGGCGTAGGTTCGATATTGCATATAGGATCAGAAGTTCAGTAGGCGGGATTTCCGTATGCGATGTAACATCAGCTCAAATACACTATCCTTAACGCATCCTTCTCATCCTGTACTCATCCTTCCCATCTTTCTTTACCTTAACAGCGTTTCTTCCTGTTTACCCTTATCATCCTTCTCTTCCTTCACATCCAATTCTCATCTGCACATCCTTCACATCTATCTCATCCTTCTCATCTTTCTTTACCTTTAACATCCCTTTACTCCTTTTCATCCTTCTCATTCTGCATTTATTCTTTACTCATCCTCCTCGTCCTCATTCATTCTGTACTCATCCTTCTTATCCTGTTTATACTTTACTCATTCTTTTCCTCCTTCTTATCCTTCACGTCCATATCTCATCTTTCTTTACCATAACATCCTTTCTTTCTTCTCTTCCTTTTCATTCTGTATTTATCCTTCCCAACCTTCTCATCATTCACGTCCTTCTCATTTTTTTTACCTTAACATCTTTTTCTATTTGTTCATCCAGTTCATACTGTACTCATCCTTTCCTCCATTATATCCTTCTTATCCTGTTCATACTATACTCATCCTTTCCTTCTTTATACCCTTCTTATCCTGTTCATACTATACTCATCCTTTCCTTCTTATATTCTTCTCATCCTGTTCATACTATACTCATTCTTTCTTTCTTCATATCCTTCTCATCCTGTTCATACTATACTCATCCTTTCCTTCTTTATATCCGTCTCATTCCGTTCATACTATACTCATCCTTTCCTCTTTCATATCCTTCTCATCCTGTTCATACTATACTCATCCTTTCCTGCTTCATATCCTTCTCATCCTGTTCATACTATACTCATCCTTTCCTCCTTCATATCCTTCTCATCATGTTCATACTATACTCATCCTTTCCTCATTCATATCATACTCATCCAGTTCATACTATATTTATCATTTCCTTCTTCATATCCTTCTCATCCTTTCCTCCTTAATATCTTACTCAACCTATTCATACAATACTCTCGTAATTTCCTTCTTCATATCTTTCTCATCCGGTGTTCATAATATACTCATCCTTTCCTTCTTTATATCCTTCTCATCCTATTCATACTATACTCATCCTTTCCTCCTTCATATCCTTCTCATTTTGTTCATACTATACTCATCCTTTCCTTCTTTATATCCTTCTCATCCAGTTCATACTATACTCATCCTTTCCTCCTTCATATCCTTCTCATTCTGTTAATACTATACTCATCCTTTCCTGATTCATATCCTTCTTATCCTGTTCATACTATACTCATCCTTTCCTTCTTTATATCCTTCTCATCCAGTTTATACTATACTCATCCTTTCCTCCTTCATATCCTTCTCATTTTGTTCATACTATACTCATCCTTTCCTGCTTCATATCCTTCTTATCCTGTTCATACTATACTCATCCTTTCCTCCTTCATATCCTTCTCATTCTGTTCATACTATACTCATCCTTTCCTGCTTCATATCCTTCTCATCCTGTTCATACTATACTCATCCTTTCCTCCTTCATATCCTTCTTATCCTGTTCATACTATACTCATCCTTTACTCCTTCATATCCTTCTTATTCTGTTCATACTATACTCATCCTTTCCTCTTTCGTATCCTTCTTATCCTGTTCAGTGTTCATACTATACTCATCCTTTCCTCCTTCATATCCTTCTCATCCTTTCCTCCTTAATATCCTATTCATTCTGTTCATGCTATACTCATCCTTTACTCCTTCATTTCCTTCTCATCCTCTTAATATCATACTCATTATGTTTATACAATACTCTCATCCTTTCCTCCTTCATAACCTTTTATTCCTGTTCATACTATACTCATTCTTTCTTTCTTCATATCCTTCTCATCATGTTCATACTATACTCATTCTTTACGGCCTCATATCCTTCTCATCGTGTTCATCCTTTCCCATTATATTTTTCTCTTCCTCTTCATCTTATACTTATCCTTCCCATCATTCTCCTCTTCCTCATCCTCTAAGTGGACTTATTAATTTAGTTCTTGGTTCTCATTTATCCATCAAGCATGAATTTATCTCGAGTATCCCTAAGGTATAGTTCTACATTAGTTCTCTCAGATTAACATATGCCAGTTTAAGAAATCAAGTCAATTCTATAAATAAATTGATAAAGGTGTTCATATTTATATTTAACTACATATAATCTAAAGGCACTTTATTTGGACAGAGATCTGATTAAGATTGTCACATTACTGATTAAAGCCCCGAAATGTCGGTGCAGTATTATCCGTGGGTTCAATGTACATAAAAAATGCTCAAATGTACAAAGAAATGGGTTATTATCGATCAAAGATTGTTCAGTTGTTTATATTATCAGTAAATAATTGAATACAGGTGTACATATAGGTGCCCTGTGCTACGTAGTCATAGCAGAACTGAGTTTGCTATGGATACGAGATTTTTAGAAAAATGTAACTAAAAATGTTTTATCATATCAACTGGAAGAACGGGTTGGTGGTTGGCAACTAGCTACTAGAATAAATCATAAAATTTAAATCAATTCGTATAAACAATAAAGGAACCGATTACTCGAGCGCCATTTTCTATTTTTCTGTCCCTAATATCTTTGTAACCTGATGTAGACCTTAGATCTTTCAAACTAAGATTCTGTTAGATAAACAAACCAAAGTTTGAAATTTTAAAGTTTTACACCATTAGGTTCCAAAGATTTAAGAATTAGAAAATTATAGTTTGTGGCGAGTGTTCTATTCCTTTCCAGAGTTAAAGGAATATATAATAAGGTTTCATTTTTAACTCTTTAGTAAAGAATTTGCCTTTTTAAAAGTTATCTGCGACATTCTGACGGAAATATAGCATCGAGGTAAACTTGAAAACTAAAATTTGACCGCATCTAGAAAACTAGCTCAAACTAGGATCTAGAAAACTAGCTCAACTAGGATCTAGAAAACTAGCTCAAACTAGGATCTAGAAAACTTCTCAACTAGGTTCTAGAAAACCAGCTCAAACTAGGATTTAGAAAATTAGCTCAAACTAGGATCTAGGAAACTATCTCAAACTAGGATCTAGAAAACTAGCTCAAACTAAAATCTAGAAAACTAGCTCAAACTAAAATCTAGAAAACTAGCTCAAACTAGGATCTAGAAAACTATCTCAAACTAGGATTTAGAAAACTAGCTCAACTAGGATCTAGAAAACTAGCTCAAACTAAAATCTAGAAAACTAGCTCAAACTAGGATCTAGAAAACTTCTCAACTAGGTTCTAGAAAACCAGCTCAAACTAGGATCTAGAAAACTAGCTCAAACTAGGATCCAGAAAACTAGCTCAAACTAGGATCTAGAAAACTATCTCAAACTAGGATCTAGAAAACTAGCTCAAACTAGGATCTAGAAAACAATACTCAAACTAATCTTAAGATCAAGCTCAAGTTTAAGCTGAACTTGGAACTTATCACGAATGTTAATCACGTTTTCTGGATTACATAAATACAATTAAAAATAATATAATAACATTTTTCCAAATAAGAATAAAACCAACAAACAGATTTCAAAGCTAAAAAAAGTTTAAATATAGAAGTTTAGAACTGGTTTTAATGGAGACTGTTAAAATAAAAGAAATGCAATGTTGTTTTATCTCCGTAAAGAGAAACCGGTCACAATTATATAAATATAATAAGATATAATCTATTTTTGTATTTCAAAATCTACTGCAATAATCCTTAAATCTTAATTTTAGGAGTTTAAAAGTAAGTTCTTATCTTGGAACATAAGACAAAATGTTGTCATAAAAAAAGTTTGCTTTTTTAAACGACTGTGCAATATCAATAATACGTCGCAACATTATGCTAAGTTTTGAACTTGTAAAAGTTATAGTAATTTAATAAAAAAGATATTTTTTAAAACCGATCATTTTTGTTGATGGTGAATCATAACTGGAATTTACTTTTAATTTAATTAATAGGTTGGAAATAAAAATGATGGTTGAATCAACCTTATTAATAATTTGATCGATCAAATCTATAAAGATTTATCTATATATGAAATAATAAATTAAATTCATTAACTAACAAATGCAATAATTAATTAAAAATTCTCCGGAAAAAGTGTGAATCTCTGAACACGTGGAACAAGGATCAATCCTGGGCTCGCTGATTCCTCTTCAGCTGTGAGAATAAATCCTTTTCAAATATTTTAGCACCAAAACTTCAATCCTCCTGGAAAAAGTGTGAATTATTAAAGTTAAAAACAAAAAATACAATATACGTAGATTTTTTTACGATATTTTTCTGGTGAAATAGAATATTTGATACAAAAATCTTTTATAGCTTTTACTCTAAAAACTGGATTCAACTGTAAATGATAAAAAATATTTTATGAATTTATATATTGAAAAAATATAAAATATTTGAGTAAAATGCACTATTGGTTTATAATGAACTGTATTTTTAGAGTTGTAATAAAAATATATTTAAAATTGTATTAAACCAGTATTTAAAGCTTTTTTATAAAAAAGCATTTAAATAAAAATGTGTAATAAATTGAGAATAAAATCAAAGCAATTTAATAATATATTAAAAGCATAAAAGGTTTATATAAACTAAAATTATAATAATAATATAAAATTTGTTAACAAGTTTCTAACATACTTGTGATAAAAAATTAATTTAAACGTTTAAACTGGGTTTATAAAAGAAAAATATTTATATTTTTATTCGTATAAATAATACATTTCATAAAATGTAATGGTGCAAACTAATCCAAAAAAAAATTATAGGAGTGTATAATATGTTAACAATAAAGCTAACCTGCATTAAAAGGAATAGAATAAAAAAAAATTATCATGGTTTATAATAAAACTGATAAAAATTTTATATCCATTTTATATTCGTACAGATATATGTATTGTACAATGTAAATGTAGAATACATTTATTAAAATGTATTTAAACACTTTTTAATATTAAATTATTATTACACTAAGTACCTTACAATCTGTACAAGTCTTACATAAAGTACCTTCCAATCTGTGCAATTCTAACACTTCCAATTTGTACAAGTCTTACATAAAGTACCTTCCAATCTGTGCAATTCTAACACTAAGTACCTTACAGTCTATACAGTTCTTACATAAAGTACCTTCCAATCTGTGCAATTCTAACACTAAGTACCTTACAGTCTATACAGTTCTTACACAAAGTACCTTCCAATCTGTACAATTCTAACACAAAGTACCTTACAGTCTATACAGTTCATACACTAAGTATAATACAGTCTATACAGTTCTAACACAAAGTACCTTCCAATCTGTGCAATTCTAACACTAAGTACCTTACAGTCTATGCAGTTCTTACACAAAGTACCTTCCAATCTGTACAATTCTAACACTAAGTACCTTACTGTCTATACAGTTCTTACACAAAGTACCTTACATTCTGTGCAATTCTTACACTAAGTACCTTACAGTCTATACAGTTCATACACTAAGTATAATACAGACTGTACAGTTCTTACACTAAGTACCTTACAATCTGTACAATTCTTACACTAAGTACCTTACAGTCTGTACAATTCTTACACTAAGTACTTACATTCTGTACAGTTCTTACAATAAGTACCTTACAGTCTGTACAATTCTTACACTAAGTACCTTACAATCTGTACAATTCTTACACTAAGTACCTTACAGTCTGTACAATTCTTACACTAAGTACTTACATTCTGTACAGTTCTTACAATAAGTACCTTACAGTCTGTACAATTCTTACACTAAGTACCTTACAGTCTATACAATTCTTCCACTAAGTACCTTACAGTTTGTACAGTTCTTACACTAAGTACCATACCGTCTGTACAGTTCTTACACTAAGTAATTTATAGTCTGTACACTAAGAACCTTACCGTCTGTACAGTTCTTACACTAGGTACCTTAAAGTATGTGCAATTCATACACTAAATACGTTACAGTCTGTACAGTTCTTACACTAAGCACCTTTCAGTCTGTACAGTATCTTACACTAAGTACCTTACAGTCTGTACAATTCTTACACTAAGTACTTACATTCTGTACAGTTCTTACAATAAGTACCTTACAATCAGTACAATTCTTCCACTAAGTACCTTACAGTCTGTACAATTCTTCCACTAAGTACCTTACAGTCTGTACAGTGTACAGTTCTTACACTATGTACCTTACAATTTGTACCACCAGGTTCCAACCTTCTCTGACCGAAAGGTCTGTGCAGCGTGAAAAGAAAGCGCGTGTAAATTAAAGAATTCATAAGGAATTAGTTAGCTCACAAGTTTTCAAGATATTATTCAGTTCCCAGGAAAATTTAGGAGATAAGATTGTCTTTTTTATTAAAAAAATGGTCCCTGGAATGAATTTGTTGTGCATTAAAGCAGTTACTGATCTAGGTTTACTGCAGGTACGTTAGAGAAGTGTTATCTATACTCTAGGAATACCTGAGTTTCTGTATTGTGTATACTAAGGTTCAGACTTCCGGAGGTGCCAGAGTTTCTGTTACTCTGGTCGGAGGTTCCACTAGAGTCCCTGAAGGTGTTTCTTTTCTCAATCTCGTGAACTTTGCTGAGATTCAGAGCCGTCGGAGGTTTCCTTCTGGAGGCCGGAGGAGGACAAACTCCGGGATCGGTATTCTTCTTTCTCTCTCCCTCATGCAGCTCAGCAGCAACCACAAACCTAGTCTGAGCTGATCCGTTGCAGGATTCAGTGCTTACTAGCTGACGTAAACGGTCTAACTGGGCCTCAAGCTGCCGATTGTGATCCTCTAAAATGGCCATCCTGGCCTCAAGACGAGTCTTCTGCTGCCTATAATTAAAAATAGTTGGAATATCTATTAATAATGCTAGAAGAAAACTGTAATCGACATTTTTTTAATGTCGACCGCTTATAAACCTTTCAAGGCGGTAATATTACATCGTCTATATGCAACATCCCCCAGCTATTGAACTTCTGACCTACTATCTTTCCGACCTACTGCAATATCGGACCTACGCTAGCTGTTTATTTTTGTATTACTTGAGGGTTAGGTTAGCTTAAGACAATTTTTGAGCCTAGCGCTGCGGCTAGGACAGGCTAGGGGGCGGGCGCTACGACCTCAAGTCCATATAGCAGCTATAAAACCACGTGCTAGTAGTTTAGATGTGTAGTAAAGCAGATTTGGCGTAGGTCAGAAGTGGAGTAAAGCGGATTTGCGTAGGTCGAAAAATATACCATCTTCTAGACAATACAACCAAGCTAGCTGATTTCTTGCCATAAGCCAAATACACAAGAAAAATACATATTACATATAGAGAGATAGAATGAAAATAAACAAGAAAAGTACCGTATTTTCCAACAAACCTGAGTGTTTTCTCTTCCTGTAAAGTTTCCTTTTTACCAGATTGTCCTGCAGTGAGCTCTCTGTGTTCCGCCTGCAATCTACTATTCTCCTGGATATTATAAAAATAACTTTGTTTACCTTGTGATCATATTTTCAATTTACCTCTTGTAATTGCTCCAACAACTGCTCAATCGCCTCTTCCTTCAAGTTATCCAGTTGTGTATCAACTTCTCTGAGTATAGTTGCTGTTGAAGGTACATTGTTGTTGTTGGTACTAGTGAGAAGACGACAGTACGACGCTATTAAAGAATGTTCGTCCTCCTCTGCCTTACTCTCAAGGCTTCCTGAGATCTCAGGTCCTAGTTTGGAGGAGATGGACTCAGTGTGACTTCCGGGAAATTCTCGAGACTCTAGAGAAAGGTTTGGAGACATGGCAGGAGATTCAAAATTTTCTCCTTCTAGGACGGATTGAACAGGAAGATATCCAAGTTTCTTTTGTTTCTTTTTGAAATAGTTCCGGGAGCGGAATGAGTTTCTAAAAGATTGAAGAAGGTGCCGAGCATTATCCGTTCTGTTTGTAGAAGTGCAATACTCTCTCAGAGGATGTTCAGGTTTATGTCCTTTTATAGATTTGCCCAGGAAGAAGCAGGCGTGACAAATGTCTAGATTAAAACATTTCCTGCAATGATATCTAAACCCAACTATAGGATCAACCCGGCATATCTTACACTGTACTTCATGCGTAGCTGTCTCCGCTGATGCAAGCCTGTGAAGGACTGGAATCCAGACTAAAGACTGGGGTTCCTCACTCAGCCAATCCAGAAACTGTGCTAGGTTTACATGACTCTGAGATTTCTTGGTACTCTTCTGAAGACAGGATCGTACGGACGGTTCAATGTTTGATCCTCCAAACAGAGCAATCTCCCCTAAATATTTAGGGATCTGCATACAGTCATACAAGAGTAAACCCAGCCTTCTCTGATCCAACAAGGTTTCCTTGCTATCTGTTCCACCTGCGGCAAGGTTAAACATAACTCCGTACTTCTCATTGAGTGGACCTCGACAGAGAATTACTAAACCTAGTTTAAAGCTGAGAACCCTGACCAAACCTGTCCTTTGTCCGTCAAACACGTTGAGAAGCCAATTCAAGCAAAGATCCACACACAGAGGAACATTGATATCCTCTGGTTCACATTGAAACAGGGTTTCATAGATTGAAGTTAGGATTGTAACCATCTCGGGAACAGCAATCGTTAGGTCATGCTTGTCAAGAGAAAGTCCATGAGAGTCAAAGCAAACAACAGCCGACGTAATATCAAGAAGGTCTAAACAAAGCTTTTGTTGAACTTTCCTTAATTTGAGAGCTAGTCTGTACGCACAATATTTCACAGTGTTCATGGCTGACAACGTATCTAAAAGTGCCACAAAGTCAGGATGGTCCCACGATGTGGTTTCCTTTACATGGTGTGAGAAATATGGAATATTGTCACTAGTAACACATCGTTCCCAATCGTCTGGAACGCACTCCCGGAGAAACTCCTGATTTCCTGGATCCTGTTGAACCACTAAACCAGATAACTGTTCACGTCTAGATACTGCAGATTCTTTAAGTGTTGTTAATCTCTGCTCAACACCAGATAATCGGTCTGTCACGTCTAGGAACGGATTGGAGTCACTCTGTATCTTCGCCTCCAAAACCATCTCCTCTACATTGTGTAATCCGGAGATTATAGATTCTACTTCTTCCCTCTCTCCGTCCGCAGTATCCAGACTAGGTGGGAGTTCCCACTCTCCACTGCAGGATTCTAAATTCTTTAATTTCGACTCTGCCTGGTACAGAGCCTGTTCCACCGTTCTAGCTCCGGCTTCAGCTGCTTCTAGATCCAGCTCCCACTGTTCCGATCTTTCGCTTAGACTTTTCCACTCGTCCTCCAGACTTTTCTCCATGTCGGTGATAGACTTACTCCGAATCTTGATCAGTTCTTTCTCCTTCAGATTTTTCTTCTCTCTGAAACATGTTGTTTTAATTTGTAGAGTAACACTGAGATTATATTATTCAATATGCAAGAAACAATTTGTATTAATTTTTTTTTTAAATTTATTATTTGATTATTTGAACTTTGTTATCAAGAAGATATCAGCTTTGTTTATAAGACACATTCCCGGGATAAAAATATGTTCTAATTTTGACTTATAGGCAACCCTGGCCCGCAGTAACAAGATACTTAATCAAGGTTAACATTAGTAAAGTATTCTGAACAATGGACTGTTCAATATAAAGTATAATTAATTTTCTGATTGGACACTTTCAGGTTGTAAGCTGAAACAACCAGAACAGCTATGTGCATTTTTTCCTTAGTATATTTGGATAAGTATCAAATGTCATCAATGTGATTGGATATATTAGAGTTTAGATTGAAATACAACAGCCTTAAATACAATTTTGAATACCGACAAGACTTAAGACTTTTGCCATAAAAAATCTTATGTCACAATTGCTTATCTTCAAAACGGATTTTTGTGGAAACTTGTGGTCCATCTAATTCTGACGAACACTGTACTCTATTTGTAAACATTGAACTAATTACTGTTGTATATAGTATAATGTGCTAAGCAGATAGATTTCAATCAACTAGATTTTTGCCTAGGAATGATTTTACGAGTTTATCAAGCACCTAGAAACCCGAACCTTAAACTCAAATTAACCCGGTGAAACGGAGAAATATGAAACCTACCCAGAGAATTAACAACCATGAATTAATTAAGAAGATTAAAAAGACAGATTTATGAAGCTTTTGGAGAAATCCAATATTTGTAATAAACAAAATGTCGTCTTATCTGATATTAGATAGTCTTACTAAAAATGAACTTAAACCTTTTCTGAGTACTTTCTAACTACTTTTCAAACTAGCCTGGGATATTATTGTATATAATTAATCCTGATTAAAATTAAAAAGTAAAGACCACAGAATTAAAAGTAGACTTATTTTATTGATTAACTTTCTATTACCTGAACGATCTGTGTTCCTCCCTTTGTCTCTTAATTTCTGCCAGGTTCCGTCCCATCTTCAAGTTCGTTAATTCGTCCATCTTTGCACTAATCCAGGATCTTAACACAGTCACTTCATGCATATTTTTCATGCTATGCCTTCCGATCCTGTCGGAGAGATTAAGGATACTATTCTGTAACTCTGTCCAACGTCTCTTCAGTTCCTCAACCTTACTGGAAAGAACTATATCATTGTCTTCTGAGTAAGATAGTTGTTCATTCCCTCGGGTCGAGATTAAGTGAAATTTAGCGTCTTTTTCTCTAACCTCGGCTTTGACGTCCTCTAACCTCGATTGACTCTCCTTATCCTCCTGCATCCTCTCTAATGTTCCTTCAACCTCTCCCATCCAAACTAGAAACTGGGCCAGGTCCTGATCAAAATCGTTTAACGAGCCTAGAGCAGACTGCAATGACTTGCCACGCGCTGTAGAGCTAGATGTGAGGGCGGAGAAGCGACCCGTCAGTTCCTTGTTTATTCTGGTAATACCGCTTGTGTCGTCCTTAGTGTAGATGCTAATTAAACGCTGGCAGACCTGAGAAAATGACAGGATGGATTTATAAGAAAATATTTATTTAATCTTTGATTAGAAATGTAGCTACAAGGACACCCACAAAGGATGAGACTGTAAAGACGACCTGAAACTCTTAGAAATGATTCCAAGGTTAAAATCTTCTGTCTTAAATTAAGTAGTTAAATGGCTTATCTATTTGTTTGTCAAAGAACAAACCGGTTGCAGGGAATTGTGCTAATAAGGAAAGAGGCAGTAAACATGTCGTCTCTGAAGTCTTATCCTCTGTGGGTAACCTTGTTTCCAATCAAATCAAATCAGACTTTTCAAATTTACTTGAAATTTTCAGGTCGTCATTTTTAGAGTTACAATTTACAAATTACAAAATCTTTAGCGACTGTTTCTTTTTTATATAAATAGACTACTTTCATTCTGATTTTTACTCGTTCTAAATTAATGAAACGTTAATCTTAAATATTATCTGAGAACTAAGTTACACATCAACCAAGTTTCTAAAACGTAGGGGGATATGTAAAGAATTTTAATTCCCCTGTAAAAAAATATGATAGCATAGTTATCACTTCCCTGCCTCCCTTGCTCCTTCCCCCTCATTACGAGTCTTGTTTGACATTTAGATTTGTTTAAATATTCTGATGATGAGGAAACCAAATAGAACTGGAATCCAGATTTGAGAAAACCCGCGTGCAAAAATTAACAAAAAATGTGCAAATATCAATTATTAAAACAGCTATCAATATATTTTCAATCGAAGAAAATATTGGATATTTTACTTTCATCTTTCTTTATCTTTATATTTCCCCTATAGAAGATTAAAAAATTCGGCCAGAAAATATATTTAAAAGCTTTAGATGTGAAATAAATAAATAATTTTGACAAATATGTCAAATAATTGCAGATATAAGTTTCAAAGCTTTCAAAGTAGAAAACTGAACACTAACCTGGGATAGAAGTGTTACATGATGTCCGTACTGCTGCAGTTCACGATGTATCTGATTGACATCTCGAATCTGACGGAGAAGAACATCCCTTGTCTTACCAATCCCAGCTCCAGCCAACATCTTCTCCAGCTTCCCCAACCACTGAGACACCTCAGCTCCCTTTGTGTTCAAATTGTCAGCATGCTCCAACATAGCGGTCAGTTCCGTCTTCCTTGACATCAAATCCTGCTGGAGAGTGCTCCATCTACTCTTCAACTCCTCGCAAATAGCTCGTGACTGTTCTGTTCTTAAATCTATCCCTGATCTAATCAGTTCTTCTTTGCTATATTTCCTTGATTCAAACTGGGATATTAGAGCTCTGAATCTGTCTAGTTCTCGTCCTACTCCGTCAGTGTCAACGACGGATATTCCATTTTCTCCCCGGTCCCTGGACAGGTTCGAAATCCAGTCCAACATCAGTTTCGCTTTCTCACTGAATGTAGAAAACAAGTCACATATCGGGGTGACGTCCTCAGACATAGGGCTGTTAGAGGCTGTTGTTGCGGAGGCTGCCCATTGTTCACTGCTTTGTGAGGTCGGAGAGGCCAGAGATGCAAGACTGATAAAACTTGAAACAGAATGGGATGAACTTGTTTTAGGAATCTCTGTAGATATTGACGAAACTTGAGTAGATATAGAGACTGGAGTTATTCGTCTCACGTCCCCGCACAATTTCAACCACTTGGATTTCAATTGTTTAACCTCTCCGGCCATATGTGAGTTAACAGTAAACCCGGAAGCAATTACTTCTTTCTCCAGTACCTGATATTCACTCAACAGTTTATTTATTGAATATTCTCTCTCACTCAAAGTAATTCTTGGTGTACTTTGATCCTCGGAGGTGTCAGCTGAATCCTGTTTCTGCTGCATGATTTCCACCCACTTCAGGTTCTCCTCTGTACCTTCAACTAGCTTCACAAGTCGGTCAGATTTATCACTGAGAAAACTTAAACGTTTTGGTAGGACTACACCTAGCTTTTCTATCTGAGCCCTGCTATGTTGATAAATGGTAGAGTTTTCTCCAATATCAGCAGCAAGCTCGTCCAAACAAACTCTCTGGTTTATCAGTGTAACTTGAAGACTCTGGAGCAAATGAATTCCATTTTTCAATTCTTCAAGTTCGCTCACGTTAACGGGTTTTCCTGCTTCAGGCAAAGCTTTTTCAGCCCAAGAAATGATATCATTATGGTTCCCATTGGTTGTGTTCTCCTGTTCCACGGAGTTTCTTGAGTTTCCATTTATCTCACTCTCCTTTATACTGGTTTCTGTGTAGATATATCTCCAACGTTTTCTAACCTTGTCATGTTTATTAAATATTTCTCGAGCCTGCGTTGCTCCACTTTCTTTAGATATTTTCAGACCAAGTTCCGCCAGACTTTGAACCCTTTTCTCCTCGTCTTTTATTTCAGTTTGAAGACTCGAAATCTCTGAGGGTTGAAAAGCTCGAGTTCCCTAAAATATTATGTTTAAAATATTGTTACTAACATAAACCCCAAAAAATGTCGGAAAACACAGTTAAAGCCAGCAATACTATGAAAACTATGGTTAGAAACTAGGCTATGTTTCTAAATTGTGTAAATAAAAAGGAGAAAAAAATATAACATTTTCCTTCCCCCATGTTTCCCCTCAACATAAACAAAATGAAAAAGGATAGAGAGGACATGTATCATATTTACAGGGAGAATAGACACAGGGAGTAAAGTAAACAAGGTTTATCTTAAACACAACAATCCTCAGATACTCAGAAACAAATCAAAGAAATCTTGAATTCTTACCCTTTTCCAGAGGAGTAGAACCTTCTCCTTCTCCGCAATCCATGAACTAAGAGAGTCCGTCCTAGTGTTGAAACTACGGAGTTCTGCTTGACACTCTCGCCAGGTGTTCTCTCGGATACTAAAATCCTCGTTAATCCCTCTCCACTCCTCACGCAGCTTCTCAGCTAGGGCCGTTAACCTGTCAAAATATTCCATGGATAGGGCCCCTGATACAGTCTCGATTTCAAGAATGGTTTTCTTTACTCTGGGTCGTAATGTCTCCAGGGCTTGTCTCACTTTATCCAACATATCGGATTGCAGATTCATATTCTCATACTTCTTTCCGGTCATAATAGAGGTTTCAAGTTGGCTCCTGATAGCTTCAAGGGCTTCTTGCAGCTTAGTTATCCTAGAGAATAGTTCGGCAGGAACAGACTTATCCACGATTTCTCTTGGAGATTTGCTCTTTGATTTTCTCATGGGCGTAGCAAAATCTTTAAGCTGACCCCAATTTGATCTGATATTGATCAGAGTATCCTTCATTCCTCCTAAACTATCTAGGGATTTAAATGAGCTGGCAAGTCTCTCTATAGATTTCATTTCATGGTATTTTCGATCAATTTCTGCTCTTGCACTGCTCACTCTTTGATCTTCCGTCTTTTTAGGCCTGATATCCTTCAAAACAGAGTTTAGCCATGGATGCATGATTTCTAGCTTTCCTCGTAATTTTGCTAGAATCTCGGATTCACGAAGTGCATGAGATTTCTTCTCCTCTGCTGACCCTCTCAGTTTGCTCCAGGATTGCCTCAGTTCTGCAACTCTCTCCTTCAGATCATCACCTTGAACCTGGTCAAACCTGTGTACCCGGAGTACGAGCGTATCTCCTCTTGAGATAGTGGTTGCAACCTCGGCTTCCAGCTCCTGGAGCTCCATATTTATGAGATCCACCCTTAGATTATAATCAGATTCTTTATCCAACTCTTGCAACCTCTGCCTAGCATTTGCAATCTTCAATGATATATTTGTAAACTTCTCTTCAAACTCTTTAATATCTTTAGCGTTGTTTGAAATATTTTCACGACCGAATCTAGGACTTGAGTAACTTTTACGGGCTCGTACATCCTCAATATCAGCGGAGGTACCTCGGAGAAGACGATCTATAATCACGTTATCACGTTCATTTTGTTTATCAATATCATCCAGGATGGATTGCGGAGCTGCTGCTTCAATAGGACTGATAACCGGGGACGCTGATGGACTAGTGTCTACAGACGGCAGGACTGTTCTCATGGGACTTAAGATAGGAATAGGAGTAGTTTTACGCAGTGGTTCTATCACCGTACTTCCAGTTGATGAAAGAGAACGTGGAGAGGGTAGGGTTGACGAGGTTACAGTTACATGCTGAACTGGGGGAAGGGAGATAGAGGTAACTACGGAGCAGCTGCTGGTTACTGAACAAGCCTCCTGAACAGATTCAACATACCATCTTGGTTTAGGTTTCGTTGGGGGAGGGGTCTTCCCTTTCTTCGGAGACTCAACAATGGTTTCTTGACTATCTTTGGCGTTCTTTTCTGGCGTTCTTAATGACGCACTGAAAAATTCCGGACTTGAATCCCGCGAACTGCCAATTTTGTCATTGAAATCCAACCAAGATCTAGTTTCATTGGTTTCTTCAGGAAGTGTCGAAATCTCTTCAGGTTCGGGAACTGTAGTGGTTATATTTACTGTATCCGGGACTGGTATCACACGCTGAGCAATTGTTGTTTTAATCTCTTCCACCTCCACCACTGAGAAATTGGAACATTCTTCAATCCTTGCAAGAACATTTTCCCACCGTTGTCCTAAAAGTTCCATTTCTGGTTCCACCTCCTGACTCTGAGAAGTAAACTTTTCAAGAATCCGATCAGCCATGACACCCAGACTGTCAACCCTTGGTTGAAGGTTCAATATTTGTTCTCCGAGTTGTCTTGACTCTTCCTTGGATTTGGTTCCATCAAGTATCTGCTCTGCTGTTTCCAACCAGCTTGAAATCTCCTGGAATGCAGATCTAAACTCCTGAAGGAGTAAACCTTCCTCTCCTGCCGAGGAGTTCATGGAAGTGCTCGCCGGAGATGTGAGTCTAAAATCGCCTTCTCCGGATAAATCCAGTTCAGCAACCGCGAACCTTTCATTCTCCGGCAGCTTCTGCTTGATCCCATCTTTGAGAATACTCCATTTAGATTCTAAACTAGATAAGGTATCTTTTAACCCAACTAGTAAGGATGGGTCCGCACATAAACTGACAAACTCCTGTTTGATGGACAGCACCTCTCTCACCTCCATCTTCATTATCTTCATTTCCTTGATCATGTCTGGAATGAGTTCAAGAGAAATGTTCTCCAATTCCTTCTGTGCTTGACTTAACCAATTGTTAATGGTCTTCAGCTTAGCCATCAATACCTGAGATATCTCAAGAGCTTTCTGTAAAACCTCCCTCGCCTCGGTCACCTTGAGTATAAAACTTTGATTATCATAAAGATGAAATCTATAATTCTGTTTGCCTGTTCTTAAACTTTGAGTTTCATCAAATCCCGGCGGAATTATATAATTTAGACTAATTAATTCAATTTTGGTTTTTATAAATAATAAAACATTAATAAACACAATTTCGGAAATTGGATTTAGTGTAAAGCTAGTTACCAGAGTTTTTTTTTAACATAGTTGAGTTTAGAATATTAAGAAAAGGTAGAGTTTCTAAAAATTATTATGAAAAAGGTTGATGATCTCGGTGGAACGAAAATGCATTTTTCAAATTAGTGATAGCAACAGAGGATTTACCAAAAATCAATACAAACAATCCAGTTAAAAGAAAATTTAATTCAAAGGCGTCAACAGTCTTGCCACTTAGGTAACTTAAACGAGTAAAGATCTGTAAGCCTCTCCCCCCCCCCCCCCCCCACTATTTTGGCTAGTCTATATTCACAAGACCGTAAGCGGAAAACCATTTCCTACTTTTTTACTGCATCCATCATGTGAAAAATAGTAATCTCTGTTTGTTTGGATGTGCCAGCACATTTGCCTCAAATTTCGACTGGGGAACTCGATAGAACCACGGAAATGTTCTTAGCTCCGAGTTGAGTGGGTTGACTTTTACTGCGAAATTTTATTTTCCAGACAAACCCGGGTTCCCTAGCTAGTGCATATGTGATCTTGCGTACCACAGTATACAACATCTGATTTAACTATCTATTATATGATAGTTTCGAATCATGGCAAAAATAAGTTACCTGTGCTCCGAGAATATTGAATAGTTCCTTCAATGAGTCAATATGCTTTGAAGTTTGGTGCGGATTATCCAGAGAACTAGTTTCAACTAATTTCCGACCCATCTTTATAGTTCCCTCCACCTCACCTTTAATATCCGCTAACGCCTGAATACAATTTAACTTACAGTTCAGGTAAAGCTAGTTATGTCTCTAGCCCTAATTAACCCATTTCTTTGTGATTCTAGGGTGGAGCAATGATACGCCCTTTATTATTGATCTATATCGGATACCTCTTGCAAGAACGATCCCGGCAAAAGTGTTTAAATATTAAAATTCTTTATTTTTCTTTTGATAAAAATTGGTTTGTGAAAAGTAATTGGGAGTAATTTCCGTTTACCATGTATAAAGATTCAGGAAGCAAAGCAGTTTCCGAAGCTTTTCATAAGAAACTTTCAAACTTTCATTAAATTTTAAACAATGCAAAGATTTCAGTCGTTGTCAAATGTTTTTCAAGTTTTTCTTAGAAAAATTTCAAAAAACTTTTTCATGATCTATAAACATACAAAAATGCTTTTCTTCTAGTTTAGATAAATAGACAGGATTATTTTCTTCTAGTTTAGATAAATAGACAGGATTATTAAGAAACTTCTAGTTTAGATAAATAGACAGGATTATTATGCTCAAAGAAACTTCTAGTTTAGATAAATAGACAGGATTATTTTCTTCTAGTTTAGATAAATAGACAGGATTATTGTGCTCAAAGAAACTTTCCTGCAATATATTCTTAAAGGGACTGTAAGCGTAATTTCAAGTGATATCCCATTCATGTTTTCCTGTGGTAGAAATGTGCTACTCACTTTAATTTTGTAGAGAAACCCCAAATCAAAATAATTAATTTTACAAATTATAAACATTGATATCTAATTCATATCAGTAATATCAGTGTACCGTTGTGAATTGCACGGAGTCACTTGAAATTACGATTATATTTCCTTGAAGAACATTTTTTTAAAGAGTTAGCAATAAAGATCTTTACATTGTAAATACATCTTGTGTGATGAAGCTGGCCTTGGATTGAATCTGAATCGTGTGAGACTAGCTCCGTGAGGTACATGTTATGCTGTATATCCCGAAGCTGACGGGTTATCCGTCCCAACTTTCCTTCATAATCTGTTGGCTGTTGGAACAGTTCAAACTTACTTGACAACTCCTGAAACATATTCAGATTATACTTCAAGATTAAACATTATCCATTTCCAAGTACTCCAGCTTAGCTCTGGGGCTGAGAAATGTTTTAAAATATATGAGAGAAAAAATATTTGTTAACTATATCTTTACAACTTGATTGTGTAAACCCTTGATATTCAAATCTGTGACACAACTTAAAAAAATTTACCTCAAACACTTCCTTGTCTAAAACAATGATAACGATTTTTTTCTTTATTTTAGACTCTACATCAGAGAAGTTTTGGCCACAAACTCAAGTTTTCTTATCCCTATATCTTTGCAACCTGATAGTGAAAACCTTAGATTTTCAAACTTAAATTATTTGACATAAAAAAAATCATAGTTTGAAATATCTAAGGTCTACGACATTGGGAATTGCAAAGATATAGGGATTAGAAAATACAAGCTTGTGGCAGACTCGACTTCTTTAACATGAAAATCAATTTAAATATGCATTGTTATATGAACGTGTCTTAACTTGAAATTCTGCTCCCAAACCTTTAATATGACAGTTATTATGTAACGAATATTAATTTCTCTCAATGTTATTCTACTAGGCTTACAGAGCAACAAGGGACATCTTTAAAGAAGCACATTTAGCTTTTTGATACAAAATAATAATTTTTAATAATAATAATGATATCAAAAATAAACAAAAAACACCCAATCACACCGTAGCGTAGAAAAATACATCATTATAATGATAATGATAATAATAATAATAATATAAAAAAACTAAAATAATATTTCAATAATAACAACTATAATAATAACAACATCAATGATAATAATAATAATGATAATATCAATAAAAACAATAATAAAAGAAATTAATTCTGCTGGTTAGTTATTTACCTGGAATTTTGAATGAATAAGAGTGAGTTGATCCTCTAACCTGGCAGCAGCCTCCTCCTTCCCCTCCTCCCTGTAGATATCCACCTACACAAATATCAAATAGTAACATGGCAGCAGCCTCCTCCTTCCCCTCCTCCCTGTAGATATCCACCTACACAAATATCAAATAGTAACATGGCAGCAGCCTCCTCCTTCCCCTCCTCCATGTAGATATCCACCTACACAAATATCAAAAAGTAACATGCACGATTCACAACGGTGTCTTTAAACATCTATTTGAGGAAGAAATAGTCGTTTTTATTTTAGAACTTTGGTGTGCATAAAATGTAGATTTCATTGTTTTTAAGATCTTGAAAAGAAACAAATTCTGTCAATTTCCTTTCCTTGTCAATCCGTTATTCACTTTATAAGAGAGACTTTGATAAATTTTGTTTTCATTGTTCTCCTAGTAGTCTTATCTTTACTTTTGTTAATTGCAATACTTTCCCCTTTACTACTTTAGATCTGTCGGTCAACCATTCATGTTTCGTAACTCCCACCATCCTTCTTTAATATCTAGTTTCATTAAGCAGTTCAAAACTAGCTTCTCATTCTTAAGGTTGACCTATAATTATTTTAATTTCTTTTCTCAAAAATACTTAGTATTTTAATTTTAAAAATGTTGTAACAAATGCTTATTAAATATCTATTAGGGTACAGTGAAAATGGTATGAAACATATAAATATCATAAAATCGCTTCCTATCATCTTTTTTCTTATGTCAAATTTAATTTTAAGAACAATTTAGAAAAGGCGTTTTTTGATTGGAAGACATCTTGATTACCAAATTTGGACTTTTATGTATGTTCCCGAATTTAAAAAATTCGGGCAAATACAGCTCAAGTCTAAGCTGTCGTTGGTCCTTATTTACGGCTTGACTTTTGGATTCAAGCAGCATCTTATTTTTCAAAGAGCTGAGTTCAAAAAAACCGGTTTTATATTCTTTTTGGTTGATTTTCATGGCAGGAATTTGCGCATTCTCAACTAAAACCAACCAAGGTCGGTTTTATTTTATATTGGGCCTAACTCCTTAAATCAAGCCAACGATCTTGCAGCTGTCAACCATGTTATACAAGCTGTCTTCAGAATTGGGTCTTAAAGTTAGGTTTAAGGAATTATGGCTCGAGCCAAAGTTTTTAAACAGCTAGCTCAGGCCTCTTGTCCAAGAACAGCCTAAGCTGCATCAGTCACTTGTTGAACTAAAAATATAGTACTCTGTATATGAATTTTATAATCTGGACCTACATATGGCTTTTAAAGAATGTTTGTGAGTTCTTCATTGGAGAGACTACATGTAAATACTGGTTCATGGATGCCTCCACTGGTCAATGAAACAAGATCTTATAAGGTTGTGGCCTTGCGAATATAAAACCAGTTTTTTTGAACTCAGCTCTTTGGAAAATAAGATGCTGCTTGAATCCGAAAGCCAAGCCGTAAATAAGGACCAACGATAGTTTAGACTTCAGCTGCATTTTCCCGAATTTTTTTAATTGCTGGCTCAGGAATGGATTCATTACATCTAGGCTCCAACATAGAGAGATAATGCCCAAGTTTAAAACATTCATAAGTCTAGGGCGGATTTTATTACACACTATTGTAAAGACCAAGATATTCGAAAATTTGATAAAAATATAGAACAAAACTGTGTTCATAATTCATTCGTTTCTGAACAAACTACATTTTTTATGGCTTCCGCCCCCACTAAAGTGGTATTTGTGGTTATTTTTTGGTAAATTAAATTTCTGTAGTTAGAAAATTGACAAAGTTACAGTTTCTGGATTTTCGTAAATTTCATGAAAAATGCGGTACATAAAAGTCCAAATTGGGTATCAAGATGTTTTCCAATCAAAAAACGCCTTTTCTAAATTGTTCTTAGAATTGAATTTTACAAAAAAAAAATGATGATAGGAAAAGAAAAAAAGATTTATTTAATTTCACTGTACCCTAATTTCTATATTATTATTGGTCAAATCTGCCCTAGGACTGATGAATCGAAATATATTTCCTACTTTGAAGTTGTGTATTCGACAGATAGAGAACACTTTTAACCAATTCTGATTTTTACAGTAAAAAAAAATCTTTTAAAAGGAAATGAGTTTTTGCCTCAAACTCCTAACTTTTTCCCCTTCATCTTAGCAACCCGATATAGTAGACCTTTGATATTTAAAATTATGAATTATGTTAGATCAAGTAGTCTAATTGCGAAACTTATTCGGTTTACACCATTAGGATGCAAAGATAAAGGGATTAGAAAATTTGAGTTTGTGGCAAAAACTCAATCACTTTGTTGAGTAAAAATGAAATAAATCCAGATTCCTTGTCCTCTATGCGCAGTATAAAGGATATAGAGACAAATTCTATAAAGTTCTATTGCTCAATAAAGTAAATAGATTGGATGGAAATGAGCTGGGTTGTAAAGTGTTAAACCTGAAATTAGTTAATTTACAGAATGCTATTCCAGGATTTTCAGATTAAACACATTTTAATGTTATTGCACTCAACAGTAAAATGGAGACTACTCCTAGAGAGAATTAAGCAGAATAAACACAAAAATGTTTTATAAAAATAAAATCTTTGTTGGCAATAATGGACTGTAAAGATGAATTCAAGTAACCTTCCATGCAATGATGGCAAAACCCGATTCACAAAGGTACCCTCGAAACCTTTATCTGATCAAAAATGTGGAAATTATTGTCGTTTTTCTAGGTTTGAAGTTTTTAATTCTGATAATTCCTATGTATTTTTTTTGGCAGTAGAAATGCTTGAGTAACTTTCTTAGAAAAACCACAATCATAAATATTCTGTTTCACATGGATATCTAATTCATAATTGATCAAACTTTTAAGGGTACTGATGTAAATTGGGCTTTGCCATCTTTGCGTGGAGGGGCTTTTGAAATTACACTAACAGTCCCTTTAAGATACCGTATAGTGCGTATAGTATGTGAATATGACATGATGTCTTCTTGACTCATTCTGTTCTCGTCATAATTTTACAGTTTGACTGGCATTTTTAAATGTGGTCTATAATTGTGCCTTCAAACTGACCGGAAACCTACAAAGATTTCGTTCTGATTTCCATATATCAGATATCTTCAAAACTGTCTCAACAGTCAATATATGAAAAGAAGGTAGATCACCTTTCGGAAAAAAAATATTGTCGCTATGTCTGTTTTGAATGCACATTTTGTCGTTATATCTATTTAGAATGCACATTTTGTCGTTATATCTATTTAAAATGCACATTTTGTAGTTAAATCTATTTAAATGCACATCTTGTCGTTAAATCTATCTAAAATGCACATTTTGTCGTTGAATCTATTTAGAATGCACATTTTGTCGTCAAATCTATTTAAAATGCACATTTTGTCGTTAAATCTATTTAAAATGCACATTTTGTCGTTAAATCTATTTAAAATGCACATTTTGTCGTCAAATCTATTTAAAATGCACATTTTGTCGTTAAATCTATTTAAAATGCACATTTTGTCGTTTATCAAATCAAACTTTTAGAGAGATCCTACTTCCACAAAACAATTTCGAAGCGAATATTCTCAAACTGAATGAAACCTATACTTTAAACTCAATTAGCATCAAAATCATAAAAGCACACTAAATGAATATCCCATAAAGGAATGTGATGAATTTAAGAAAAGCTGGTTTTATAAAGAAAATAAAATAACCTGTTCGTCCATCTCAGCAAGAATATTTTCCTTATCCTCGAATTCCCGCAGCATTCGCTGAAATAAATTTAAAATCAATCTCAAAACTTTGCACAAGCTCAGAATTCCGAAAAATAATAAAAATGTAAATAAAAACAGTAGAATCCTACATGAATAATCTAGATGCACTGGAGGGGGTGGATTCGAGCATAAAATACTGAGTGAAATCGTAAAATACTGCTGATGGGTGAATTTTATAAAATGTTGGAACTTCAATCTTGTTGTATAATAAAGCTCTGTGATAATATTTATATATATTTATATTTATATCTTTATATAAACGGCTAAAAAATTGGCTGAATTTTTATATGGAACCCATGAGTACCCAGGTCCCAGTGTTAACATAGGCTAATTCAAAATTCGATTTTTTAATTCGAAATTTTTTCCCAATACGTTTTTAAAATTCCACGGCCGGGCAAGCACTAAATGTTACACTAAGAGAATCCTTTGGTTACCAAAATATGTTTTTTATATTTATTTTACATCAGGACAAACGTCAAAATCAGGTTTTTAGGATACAAGACGAAATCCTGTTCAAAATCCAAAATAGTATTCTTCCTCTGAATCCGCCCTGCAGTAGACTGTAATAACTCATGCAGGATTCTTATCAAATATTTTTGCATGCATTAATTGTAAATAAAAGCATCCGCTTACCTCCTTCTAAACACCACAGAGATGATTTCAGCCAAAAAGGATCAAAACAAATTCTTATTAGTTTAGCAAATAAAAACTAGCATTGGCGAGGATATTGACGCTTTTATGCCTTTGTTTAATTCCACAATTTTACAACATTTCGTGCAAATTTTCAATAAAAAAATGAATTGCAAAATTGTTTTGGTAGATTGAACGTTAAAAGGATTGTTCACCTATTTTGAAAAATTAACATAATACCAAAAGTTTCAAACTTAGGATCGTAACTAAGCCTGTTTTACCACTCAAAAATATTTATGAGATGTTTCATCAATATTTAATGTTTATAAAACTTGTCTTACAGGAGTTTTTCAAAATGTCATGGCGCCCTAATTCCAAAAAAAATGTTATTATGAACATATTTTAAAATAAGTGAACATTTCCTTAAAACCATGTTTAATTTGAAAAGTGTGAATATCCCGCCTTGTTATAAAAATATTTAAAGCCATGCAAGGATATAGGCATAAAACGAATATAAAAACATTGAATGTCTGAATACTCTGGAATAAAAAGACGACCTTTTCATGTTACATAAGTTAAGTAATGGTTACGTAAAGGAACTGTGATATCAAGTATAATGTATAATCTTTAGTTAATGAGTAACTTGTCCGATTCACAACGGTGCACTTTCAACTTTTATCTGAGCAACTATGAAGAAGATATCGTTTCTACATATATTAAAAGAGACCAATTCTGTCAAATTCCTTCCTTGTCTATGATCCATATATCTTCTTGTCACTTACATAGAACAGCCACAATTGAAATTATAAATTTTCCGATCGGAAAAACAAGGATGTCTCAATCATTTTTGTACAGATAATAGTTAAAGGTACCTTATTGAATCGGATTCTTAAAATTCAAGATTACTTGAAATTACGTTTAAATTGTGTAGACAGTTTCTTACACAAAAATTAACCTAATATGTTAAGGTCGTCATTACATTCCAGTTTACTCTGGGGATAACTGTACAAACTTTTCACTTTTGTAAGTAAATTATTTACAAAACTATTCATCTCTGATCAACTTCAGCCCAAAATTAAATAAATAAAAATTAAAAAATTGTTGAAAATGAAAAGAAATTTGTTACTATTTTACACAGCTCTGAACTGATAATTAACATTCTAAAAATGTCTTTACTAATCCAAGGGATTGAGAAAAATATGACATTTAAAATTGTTCTGTTTTCATGTGACGGACTAATTCAAAAGCTGCAAAATTTCAAGGAAAAGCTTTTCCGACATATTTATTCAAACATTTAAATAAAAGGGAAGCTTATGTACTAAATATTTTTGATTGGAACAATTATTTGAATTTTAGGTTGACTACAGGAACACTCCCATGAAAATTTATAACTTTATTTACTAAAAAATGTACTGCAGTTTGGTAGAAATGTAAACAATTCAGTTCTTCTGGAACCGGCGAGGGGATGAGATGCTCAAAAAATAAATTTGTTCAGAAACTATTTTTGATCTTTATTTTTTATCCATTCCAAGGCTTTTTTTAAAAACAGATGCCAGTTCCATTAATACTTTCTTTGATTATCGTAGGTTTATCCAAAAGGTACAGTGTTCCAAATCAGAAACAATTCTGTGATTCTACTAATGTATGTCTCAAATCTGTTCGGATATGTTTTGACGAAAATATACCTGAGTTTCGTCCTGGAGATCGTCAACGGTTAGTTCATGTTCAAGATGGGAGGTCAGAAGAATATCTTTCTCAGTTAACCAGTCCTGAACATTATACAATATGGTAACCCGTTCTAAACATTATACAATATGGTAACCAGTCCTAAACATTATACAATATGGTAACCAGTCCTAAACATTATACAATATGGTAACCAGTCCTAAACATTATACAATATGGTAACCAGTCCTGAACATTGTACAATATGGTAACCAGTCCTGAACATTATACAATATGGTAACCAGTTCTAAACATTATACAATATGATCAGAACTGAACATTATACAATATGTTAACCAGTCCTGAACATTATACAATATGGTAACCAGTCCTAAACATTATACAATATGGTAACCAGTCCTGAACATTATAAAATATGGTAACCAGTCCTGAAAATTATACAATATGGTAACCAGACCTGAACATTATACGATATGGTAACCAGTCCTGAACATTATACAATATGACCAGAACTGAACATTATACAGTATGTTAACCAGTCCTGAACATTATACAATATGGTAACCAGTTCTAAACATTATACAATATGGTAACCAGTTCTAAACATTATACAATATGGTAACCAGTCCTGAACATTATACAATATGTTAACCAGTTCTGAACATTATAAAATATGGTAACCAGTTCTAAACATTGTACAATATGTTAACCAGTCCTGAACAATATACAATATGGTTACTTATATATGAAGTTTTAATCTTGAACATTGTACAATATGTTAACCAGTCCTGAACAATATAAAATATGGTTACTCATATAAGAAGAAGTATTAATCTTGAACATTGTACAATATTTTAACCAGTCCTGAACAATATAAAATATGGTTACTTATATAAGAAGAAGTATTAATCTTGAACATTGTACAATATTTTAACCAGTCCTGAACAATATAAAATATGGTTACTTATATAAGAAGAAGTATTAATCTTGAACATTGTACAATATGTTAACTAGTTCTGAACAATATACAATATAATCTTGAACATTGTAAAATATTTTAACCAGTCCTGAACAATATAAAATATGGTTACTTATATAAGAAGAAGTATTAATCTTGAACATTGTACAGTACGTTAACTAGTTCTGAACAATATACAATATGGTTACTTATATAAGAAGAATTATTACCTGAACTCCTAATATTTTACACTCCCACTCCTGTGCCTCCGTGATGCACTCTGGAAATGTATTTCAAATAAAAATGTAATTTACCCCCCAGGAGATAAAAAGGGCAACTGAGTTAATATCCAGTGGTTCTCAGAGGGATACAGATAAAAGGGAGATTGGTCAACTAATGTTAAATATCTGGTTTTCAAATAGAAAATAATTGACTTCTCACAATCTAGAGAGTTTAAGACATAATAAAATAGAAATTATTTCCTAAAAATTACCTTCAAGACTTTTTATCCTAGATTTAGCTTGCCTCTCTAAAGATTGCCAACGCTTCTCTAATCTGCCTGTTTCTGTTTGAACTGGAGATATCAAAACATCCTTCTCCGAGAGCGAACTAGAGAGAAGTTTCAATCTCTGTATTCGATCAGTTGGATGATTATGAAGACAGTTCTCTAGGTCGTCTAGTTCCTCAGATATCTCCTCAGCGTCTGCTGCACACTTACTAGAGCGTCGGAGTTTTTTCTCCAACCTGTCCAACCAGTCCGACTCCTGGGCTACTAGAGTCTTAAACTCCCCATAGTCAGACGTAGCTTCCTTCATCCTAGTATACTGTTCCGTTACTGGGTTTGTTATACAACTCCAACGAGTTTGAACCTCACTTAACTTAGCTCCGAGTTCGGAAACTTTTTTCTCACTTCCCTCACCCTCACTTTCTATCAGTTCACTGACAGTACTGGATAATCTATCCAGAACACAACTCTTCCTATCCGTCCTATCTCTCAGCTGCAACAGCTTGTAAGTTCGTTGAGAGAGCTCTGGTGCTTCTGTAACGACTCCTTCCCTGGGCAGCTCCAGCTCCAGCAGATCCAGGAACTTGTTAATCTCGTTCATCAGCTCCAATACTTCTCTACTCTTATCATATGCAGTCTTCAACTTCAGGTTCTGAGCTTTTGCCGACCTTACAGTAGAACTCCAGGTATTACTGACCTCAGATATCTCTGACTCCAGTACAGCTCGGAACTCGTGGTTCGGGTTCGTTCTAACGAGGATAAAAAAAATTGACAATGAATTAAATTGAAATTAAAGAATTTTCAAGTTTACTTCTCATTATTTGTTTGAAGAAATTTTAAATTTTTAATTCCTCCCTTTTGAGAAGTGTTTCTCCGATCTCCTTAATATTTCCAAGGTTGGGTTGCAGCGTCGTTATGTCCTCCTGTAACAGAAAGAAATTGAAGACTGGAAATTAACGAGTTAGAATCTAACCTCAACCTAACTAGCTTTAGATGCGAGAACATTAAGGTGTCCCACGTGTCAGGTTTTCAGCTGAAGGATTTTAAAAAACGTTCCGTCACAACTTCTCCGGACAAATCAATCCATCACAGCTCAGGCAGAGCATATTTTACTAAATAACCTTCCAACATAGCTTGTCAAGAAATATCCTAATTACCTGCAGTGCATTCGATTCTTTTAACTGCGCCTCTAAAGTCTCCAGGTCTCCGAAAGCAGCCTCTTCAGCCTCTAGAAATATATGAACCTCCTTCATCCAGAGGGTGAGGCCGGATATCTCCTCCCGCAGCTGGTTTAGGGACTCTATCATACTTTTTACAGTCCGTTCTCTACTTCGCAGATTCTTTTTAACCTCCAGGAGCTGATCCAACACTTGAGAAGATTCCTCCTCTGTCAAGCTTGCAGGAACGAACGCGTTTGAGAGGAGTTGAAGACAGGAAATTATCCTTGAAACATCGTCTTCCATGTCTGAGTTATCCTGCAAGAAAACTGGTTGGTTGAGAAACTCCTGGCATGAAGCCAGGTTTCGCTCCAGGTCGGAGAGTTCTCTTTCTGGTTTAGGCTCGGAGCTGTCGATTCTCGTCAAGGTTTTCATTGTAATAAATATTTCCGATTTCTGAACTGTAGGTTGGGGTAGAGTTAGGGTAGTGGTGATGGTGCACTCCTCGTAATGTTCAGGTTCAAGATTTACTGTATCTACTCTCAAGTTCTCCGTACTCAGCTCCTCAGTATCACAGATAGTTTCTACTTGGTTCACACAGGTTTCATCAGGTTTAGGTTCACCCTTGTTCTCACGAGGAGAGTTAAACTTGGAGAGAAGACTGGAGAAATGAGATTCCACCGATCTGAAGGTTTCCCAGAGCTGATACAAATCTCGCTTCACTGTGTTCTCAGGCTCGGAAACTGAATTAAAAGAGTTTAATCCGTCTAAATTCACAATAAAGCGAAAGCCATTGATTAGAGGACAGTGTGCCAAAAACAATATAATCTTGAAAAGTTAACTGTTCCTAAAGGGAAATGTGCTTAAAGGGATTGTTCAGTTGTCTGTAATGATTTTGAAAATAAGGAATTTCACAAAATTTTACAATCCATTTAAAAAGTAAATCATTGTGAAGAATAGTATCCCTCCGTGACAACCTAGTGCAAAGACTAGAATTAACTTCACGTAATATTTCTAGGTTTATATAAAATGTTGACCAAGTCTGATAATTCGCCCTCTAAAAGGCACGCAACAATATTGATTTGATATCGGAAAACCAGTTCCAGCATATACCCGGAGATTATTGCAAAGAACTGAACCAAATATTAAATAAAAGAAGTTTTACCAGATTTAACAAGAATGCAGTCAGAAAATGCTCAAAGGTAGAAAAATAAATCAAAAAACGTATTTCTCATTATTAAAAACACGAATTTCTGTTATTTTAATCAGAAAAAGATTTGTTTGTTGTTTTATGATGTAATGAAAGTACGATATATGATGTGAACTGTTGTATGTATTAAGAAACAGTTAAATTCAAGGTTCGGTAAATTCCCCTCTAACCGGGACCTAACGCTTGTCTCCGGTTAGGGGAGTTTACACGGAGCCTGGGGACCGAAGGGATATTTTATGCTTCGCAGTTTGGATTGTTTTAAAAGCAATTCTTGTTTTTAATGCATATTAAAAACTTTCATCCGATAAGTTTTGTTTTTAAATATCTTTAAAAGATTAAACGCAATTTCAAAGAATAAAATATAATTCACAGCAAACTTCACTACTTTACAAAGTTTTCTTCTTATTGTGTTAAAAGAAGTTAAAATAACTATGAAATTGTGCATATACTGTAAACTTACCAGTATGCTGGGTAAGGTTAATGTAAACTTACCAGTATGTTGGGTTAGGTTACTGTAAACTTACCAGTATGCTGGGTAAGGTTAATGTAAATTTACCAGTATGCTGGGTAAGGTTAATGTAAATTTACCAGTATGCTGGGTAAGGTTAATGTAAATTTACCAGTATGCTGGGTAAGGTTACTGTAAACTTATCAGTATGCTGGGAAAGGTTAATGTAAACTTAACAGTATGCTGGGTAAGGTTAATGTAAACTTACCAGTATGCAGGGTAAGGTAAATGTAAACTTTACAGTATGCTGGGTAAGGTTACTGTAAACTTACCAGTGTACTGGGATAGTTAATGTAACCTTACCAGTAATCTGGGTAAGGTTAATGTAACCTTACCAGTAATCTGGGTAAGGTTAATGTAAACTTACCAGTATGCTGAGTAAGGTTAATTTAAAAATACCGGTATGCTGGCTAAGGTTATTTTAAAGTACCAGTATGCTGGGTAAGGCTAATGTAAACTAACAGTATTCTGGGTAAGGTTAATTAAAAGTTACCAGTATACGGGTTAATATTGATGTAAACTTACCAGTATGCTGGGTAAGGTAACATATAATTACCAGTATGCTGGGTAAGGTTAATGTAAACTTAACAGTATTCTGGGTAAGGTTAATGTAAACTTACCAGTATGCTGATTAAGGCTGCCACCTATTGCATCTAGTTCCTCCAGTTTAACTCCTACGGATTCCAAAACCTTATTCTTCCCCTCAACTCTAGTTTTCAATCCGTCCTCCAGATTCAAGAAATCCCACGACTCGGTTTCAACTATTGAAAACCATTAACATATTCACAAAATATTCTACCTAAATGTTTCTCTGTAGGTTTTATTTTTCTAGATTAAAAGTTTTACGAATATATTTATGTTCCTAGGAATGATTTTAAGTTGTTTAGAATCTTGTTTAACTGCTCCGCCAGACCGTAGAAACAATCTTTCTCAGTCTTAACACAAGAAAATAAAATGTTTACTACAATTTTCATTTAATTCACGAGGTTTAATGAAATCCTTCCCCCCCTACTTTTCATACAATCTAGTCTTCACCAAAAACCAACATTTCTACCTATTTGTAGCCATATTAAGCTACATTTATCTTAAATTGCTTCTTATCTTAAGGAAAATGTTTTCTAAAAGAAAACTTAAAGAGGTTAAATTTATCATATTTTCAAGTCTCTCGAGGCAAATACATCATAACTGCTACCACTGGTTCTTATCATATTCTAGGGTTTAAAATGTTAAGAAAAATTAAGAGTTCACAGTGTACATTGTAGGCTCGTAGCTATATTTATGGATAAACATCTTTAATAGATTCATAAAGGATATCCATCGTAAATCTAACAACAATATCTAACATTAATTAATCCACGATATTCATCATGAGTTAAAATCCTCGACATTTATCTTATATAATATATATATCCAAAATATCCATCGTAAATTTATCCAAGATATCCGTAATGAATCTATACAAGATATCCATCATGAATCTACCCAAGATTTCCGGCCATCATGAATCTATCCAAGATATCCACCATGAATCTATCCAAGATATCCATCATTAATCTACCCAAGATATCCATCATGAATCTATCTACGATATCCATCACGAATATATCCAAGATATACATTATGAATCTATCCAAGATATCCACCATGAATCTATCCAAGATATCCATCATGAATCTATCCAAGATATCCACCATGAATCTATCAAAGATATCCACCATGAATCTATCCAAGATATCCACCATGAATCTATACAAGATATCCATCATGAATCTACCCAAGATTTCCGGCCATCATGAATCTATCCAAGATATTCTTCATGAATCTACTCAAGATATCCTTCATGAATCTATCCAAGATATCCACCATGAATCTATCCAAGATATCCACCATAAATCAATCCAAGATATCCACCATGAATCTATCCAAGATATCCACCATGAATCTATCCAAGATATCCACCATGAATCTATCCAAGATATCCATCATGAATCTATCCAAGATATTCTTCATGAATCTACTCAAGATATCCACCATGAATCTATCCAAGATATCCATCATGAATATATCCAAGATATCCATCATGAATTTACCCAAGATATCCACCATGAATCTATCCAAGATAGCCATCATGAATCTATCCAAGATACCCTTAATGCATCTATCCACAAATCACACATAAATCTATTAAAATGAAAGCATGTTTTATTTCTTTGAAAATATATTTTTACAAAGGAGTTGATTCTTTGCCACAAACTCTGATTTTCTTATCCCTATATCTTTGAAACCCAATGTCGTAAACCTTTGATATTTCAAACTTATGTTATTTGATCTAACAGAAGTCATTGTTTGAAATATCAAAGGTCTACTACATTGGAATCTAAAGATATAGGGATTAGAAAATCACAGTTTGTTGCAAAGACTCAATTCCTTTAAATTGAGAAACGCTTGAACCAAATTCAAAGATAAATTCAGAAATATTTACGCAGATACTAAACAAAGAATGATTAGATTACCTACTAAAATTTGTAAACAATCCCTTTAAAGTGACCGTAAACGTAATTTCAAGTGACCCTCAATCAAAGGAGTGGCATGTTGTGTTTAATCTAGAAAAAGTTACTTGCACACATTTCTTCCTCCAGAAACAATGGAGACATTATCAAAAATAAGCACTTTTGAAGCCAGAACAACGACGTAATCTTGTAAATTATTGCCAAAGTAAGGTTTCCAGGTTAGCGTCGTGAATCGTTGTAAACGCTCCGGAGTTTCCTGAACTGAAACAACTCACCATTAAAGTATGAAAGAATGAACTGAATACCTTATTTCTAATCTAAATGTAAGGAACCTTATCTATCCTATAATATAAGGCGATAAATAGAGATTTAGTCCGGTAATCCTATTACATTTCAGCTTGTATCTTTATTCAAGTTGGATCTTTTATTTTACTTTTCTTAACAAAAGATGGAAAATCTTTGTACTCAGTAATCCCGTGTCAGCTCACCATTCTTTTCACCTTACTAAATCCATAGAATCCATATACCCTTTAGACACAGACAAAAATATACACAGACAGAAAATTAATAACCACAGACAAACACAAGAAGTTAGCAGACGGATAAGAAATATTGACAGACTGACAGTAAGACGGACGAGATTTCGAAGAAAATTGATTTTACAAATTTTTGGAAATGCACCAATGAAAACCGAAATATCCGCGAAATCTTTTGTTTTGAATCTGATGAGGGTTTATGTAGTACGGAAAGCAACAAAGGCTGAAAATATTAGTAAACGCCGAGTATGATGTAAGTATATTGATTTAATATATTTAACCTGGTAGTTGACTCTATCCTTGAGATTGGATAGAGCGGATTGAATCTGCAGGTACTCCTTCTCAACCTTCTCAACTTTACTCACAATACTTCTCAACTCAGGTTCACTCTCAACATCTAAATATATACATCAATTATATTCTCAAGTCTGATCTTTAGCATTAGTCTGACTCATGAAACAATATGGCCGACACATTTTGAATTTCATCTCAAAGAAAACTAAATTTAATCTAATTGAGTTTAAACAAATTTTACAGTTTAAAATATCGGCCCCATGCAGAAACAATGGAGATTTTCATCTTTGATCGTTATGTAATCTGTAATGCATAATGTCTATGTTATCTTAAATACATATAAAAATTATTATTTTTAGTTGCAGATTCTTAAAAAATGGCTTGGGAATTTGTACATTTGATCAATTTTAAGATAAATATCGACATTATCTTCCTGATTGGGAATAAGGCGTGTAACTCTTGTAATAAAAGTTATCTTGAAAATCCCTTTTATTTGTGTCCAGAATTAATTATAAAAATAAACTCAAGTTTCTGGTTTCAGTATTGTAAATGGTAAAGATTACTTGGCAAACATTAATAATTTAGACAGATGGAAAAATAGATAGAAAGATAGAAGAGTAAACAGATAAATAGATAGAAAGATAGAAGAGTAAATAGATAAATAGATAGAAAGATAGAAGAGTAAATAGATAAATAGAAAGAAAGGTAGAAGAGTAAATAGATAAATAGAAAGAAAGATAGAAGAGTAAACAGATAAATAGATAAAGACTAAAGAGGTAAATAGATAAATAGATAGAAAGATAGAAGAGTAAACAGATAAATAGATGAAGACTAAAGAGGTAAATAGATAAATAGATAGAAAGATAGAAGAGTAAACAGATAAATAGATGAAGACTAGGGAGGTAAATAGATAAATAGATAGAAAGATAGAAGAGTAAACAGATAAATAAATAAAGACTAAAGAGGTAAATAGATAAATAGTTAGAAAGATATAAGAGTAAACAGATAAATAGATATAGACTAAAGAGGTAAATAGAAGGCTTGGGTGTTCATAAAGAGAAGTGGGTTGTCGGCAAATAAAATGAACTTTTAATGCAGTAACGTAAACGTCATTAATTATACTATTCTTATACTATGCTAACCCTCTAGTAAAATAAACAATTAAATTTAAAATTGTATCAAGCCAATAATTCATATACTCAGGGAAACCTGAGTAATCATCAGGATAGAAAAGTTGCTGTTATAGCGTACAATGAAGTTAATTTTCTAACAATAAAACAAATATTTGCTTATTTATATAATAAAGCTCTTTGCTGATATACATATATATATATATATATATATATATATATATATATTAGCTTTTTATGGAACCCATGGGTACCGGTACCCTGTGGGTAACATAGGCTAAAAAAATCGAAGTATTTTTTGTCAACATTTTTTTAATTCGATTTTATTTTTTCATTCCACAGGCAACGCCGGGAACTAGAGCTAACTAGTTAATATAATTCGATAATAAACCTAAAACAATTTTGCATGTGACCAATAGGTATCATTAAATTTGAGCTTAAAAATTGTCAATAGTTCATTAAAAGAGCTATTAACGTACAAATGCAATAGCCATCATCAAATTCAAGCTTACTAGAAAACGTCAAATTTAAGGTAAAGCTAACTAATAAGCAAAAATGATAAAACAATATAAAATGTAAAAGATAATCAAATTTAAGATAATTGACTTGTTTTAACAAAAAAATTAGGAAAATTTTCTATGCATGGGGTTTTCTGTCTTGTTAACAACGTTTTACTCGGTGTGCCCCCCCCCCCTCTACAGAAACACCCAGTTACGTTCATAGTTGAATAAATAGCACCATTCAATTATGAAAATTGTTTATTCCATTTCATTCCAAACAGCAAATTAGATTCCTCTATAGTGGATCACATTGTTATCATTAAATACATTAAATACAAGAGTTATCCTGAAAAATGCTAAATCTAAAAACAAAATGTTTACTTAGAGCTCTCGTTTGTGTACTATAATCAAACAATACACATTCTATTTGGACAGAAAAGGTGACAAAGTTCTTAATTATCTCTTGAGAGCTGAGGCAGATAAATTAAGTTAGAGAGACAAATAAAAAGAATCTAGATAGAATTCTCAATACATGATGCAGCATTGTACAGGGTTTTGTTTTGCTTCTTTTGAATTAGTCTGCATATTGTGAAGATAATGACATGACCCGACTTCTGCAAGGCCTAGCATGTGAACCTGCAGTAATAAGGCGGTCGCCAAGTTTAATGAGCAAATTAAAAAATAAACAACAAACGTCTTTCTCATGTTGACAATGGAATGCAGCTTTTACTTTATAGATTCCACTAAAAGATCCTTATTTTTCCTCAGTTCTTGGATGGGGAGAAAGATATCTAGCGTATTTCTGACTAGATTGATAAAAACCGGCATGTTGTAATGTATCTATTTCAGACAAGAAAGTATGTTAAGTATAATGAATCCAAGTCCCTGGGGAGCAGAGAGATGGCATCACAAAACCAATTTACATACACAACTAGAAGATTAGAAGAGTAAGAAAACTGTCTCCCAAGTCCTGTATGAAAACCTAATTGCTTTAGTTAAAGTCAAGCCATGGAAAACCTTGTAAAATAGAACCATGAGAACATAAACCTATGCAAATCATTCTATGCACAACTTCCAAATAATCAAGAAAAGTAAAAAATCGTATTTAATCTGCGCGGCATATATTAGTGAACCACTATTAACATGTAAAAGTATTTTTTTCTGAGCTGAAAACTTTAGAATGTGATATCCTTAATCCCGATCTGTTAATTAATCTGGAGATTAAATTCATGAGGCAAAAAAGCAATATTTAATCTGGAGATTAAGAAAAAGAGTGGATCAAGCATTAATCCCGATATCCACCATTCTAAAGTTCCCAGCTCTATCAGTTCCCAACTATACACATACTAATTATCACTTCACATATAATCCTTAAAAAAAGTATGAACCGTACCTTTTCAGACCTCTCTAAATGATTTTACAGTCCCTTTTATGGTCATTCATAAAAAATATTTAATATCTTCTAATACATTAAAAATCAGAAAATGCTTTGAAGTGGAAGATAAGCCTACTCCATTTTTGCAAAAATAGTTCTTGTGAGAAACAATGCATAGATTGTGGGTTATGTAATAATATGAATGATTGAAGGGATAGCACGAAATGAATTAATATTTAACACTGCAAATCTCACTTATTAAAAATTCAATGGAAAGAGAAATAAAAGAATCGATTAAAAAAGTAAATCCCATTTCAAGGGGCCCGGCTTTGATGTCATTAAAAGTACATTTAGCGCAATGTGACCCTCCATGCAAAGGTGATAATGCCCGATTCACAACGGTACCCTTAAAAGATTTGTCTGATTAAGAATGAATTAGATATCAATATCAAAACTAATAATTTTCAATTTTGGTTTTTCTAAAAAAGTGACTTTTGCATTTCTGTTGCATGAAAACATATAGAAATTATCAGAATTATTATTATCCACATTATTGATCAGATAAATGTTTCAAGAATACCGTTGGTACCATTCACCCCTGAAGGTTTAACCTTTCTTATGAAAAAGTGTTGTTCTTAGATATAATACAATTTGTTATCTTTGAATGTCGAATGGTTAAGCAAAATCCTTGCTGAAACTCCCCGAGAAAAAAACTATAAATTTTCAGGTTTATCTTTGATGGCTTAAACTAATTTCTACAAGCTGAGAGAGAGTTCTTAAAACTTGGATTGTGAAGGAGTTTATCTTTAATTGGTTACGCCATCATGTTTAAAAGAGTTTTAGAGAAAAAAATATCCGCCACATGGTTCGCTTTCACGAATTCCTTAAAATAATAAAAAAAAATTACTCTAATATTAATCTAAACTCCATAAACCATGAACCTATATTTCAAAAAGTTTTCCTCGAGAACTCTGTACGAAATTCTTGTGTTAACCTTAAATCATTTTAACTAACCTTGCTTCAAAAGGTTTCCTAGAGCAACAAACTCTTCAACCTTGGGTTTCTGAGGTTGCACCTCTGCCTCTGTGTCCTCTAGGAGAAGGGTCTGATCCTGATATATTTAATGATATTTTTGACTATAGCAAACTATGCACGGTTGGAAAGAAGTGGGGATGGTTTGAATGAAATGAGTGCAACGTATGAAAAAAAAGAAAATTACTTTGCTGCGTCAAAATTCTGAACACGAGTGCACTTAAAAGAAATTCAAACTTCAAGAGTATGAAGAATATAATAGATGGAGAGAATGGGGGGGGGGGAGAGGAATGGCACTTACACTGAAGCAAATTCGTTAGAAGTTACTTAGTGCATTGAGTTCACTATATTCACTGGTCGGGTATCAACTAGCAAACAAAACTCATAATAATTGCAAATCATGCAGATAAGAGAACAAATACGCTCCTCTAAATTTCATCCATATTCATGTACCGGAAAGTCAACAAACATATTTTAACATTTGATAATTCATTAAACCTTGAAAAACTAAGACGACAACTCAAAGATCAAGATGTTTCACCAAAAGACGCGAGTTTGCCAATGCCAAGTAAATTAAACAGAATGGTTTTCAAGACGGAATAAAAATGGCCGAACATCATTGAAGGAAAGGAAAAAACGGCGAAAATAGAATGAGTGTGATAGTTTTAGACAAATAAGATGAAATGTGTCTAATGTAAAAAATGTCATCCCTGAAGTTGAAGAGAATTGAGTAATGAATCCTGTAATCTGGAGAGAATTGACTCCGACCAACTGGATATTCGTTCAAAACCAGTTTCAAATTCAATCCTTTTACTTCCTGTCACCTTCCTCTTCTTCGCCGAGGACGGATTCTCCTCTGAAATATTTAGAATTAGTTGGAACCAGAAACATGCAATGTTTTGCCAAAACCTGCAAACAGTGAGAACGACGTTAAACTTGGAAAAATAAAATAGTTTTTTTTCATTGTCATATTTCCGAGCTGGGAGCTTAATCTAGATCTTTTGTTGATTTGCAGATTAATTTAATCTTTATTATATATCCCGCATGGTAATTCAGGGGTTGAAGGGAGCTTTAAATCAGGGAAGAAAAAATTAAAAGTGCCTTTAGTGGATATCGAGATCAAGCATTCATAATTTGTTTAGATGTTTTAACATTTTTTACAGATTTGACCAGTTGCAAGAATGCTGAAGTAATCGCTCCAAAAAAAAGTTCATGAAAACACAGAAATAAAAAAAATTTCCCATATTTTTTTTAATAGTCCAAATGGAAAAAGTATTGAAAGGAGAAATTACTTAAGACTCATTTATTGGAATTGAAATTAAGTTCAAGAATTAATTCATGAATGAAAGATATAAAAAATGATATTTTGAGATAATTAAGTCCAGTCTACGTACATTTTACAACAATCTCAATTCGTATTTCGTGCCGATTATATTTGACGAATTTTTATGAAAAATATAAATTCGTTAAGTATTTAAATCCTGACCGACCTTAATCTATCCCCGAGGTCATATATTCTACAGAGGTCCAACAAAAAAATCATGGAATAAAATTATTCATCAATAAATAAATATTGCATGGACACTGTACAAGTCCATTTGAGTGAAAAGAGAAACAAGACCTAAAGGGTCGAACTCCAAACTAATTATCGAGTAGTTTTTTAGGAAACTATTGAGTAATTTACACTTCTGACGCATTTTTATGGAATTAGAATTAAATCGACTCCCATGTACAACCTCTATCAAACTCCATCTATTCAGCTTAACCTAACCTAACTAACCTAACTTAACCTAACCTATTTTAGACCAGTTTTCTCTAAGTCATATAAGCGTAACATAAAGTAGTCGCATGGCATGGAGCGCTGAATATTTTTCTGTTAGCTCTTCTCTTATCGTTTTTACAATTTTCTCTCAATTATGAAATTAAAATGCGTCCACAAATTAAACTTACTAACAAGTTTATTAATTCATTAGATCAAAACGACTGATGATGTAAACCTTAGTAAGAAAACAAAAAATTGGAATAATTTTTTTAACTACTGTAAACGTTTTGGGATTCCCTTAGAGAAAAAAAGAGAAAGCTTAAAAGTGACACTTTTAGGGGATACAGAAGCCGCCAAACAGTTTACAAAAACATGAAAATTCGGGATGCTGGCAACGTTTATTTTTATTTATATCTATAACAGCCGTATTTCCATTTGTAAGCAAATTAAACTATGTTTTGCAATTAACTCTAGTTCAACCCTACTTAATGTATTCCCGGGTATTAGCTTTGATCTATAATAAAACATTTGATTCAAACGAACAAAACTTAAGAGTTTCATAATCATTCAGGATTAGATTGAAATTTCATCTTTTCTCCAGATGAGACTAGAAAATAATTCAAGTAACCAGGTACCCTCAGGGAACCAGGTTTCAGATTTTAAAAACAAACCCAACAAACGATCAAGGCCTGGCTGGGACTGTATTCACGTTCACCTATTACTACGGTGGTAGGCGATTTTATCAACATAATGAAGACTCTCGATTTTGATTTTGATTTATATCAAGCTTTTAAACAGCATGGATGTACAAAAACATGGAAACAGAAAGAAGATGTTAATCCAAAAAGTTTCTTATAAATTACTTGTAAACTTGTAATTCAAAAAAGCTTGTTAACAATTAATACTTAAATAAAAAAGTCGTCTTCATTGTATTGATATAATAGCCTACCACTGTAGAAAACAGAATATTTCAGCCTAACCGGAAGTTCACAGAAGCCGGAAATGAGAGCAAGAACTGACGGAAAGTAGAAGAACTAGAGACAGAGATAAACTTAAACCACAAGAAGACAAATTAGAAAGATAAAGTTGGTTAAATATCTTAATATGGAAAAAATACAACGGAACTTACAAACGATAAAAATACTCAACTTTTGGGACGATTTATCCTTTATGGAATTGAGTCATTGCCACACACTCAAATTTTCTTATTCCTATATTTTTGGGAACCTGATTTGAAACAAAGATGATTTGATTCTTAGTTTAAAATATCTAAGGTCTACGACATGGGGCTGCAAAGATATAGGTATGAGAGTTTACGGCAAATACTCAACTCCTTTGTCACGTTTTCTAACTTAATCTTCTTTTCAGGATTAATCTTATAGCGGTGGTTGAACTTCTTGAACATTGATAGTTCCTTAACCTTTGTAGGCTCCTCAGTTTTCATGGCTTTAAATAATTTTTTTTATGCATGATTTGTGTGCATTTCCCTTTTAAGACTTTTCAATGAGTTGTTCAAGAGTAAATGAAATAGGAATCAAAAGCCCCACAAGTTTGAAGAACCCAGGTCGCTATGGAGGATGTGGAAAAAGCGAACTCAAAATCCTTAAACATCTGCCCCCCCCCCCTCAGACATCCTAGGGTTAAGGATTCAGTCTCATTTTCTTAAGTGTAAACAAGTGAACACTGACCTTTATTCTGATCGTGTTCCTGGGAGAACTCTACACCAAGTTTAGATATTCTCTGCTTTTGTGCAAACAAGATTTCTATCAGTACATCCCACCTGAAAAATACAAGATTCATCAGTATATCCTCTCACAAAAACAAGATTTTTTTTGGCACATCTCAATCCAAAACTAGAGTTCAATCAGCACATATTTTACTTAAGGTTTCTGTAGACGTAATTTCAAGAATAATATGTCAGGTTCACAACAGTACCTCTTAGACCTTTACCTGAACAACAATGGGAAAGATATAAAAGTCACTTTTATACAGAATCCACAATTGTAAATAATTAAGGTTACTAAATACAGGGTGAGCCAAAAAAAAACTATGATTAGCGGCTTGTGGTGCAAAATTCTACTTTTTTTGTGCAACTCTCCTGAATGGCGTTTTTTTCAATATTTTTAATTTTTTAGTAAATTAATGGCCCGAAAAAAATTCGCGAAACTTATTTTTCTCTCAAAATCTAAAGTTCAGAAAAGCAAAAATGTGTATATACATTATTTCTATCAAATTCTAAAATTTTGTAATATTGAATCACAGAATCACAGAAAATTCGCAAATTGTAATAACAATATTCGCGATGTGGTCTAATTTTTAAGAAAAACTTGGCTTCCAATTTCAACTGAACAGCGTATTTATAAAACTTTAGAATATACTTAGAATAAAGAAACTAGAGGATTGAAAAAACTCTATCCTTAAAAATTAGACCAGAACTGTAAATGGTGAATTTTCGTATTACAATTTTGCAAATTTTCTGTGATTCTGTGGTTTAATCTTTATACTTTTGATTTTGAGAGAAAAAGAGGTTCACGGATTTTTTGGGACCATTGGAGTACCAAAAAAATACCAAATTTTCGAAAAGTATTAAAAAAACCCCATACAGGAGAGTTGAACAAAAAAGGTACAATATTAGGCGCCGCTAATCACACTTTTTTTGACTCACTCTGCATAAATAGAGGGTCACTTGAAATGACACTTTGAAAAGCAAGTGTTTTTAGCTAAAAAATGGAAAGAAAAATTAATCATGTAAAAATAAAATGTATGAAATAATTCTACACAAATGTATCGTATGTCCGGCATATTGTCTGGTTTAGTAGAAACCATTCAGAACCATTTACACAATATCATAATTCTTCTACTTACACACTCAGTGTGAGGGGGGAGGTCTGAAGGAAAAGGGAGGGAGGGTCTAAAGAAGGGAGTAAGCCTGAAGAAAGAGAAAGGGAATGGTTTGAAGGAAAAGAGGGGGGGCCTAGGAAGGGGTCTTAAGAAGGAGGAAGGGAGGGGGGCACTTTTAAGATGGACAATGCACACTTAATCAAATTAATTTTATTCTATATTTTAGGTTTAGATAAATCAATATTGCAGTTTTTCATCTTAATGCACTTCTTACAAAAATCATTTTAGATTTAGAACTAGAAAATACATCATTTATAAACACAATCTTCTATTCAAGGGTGCATTTATATGAAAAAAAACTTCACAATCTATATATAAATTTAGCTTGTCTGTTTGTCTGTCTGTCTGTTTGTTTGTATCCAAAAAAACGTCAAAACGGCTGAACCGATCGGGCCCAAAATTTTTGTGGGACATCACGTGACCACAGGGAAGGTTTATGAATGATAAAAAAATTTTAAAAATGTGTTTTAAAGGTTTTTAATTTTATAAAAAATATAAATTCTTGAAAATCCGCGAATTTTTTTTTTAAATCCGCAAAAAAATTTTCTTTGTTTTAAAATGTAATCAAAAAGAACATGTTCACAATTTAAATAGAAGATGGGCGCGAAGCGCCCTTTAAAAGCCTAGTCAATGTAGAAAACATTATTGAAGAACGAAGAGAAATTCTAATGAGAGAAAGAAAAAATCAGTCTTATGTTAGTAATTAATTGCGTGCAGTAAAATTTTAAACATGTTTAATTTTTCAACACTAGCCCCCCCCCCTTCTCAGAAATCAAAATTTATTTTAAACATGAAGAGTTTCTTTCTCAATTTCTAAATTGTGTTGTAGTGCTAACATTTTATGTTTACAACCAGTTCACATATTCTCTGCTCCAGTAAAGGGTATTTACTTCACATTTTCTAAACTTGGATAAAATTTTCTATTTCATTTTTAAACCGAAAAATCGTAAATTGTTTTGACAAAATGAAACAAAAATACAAATTGCAAACAAAGAACGTTAATTATCTTTGTGATACTAAATAAACTAAAATAACTGAAACTTTATTAGCTTATTTCTGTTTCTGTAACTATCATCATTAACACCCTAAATTTTAATTTATCTCTACATAAAAATCCCTCTGATCTCACCCTGCCACAGATCACCTGACAATCTCCTTCCTTCCAATCAACTCCTTATCTATCCAAAAAAATATCTTGATATGTGAAACCAATTATATTCAGTTTCATTAATTAACTTCGGGCCAACCACTCAAAACAACCAACCCTGGTTAGGCGGGTCCAAACTGCATAGTAAATTGTGATTGCTTATTTGTAATATCTCATGCTTTGTAGTTGAATAAATATATGAATATGAACATACAAATCAACGTAAAACTTAAACTCCTATTTTTGAAAAAATTATTTATAAAATCCTGATATAAAATTTAACGAGTTCTCTTTTCTCACTTTCGAGGGTACAAAAATTCAAAACTAGAGTCTGTAATTGTCTCTTGATTGGAGTTGTTTTTCTTTAAAAGTGTTGTTCCTTATATATGATAGAAAAGAAGGTGCTTCAATATTCATTAGACTGTAACCATTAATACTGCGGGCAAACCACCTCACTACACTTGTAATAGCCTTACATCTATTTTCCATGTACATTGTGCAGGGTTAAGAATTCATTATCTATACTACATACAGCAGTATCCATAGCCGTACATGGGTCTATTCAGAATCCATTTAGACATATCAGTATCCTGTACCCATTCTTGAAATTAACAACTGAACCTAGTACAACTTTTCATTTAGGTTCGTTCCTATAAAACTGACCTGTTTTGAATAAGATACAACACTGTACTTCGATCTAAAATATTCTGAGTATACATTCAGTACAATATCTAGTATCCATATATCCAGAGTATCCATTCAGTACAATATCTAGTATCCATATATCCAGAGTATCCATTCAGTACAATATCTAGTATCCGTATATCCAAAATTCAGTATCTCTTGTATTTAAATCTATGTTTTGTATCAATCTCAACAAAATCGCGAAATATGTTATAAATTATCTTTTATTTTGTACTACGAAAAATGTGCCCATAGAGATGCAAATATCTGACCGATGGATTAAAATGTAAATCTTACATGAGGGGGAGGGGCAGGAGGGGGGAGGGGTAAAGAATAGGTATTGGGAGAAAGTGAAAATTTTCAGTTAAAATAACCTTTTCTCAGAAATTGACTGAAAAAGGGTTGAAATTGTATTCTAAGATTAAGGATATTACTTAGCTATCTATTTCTTACTTCTAGTGTAACCAATTGTGACAAAAATAATCGTTTTTGGACGGAGCCTCATCCCTAAATTCTACGGAATGATTGATTGTTTGTTTGTTTAGTTAAATACTAAATCTTGTTAAACGTAATAAGTATCCAATTCTGATCTGTTAACCATGTAAATCTCCCAAATAAAGCTATACATTCCTTTAGGAAAAGATAAAAAATAAAAACTGATAAAAAGCGTTTTTGCATTGTGCAATTCACATTCTTATTATATACCTTAAGTCTTTTACCAAATAAAATTTTTTAAAATTAATAATTTGTAAAAAATGACATCTCCTTTATCTACAAAGCTTAACCAACTACTCTATTATTCATGTATTCAAGCATTATAATTTAATCTGTCATAAATCCCTTTTCATGTAAATAGCTATGATAAATGTTAATATACATTAACATTCCCCCCTCCACCCCCCTCCTTTATACTCCCCGATTTAGTTTCTGTAGATCCACGTTTCTTGGATATCTTATTTCAATTTAGGAACTCTTAGAACTAGATTTGTCATGAGAAACTGGGAGAAACGTTTAGAGCATTTTTGACAAGTTCTTCGGTTTAGACCAGTGTTTCGGATCCGGATCCGGATCCGGTCGGATCCGTATCATTTGGTCGGATCCGGATCCGGATCCGTATCAGGAAACGTTAATATGGATCCGGGTAGCGCCAAAAATTAACCAAAACCATGGAATAAATAAATCAAAATGGTTCGTAAATGTATTATTTACATGACGAAAATTTTTCAAAATTATCTTTAATAATTTAATGTTTACATTTATATAATAGTAATAACGACATTTTTAACTTTAGGATTACTATAGTTTATAAATTATAACCTTGCATAACATTTAATAGGGAAAATCAAATTCACAGAATCAAAAGTTACCTCGGATCTGGATCCGGATCCGTATCAGGATCCGGATCCGGATCCATCATCACGGATGCGGATCCGCGGATCCGGATCCGGATCCGAATCAAAATGATATGGATCCGAAACACTGGTTTAGACTTTAAAGTTTGAGAAAATTTAGATTTATCATAAATTATCTGTTAAATAGAAAAGTATATTAGTTCTTAAACGAGTATTCTAGACAAATATTTTAACCAACTCAGGTCTGAGTTTGGAACTTTTGAATTCAAAGGAGTTAAGCTTCACAATCCCTTAACACACGAATCTTTGCTGAAACTCTGAATTTAGGATTACGGTGTAAATATCGAATTTCATTGGTTAGGAATTAAGAATAAACATCTTATCTCCGATTCGTTTATTTTAAAGTGTCTGACTCTGCTCTGTGCAGTTTCTAGTTGTAAGTTTTCTTTGAAGTTTGAAATGAATAACCATCCTTAGAATCCATTCAACTCTGATACTTGGAAATTAACTCGTAGGCTTTCAGTTGGATTTCAATTCAGATTGAGAATTTAAAGGCCCTATATTTGGAAAGGTTTACGATAGGAGAGGAGAAGGTATATGGATAACTGTAGGATGGATTGGAAAGGAGGTGTAAATTGGTTTAGGTGGGGAGGGGGGGGGGCTTTATTGAACAAAGGGGGGTTGTGTATTGGCTAT